TTCTTTTCCTTCGATATTCGGCAGTCTTCGCGCCTATGCCGGGTTCTTGCGTCTAGACGATGGTGTTGGGCAGGAAGGTGCCTGGCGTTTGATATGACTGGGTTTGAATCCATTTACGAGGCGTTGATAGGCTCTATTATGGACTTGTGCCTTTCGTTCTTGTGATCTAGGTCGCGTTTTTCTTCCTTTCTTGTTGTAGCTAGATCGGACATGTCTGTTTTCTGTGTATAGGAATTCTGGCTTCTGTTCGCTCAATTTGGCTTGTTTGTAAATTTCCTTTTGGCTTGTCCTAGTGTACTTCGTATCATGTCATAAGATCTTCTCGGCATATCTAGACATCTTCTCGGATGACGGGGCCCGCGTGTCCAGATCGCTTTGAGGCCAAGCGCGCGTTCCTAATTGAGCGTTCTCATGCGACCTTTCCGATTCTACCCCGCGTTGTGACAAACCACATGAGTAACGCAGAGATGATATCAATATCAATATGCAGACAAGCATCCCTTTGCCTTTTTGGGATTGAAGATAACACGCTAACCCTAGTTAGGCTATTGGATCCGGCCTCCGCAAATAGGCTTTATCTAATCGGATGGAGGTATACCTGTAGAGCTAGGGACATATCGAGATACCACTTGCTTGTTAAATAGCCTGCGAGCCCAGATCTAAAGGATAATTAAGTCGGTTTATTGTCTTCGACTCTCTAGCGACCGCTTAACTCGAATTGGCGCTTTAGCTTCATCACATTGAAATCGTCACCTTCCAAATACCTCTCGCACAGCATGGTTCTCGACCGACTACAGCAATTGACTCACCAGGTCAGCGCTACGGCGCCGCCGCCTCATCCGCTCGATCCTCTTTCTACAGTGGAGATTGATGCGGTTGTTAGCATTGTCCGCAAAGAACATGGCTCGCTCAACTTTAATGCAGTCACACTCTACGAGCCCCGCAAGGCCCAGATGATGGCCTGGGTTGCTGATCCGGAGAATGCTCCTCGTCCTGCCCGAGCCGCTGATATTGTTGCCATTGCTCCTGGTGGCAAGATCTACGATGGTGTGGTTGACCTGGACCAGAAGAAGATCATCAAGTGGCAGCACACACCGAATGTTCAGCCTCTGATCACCATGGAGGATTTGCAGGAGGTTGAGCATGTTGTACGAAAGGATGCTAAGGTTATTGAGCAATGTGGTATTATCGGAATTCCAAAGGAGGATATGCACAAAGTCTACTGTGACCGTAAGTGGACGGACTTCCCTCGCTCATCGGAGATTGATACTGATCGAATGATATTTTAGCATGGACAATTGGATACGATGAGCGTTTTGGAACTGGTGTTCGTCTTCAACAAGCCCTCATGTACTACCGCCCTCACCCCGACGACTCCCAGTACACCTATCCCCTGGACTTCTGTCCCATCTATAACGCCGAGACCAAGGAGATCATCCACATTGATGTGCCGCCTGTACGGAGACCTGTCAGCAAGGCTCTCCCAAACAACTACCACCCGGCCGCCATCGAGAAGGAAGGTGGATACCGTAATGATATTAAGCCAATTCACATCACCCAGCCAGAGGGTGTGTCTTTCGAGGTCAAGGGCCGCACAATCGAATGGCAGAACTGGAACATCCACGTCGGCTTCAACTACCGTGAAGGTATTGTCCTGAACAACATCACATTCAACGACAAGGGCAATGTGCGTCCTATCTTCTGGCGTCTTTCACTGGCCGAGATGGTCGTGCCATACGGCAACCCAGAACATCCGCACCAACGCAAGCACGCATTCGACCTGGGCGAGTACGGCGGTGGATACATGACCAACAGCCTGACCCTAGGATGTGACTGCAAGGGCGCAATCCACTACATGGACGCGGCATTCGTCAACCGTGCCGGTGCCAGCACAATCATCAAGAACGCCATCTGCATCCACGAAGAAGACGCCGGCATCCTATTCAAGCACACCGATTTCCGCGACGAGTCCATGGTTGTAACCCGCGGCCGAAAGCTCATCATCTCCCAGATCTTCACCGCAGCAAACTACGAGTACTGCGTGTACTGGATCTTCCACCAGGACGGCACAGTCCAGCTCGAGATCAAGCTGACCGGAATCCTCAACACCTACGCCATGAACCCAGGTGAGGATACCAAGGGCTGGGGAACTGAGGTGTACCCGGGCGTCAACGCCCACAACCACCAGCACCTGTTCTGTCTGCGTGTAGACCCGAACATCGACGGACCAAGCAATACCGTCTTCCAGGTAGATGCAGTGCAAGGACCCGGCGAAGTCGGCAGCGCCGAGAACAAGTACGGAAACGCCTTCTACGCCAAAAAGACAAAGTTCTCCACACCTCTCGAGGCTATGTCCGACTATGACGGGTCTACCAGCCGTACCTGGGACATGGCCAATACCAACAAGCTCAACCCATACAGCAAGAAGCCCGTCAGCTACAAGCTAGTCAGCCGTGACGTTCCTCCCCTGCTCCCCAAGGCGGGTGGACTGGTCTGGAAGCGAGCTGGATTCGCACGCCATGCCGTCCACGTCACCAAATGTAAGTTTTGTCATTTTCCCTTTTTATATCATGTTCCTTTTCTAACCCAATTCTCCAGATGACGACGACCAAGTCCACCCAGCCGGCCGCCACGTCCCACAGACCTCCGGTGAGCCCTCAGAGGGTCTCCCCGCGTGGATCGAAGCTGCTGGTCCCAATTGCTCTATCGATAACACCGACGTCGTGCTTTGGCACACTTTCGGCCTGACACACTTCCCTGCACCGGAGGATTACCCGATCATGCCTGCGGAGCCAATGACACTTCTTCTGCGCCCTCGCAACTTCTTTGACCGTAACCCAGTCCTTGATGTGCCTCCTAGCTTTGCGCGTACGCCAACGCAGGTGGCCGCTAACGCGAGCTCTTGTGCCTGCAAGAAGAGTGATGGGTCCAGTGTGTTGGTTTGATCTGACGAGATTAGATATTGTTCTTGGTTACTGATTTCTAAGCGTGCACTTCTTGTATATAGATTATATTTTTTTGGGGCCTATGAAATGGACTATTTATTCTTGATATACCTGATAGTTTGGGGAACTTAATGTACAAAGTAGTTGTGGGCAATTGGACTATCTCCAGGAGCTATAGGCGTAGATTGGTTTCCTACAAGGGCCATATTGTCACGTCCGATATTGATGAGGATTGGCTACCTGTTGCACACCATTGTCGGGGTATTAAAGAGACGGGAGACCGAGCTCGCGATGAGGAACTGTGCACACCAGGGGCCTTTTGAGAGGTCTTTTGAAATGAAGTCTATATGAAAGTCTAAGAAGATGAAGTGCAACTAGGCAAGAGCGAGGGAAGCAGCTTCCCCAAGAACTTTTAGTAAATACCAGACGTGTGTCCGCTTAGATAAATTCGAGAAACCTCAATGCATAAACGCCTCGAAACATCCCAACAGGGAGGGAATCATGTAGTCAGAAACCAAAATCATAAAAGCCTCGACACAATGTCTAGCCAACACGCATAAACAAAGAAGGGCCAGCTGTGCAGGAACAAAACAAAAAGCAGAAAGCAACTCTAAGCCGACAATCCCCGCAACAAAGCCCTATCAACCTCCCCAAGCAACGCAAACAACTCCTTCCCACCCTCCGAATCCTTCCCTTCAATATCAAGCGACTTGTGCAAGAACTTGCGCGCCTCCTCATATCGAGTCATCTCCGCAAGACACTTAGCAATGCGCCACCAAGCCTTAACATTCCCAACAGGCTTCGAGTCCACACTAGCCTTAGCGTCAATCAGCGCCTCGGGCCAAGCCTGCAATGCCATCTGCGCCTGCGCGCGGTTTGCATAGAGACCCGACAACTCCTCGCGCGCAACGCCCATAGGCTCCCAGCCCGGCCGGCTGAGGCCCATGTCGATGGCGTAGGAGTACAGCTTGATCGCCTCGTCGTAGTTTGCTTTGCGGTGAGCGGCGTTGGCGGTGTCGCGGAGTTTGCTAATCTGGGCACTGCGCTTGGGGTTTACGGGGAGGGGCGCCGGGGGGATGTTGGGTGGGTCGAGGCTGATTAAAGCGCGGTGTAGTTGGTTCAGTTCTTCCAGTTCGGCATTGATTGCGGCTGCTTGGGAGGGTGTTTGGGCGGATGATTGTGGGAGTGAGAGGGCTTTGGTGGCTGGGTCCATGTACAATGGGTATTGATTGTAGAGGTCGATTTCGCTGGCCATTTTTCGGGTTTGGGAGACCGGAGGTCTCGGGTTTGAGATTGTGAGGTCGGTGTTGCTTCTTAGGGTTGTTAGTATATGCGCTGCGGTGTGACTGGGCGGGTAATTGGGTGGTGGAATGGCAAGATGTGGTGGGGGAATGGGTTAATTCATACATGGTACAGTTCAGGATGTACTGTCTAGCTGTTGCACAAAGCACAGTTCAATTTGAGGTCAATATTCGGAGTTGTACTTGTCAAGAGATGATGATGGCAAGAGGGCAAGCTGTCCATAAACCCGCTGATATGGAAAGCGGTGGCAGAATACTGGTACCTTGTGTTATCTATATTTCTTTCCTCCGAGGTCTACAACATACGACAAGGTGAGAAGGTAACTAAAGTGACATGATCATAAAAAAAATGAGTATGTCATGGCTTCATACTCCCGAGGTCCCCAGAAATTATTTTGTTTGCGAACAGATTGTCAAGGCCTCACCGTTCAAGATATCATCTATATATATTGTCTATCAATATATTGTATTTCAATCTACAAACAATCACCAAGACATATAAATTTACAATGCAATACATCTATATTTTGCTAGATCCAATTCAACAAAAGCAGGACATATAATCGTAATCACAGGGCCAAAAGACCCTTGAGAAACATGGGTAAAAACAAGGGCATCAGCCCAGAGTAAACAGCGATGCGCCCAACACCGCTTCATGTTCAATATCCAAGGCGCAAAAAAAGCAAGACGACTCATCAATCCTCCGGGTATTTCACTGAGCTATGCCTCCATGTACACTACCAACACTCTTCACTCAACTCGGCCGTCTACCGTAATTCACCGACGAGCCGTTAAACCCAGTGGGAGCAGTGTACTCAGACGGGGTGTATTCCGATGGATTGTACTGAGTAGAGGGCTCCGCATAGTGCTGTCCATGCGCACCACCGTAGCCAGTGTTGTAATCATGGAGGACGCCTCCGGGCGCGGGAGCGGTGGGATCGTAGGCGCCTTGCATCGCGGTCCGGCCGTGTGTGCTGCCTAGGTCATCCACCTCGCTCTGGTGCAAGAGAGCATAGTCTTCATCCCGGTCGCTGCGGGATGAGGCGCCCATGCCGCCGCCTCGGCCGGATCGCATGTCATCATCGTCCTCCTCAAAGTCGTGGGCTGGGTTCGATGAGAAGGCAGCTTTGCTCTGCGCGGCGAAAGTAGGGTCGGAAACAGCGTCGGGGAGGGTGCCGGTGCGGCGGAAGTGCACAACGTTGCGGAAGGACATCCAGGCGGTGACGGCGAAGAGGATGCTTTTTGTTTGTTAGTTTTATCCAAAGAATTGTTGCGTCGCGGAGTTAGAAGGAATCCACATACAAAATGAAAACACCCATGATTGTAGTGGCCTCGCTCAGCTTGCATTTAGCAGAGCTTCCATATGCCCAGTTATCGCATCCGGTCTTGGTGGTCGTGTCATCGGCTCTCTTGGTGGTGGTTTTGGAGTCGGAGCTGGATGTCTTGCTGTCGCTGCTCGAGCCCTTGGACTTTCCTTGGGCGACGTAAGAAGCAAGACAGATCCAGGCACTAAGCCAGAGAATCGAATAGAGGATGTCGACACAGGCGAAGGCATACACGTTACCGAAGCGTCGGGCTCGTGGCCACATTGGCACTGCCACCAGGTAAACCAGGCCGGGAATACTCAGCCAGCACTACCATGCGATCATATGTCAGAATGAAAGAACTCTTTTTTTGCGATATCAGAATCGCTGAAATAGAAAACTCACCAGACCCCAGTACCAGCCTGTGCGTCCGTCGATGCCGTCTCCTTTAGTCCAGATAGCGATGGTTAAGGCCCATGCGAGGAAGATAGTGAATCCTTGTATGAAATGTAATATGTTCTTCGTTCGTCCGAGGCTTCCGCCTGACGGCATTTGAAACTTCATCTTGTGTGTAGGAGCGCTGCAAGGGTGTTGTTGCGCTTTTGGTATTGGCCCGGAGGGAAGGGAGGGGGTGGTCTCGGAGTGAGGAGATAATCTATCGTGAAGTCATACGGGACACAAAAAGTGATAGATGAGACAAGAATAAGACCTGGGGGGGGCTCTGTCTTGGCCAGGCTGAGGCTGCGTGGAGAAAGGTTATCGGTTTGTTTTGTTTTGTTTTTTTCTGTTCAGTTTTACGTCGCAATGTCGCAACTTTGCAACTGTTATAATCACAACGTAGAGATATGTAACTAAATTGAATTGTTCAATATTCAATCGGCTCAACTTATCTCTCTTACACTCTGATCTGTTGTTTCCGGGCATACGTATGTCCTCCACATCGCCCAGGCGACAGCCCGTTACTATTTCGGGAACTCCGCCACACTCTGCTTGGCATATGCCTGACTGCTTCCACAGTCTCAAAGGTTATACTCCGTGCATAGTGCATAGAAAGGTCTTCTGCACGGTTTAGGATTTTTACTGCCTTTTACTGCCTTCGCCTACATCTAAAAAAAGCGCCTGAAAAGTCTCTAAAAAGAACATCTTAAAACACATCGAAGTGTTCGTATATATGACGTCCCTAATATCGTTTCGGCCCAAAGATCGGCCCGGATTATTAAAGTGTTACGTCAAGGACGAAGGCCGACTATTCTCGTACATCATAGTCTCGTTTCTCATATACTCATGCTAGCATAAAGGGAAATACATAATCAAGCCAATCCCGCCTCTCGTGTTTGTTTCATCAACACCCAAATCTCTCGCAGTGGTTGATAGACATGTACTTGCCACCACCAGGGAACCGGATCAAGAAAAGAAAACAGGGGGTCTTTCCAGAATAACAGCCTCACTAGTTCTGCCTCTGCAACTTCAAGAGTCGTGAGCGCAAAGTGAAATAACGAAAACTGCAAGAAAGCAGCGGGAAGAATGGCGGCTCGGGCAAAGGTTGGCGTTGAACGGGTTGATGACAGTGTCGCTGCGACGTTGGCTGTATCGACTGGATTGGAAGGGAACACAGATAGATACCCTGCAATGGGGCAAGGCGCATTATACAGCAGATTGTCAACAACTCTGGCGCCAGATGTACAGCCGGCGATGTAGATAGTGTGTCGGACAGAATGCACGCCGAACTCTTCATCAACCATGAGTCGCACGGAGAGATGGCCTGTCAAGCGAACACCACTTTTGGTTGCCAATGTCTGCATGAGTCTGTGAACCGAAGCGGCCAGAGCTTCATCTAGACGCGATGCACCCCACGTAGACGAACCAGGATCCGAAAGCCGAACCGTAATGGCTTGAACATGGCCACGCACAACTAGTAGGTCTGCGAATAACTCTCCGAGGCGAGATTGTTGCTGCAGAATCCAGGGTCGCTCTTTGGAGATCTGAATCTCGCTGACCACCGAGTATGTCTTGCTCAGCGTGCGCCTCGGCAAGAGCATAGCTTTCTCATTCGCAGTTGGGGTGGCTCGTGAGATCTGGTAGGTTTTGGAGGGCGACCGGTGCAAGATTTTGTGCACAGAGTCGCGCGATTGGACTCTGTGATACTCAAGCACAGGAAGACCTCTTTCAGTCACATACTTCCTGAAAGAATCAGGATTGGCGAAGCAAGCCGCCAACTCGGTGTCAAAGGTGATGCACTTGCAGCTAGTGCGACTCTCAACGACCTGTCGGGCCGTCGCATCTTCAATGGAGGATGCCTTGGGCGAGCATGGAATCCACAGGTCGACCTTTTCACGGTGGATAACGTCGAGTAGCCGGGAGATGTAATGAGCCTTAGGAATTCGGTAGAATGCTACCAGGACCTTGGACATACTCCCGCCGGAGCGCACGGGCAGGTCCAGGTCTGTAACATCGGCGCCAATCACGCGGTGGCCTTCTACTGCCCATGACCTTGCCAGAGTCAGGCCATGGGCAGTACCTATGCCCGTGATGAGGACTGTTTTCGGGTAAAAACGCACATTTCGTTGTGTCGCTCGGTGTCGATTGGCTATTGACCGGAGATGGGCCAACAATCCCGCGACCACGAGAATGGTATTATCGACAAATAACAGCGAGAATGAAAGGCATATTCGAAGGAGATGCCAGAATACTCGTGACAAAGTACCCGATGACACTGAAGCTTTGGCGGATTTGATTGACATGTTGAGTCTCTGCCTCAGCGCAACGAGCGAATAGATGTGTTTGCTCATTTGACTACGGAGTACAGGTATTTGGAATAATAAACCTCGAAAGGCTCGCCTCGATTATAGGACATGGTCCTTGACAAGGAGTGAAAATGTGAGTTGGCGGTGGCTGGGTATTAATGAGGGGCTTGGGCTGCAGACCTAGTTTGGTGTGACGGTGTGACGATGTGACGATGCATTTTCAACGTTAAACACTTAAAACACTTAAAACACTTAAACCCTCGATCTATCTAAATAACCTTGGGAGATCAAGACCTCCGGGTAAATTTCCTTAGAGCTAACGGCAGGGGTCTCGGATCTAACCCCCAGGGTTAGGAAATATACGGAATTACCATATGGGATCAGGTTTCCGACCCCGTACTTTGTATCGGTGCGCTCGGCACTAATTGCCCGATGGGATATCTCCGAGGTATATAAATTTCCAGACTTGGAACGGTGATAACGCCATCTACTAATGAGTGGTGAATAGTGAGTGGTGTGTGTGGTCCGACTCGGACTTTCATACTGTCTTTACCCGAAGTATATTCCAAGGGTTATCCCCGAGGTTCGTAGACATTTATAAGTCGACTTGTCCGCGTAGTTACTTGAATCACTTATTCAATTCCCTTGAGCTAAATCCACATCATGTCTACACAAGTTCCCGCGGTAGGAATTGCACTTTGACCATTGATTGTGAGTCATGAGCGCTAACTTATACTTTAGAGCGACGCCGGCAAGGAGCTGAAGCTCCTGCATTACATCTATGGGCAACCAAATCTGGATGAAATCCGGGGCCATCCCCAAAAAGTGATCGATCTGATCCATGAGTTTGAGAAAAACTACCGTTTCATGATTATTGGCGCCGAAAAGGGCAAATTCATCACCAAACTTATCGATGAACAAAAGCCAAAGACCATGATCGAGTTGGGTTGCTATGTGGGCTACTCTGCGATCTTGTTCGGCGATGCGGTCCGTCGAAATGGTGGTGAACGCTACTTGAGTCTCGAGTTGAACCCAGAGTTTGCCGCAATTGCCAATATGCTCGTCGAGCTAGCTGGATTGCGTGACTTTGTGCGTATCATCGTCGGTCGAAGCGACTTGTCGCTACACAAACTCCTCACCTCGGGCGAGGTGAAAGAAGTGGAACTTCTCTTCCTCGATCATTACAAACCGGCGTATACCACTGACCTCAAGATTTGTGAGCACTTTGGGGCCATTGTGCCTGGTTCGGTACTCGCTGCTGACAATGTCCTTTACCCGGGCAACCCACCATATCTGGAATATGTCCGCAGCACGGTGGAACAGAAGCGTGAAGCAGCCAAGGCTGGACCTTCTCAGGTTTATAACACTACCGGGATTGCCGAACGTGCGGTCCAGTCCTATGTGGAGAAAGATGACGTGCCCACTTTCCGATTTGTCGGGAACCCGAACTTGGTGTATGAGAGTCAGTTATGCCAACCCGAGGGATTGCGGGTAAGTTTGTTCCAAGAAAGAAATCTTCGGTGTCACTAACCGCAATTTGACAGGATGCTGTTGAAGTCACGAGGTGTGTGGGGGTGCAAGAGGCATAGATACTTAAATCTAAATCGTGCATGACGCAATGCGGATAGCGACATACAACATATGTTGTATGCCGATATGTTCGATGTTTTTTTTTTTTTTACTACTCCGTATGGTCTGGTGAAAGCGTGGCGGAGAAATAGCGGATAACATCCGCCTTAACAATAGTTTTAGTGGAGAAGTAGTCTCCCAGAATCATACGAGTTCATTTCATTGGTTCAATTTGACATGAGGGTCCATCATCTTCAAGAGCTACATTGTTAATCTCTAGCAGAAACCTGTACCACACATTTGTCTGAAAGGTTCGTCAACACTGAACAATGGGAACTCCGTCATATGTCAAGAGAATCGAATACAACCTTGGAAGAAATAGTCATTATTAATCAGGGACAGAGTGCTCCGAAGTACAAAGATGTCGAGTCGAACGTTGCCACATCGGGAAACCGACTCGGCCTTTGGGGCGACCCCCACCTGAGCCAACATTGCCGTCGCCAGGACCTTCCCGCATTCTCCCCGCTAAATGATTTCCGGGGCCATATAAAAAGTCTCTGCCCCTCCTAATTTCTCCCTCAATTAATTCTCAATCTATATCTCATCATGGCTAGCAAGATTTACAATGTCGGCGTTGTCGGTTACGGCTTTAGCGCAAAGATCTTCCACATTCCCTTCGTGAAGGAGGTTCCTGAGCTCAAGCTCTACGCAGTTGTCCAGCGCACCCCGAAGCAGGATGATGATGCCGAGAAGGACCACCCCGGCGTGAAGTCGTTCCGTACCACTGAGGAGATGGTCCAGGACCCCGCAATCGACGTGGTGATCATCACTACTGCCCCCGATTCTCACTTCGCGCTGTCTAAGCTGGCGCTGGAGGCTGGCAAGCACGGTAAGTGCCCAGAAGGTCCTGGATTACAATTAGCATAGACAAACTAACGTGGGATATATCAGTCGTCTGCGAGAAGCCCTTCACCCCCACCACCCAGGAAGCCGATGAACTCGTCGCCATTGCGAAGAAGAACAACAAGCAGCTTGCCGTGTTCCAGAGTATGTCTGGTGATCTAGCTGATGCAAACCCCTACTAATACCTGCCCTAGACCGCCGCTGGGATGCCGACTTCGTGACCCTCTCCAAGCTCGTCAAGAATGGCTCACTCGGCCGCATCTCCGAATTCGAGACCCACTTCGACCGCCACCGTCCCGAGGAGCCGGCCTCCGACTCTCACAAGTGGAAGAACAAGGTCATCCCTGGTGGCTCAGCGATCTATGACCTTGGAACCCACCTTCTGGACCAGGTCGTGCACCTGCTCGGTCTCCCCGCGCGGGTGACCGGTTTCATTGGCTCCGCCCGGGAGGCCAACTCATCTTCTTACGAAGACTCCTTCACTGTTCTGCTGCATTATGCTAACGGCACATTGGCCACTGCCAAGGCGACCGTGGTCAGCCCCGAGGATGAGCAGCTGCGCTTCTGGGTGCGGGGTGACAAGGGTAGCTTCAAGAAGGTAAGAGCATCTACTTGTGCAGACTACGATGTAAAAAAGTAAAAGCTAACCTGATTGTATAGTACCACCTTGATATCCAAGAAGATCAACTCAAGGCCGGCATCATGCCCCAAGATAAGGGCTATGGCCGTGAGCCCCGTGAGCGTTACGGTGCTCTGACTACTATCAAGGACGGCAAGCCCGTCAAGGAAGTGGTCCCCACCGTGGAGCCCCCCACCTACACTGAGTACTACCGCAAGCTTGTCCGCGCTCTTAACGGCGAGGGTGATCTCCCTGCCAGTGGCGCGGAGGCCCGCGAGGTCATTCGTTTGATCGAGTTGGCTCGTGAGAGTTCCCGCACTGGACGTACTTTGGACGTGTAAGCTCATGTTTGTATGCAATAATGATTATGATATACTTGATAAAAGGCAATATAGCTTGAAGTTTTGGATGAAATTCTTTGCTGCAATAAATCCCGTAATTACCCTTGCACTTAGCAACGAAACAATTAACATTGTTACACAAAAGCATTTCAACGGCTGAAACTGTAGATCTCCAATCATGTCCGCTCTCAAAGTACGTGGAAATTGTTTGGATATCCATATCCATATTGCTGCCTAACAACGGCCCCTAAATGCTACTAGGCAGTTGACTGGATTTTCCCCGTCACATGGTAGGCACGAGCTAGGGGTCTGACCATATTTTCTCTTATACGTACGGAGGGCTTTGCAAATTGTTCCACGGCCCCCTTGAAGAATTAAATCTTGAGCTAAGAATACTTATGATGGACGTCAAATCGCTACCAGATTTCCGATTCTTCCCATATCCAGTCGAATCTAAAGAACTGCTACCACCAGATGACCCAATTACCCTCAACATTTCGTCGTCATGGACTTACTGCGGGCCCCTCTTGACCCTTGAATCATGTAAACTGCCATCCTCCTTCAATACATGGGCAGAATCCACCATCAACGGCTCAATAATGCCCTCATTGTTCTCCTTCCTGACATACGTCCACGATTTCCTGACCAGAAACAACCAATCCCACTACTGGCTCACAATCAGAGCAAGTAAAGGCTCAGACGAATTCGACATCCCACGCTGGCACACAGACGATTTATTCTTCTCTCCACTCAGGCCACCAATAAACCATAGACGTGAATCCCTCTTCTCACCAATCACTAACCTACTCAAATCCACCTGGACAAGACCAACAACAAACCAAGACCTCTCGACCCCAATCCTAACCTCCAAACTTCAAACCAAGCATCATGAACATCACCCAGCACTCACACCTACACCCCCAACCGCCCAAATCCCCTCTACAAGTCCGACCCCAACAAACTGGAAACTCACAACAACCCTCCTAGGCCCAGGAACCCTATTCATTCCACCGGCAACAAACCACCTAGCCCGCGCCACGCAGCAAGCGGCCAAAACCGCTGCCCGCACCGCACACCCAAACCATATCTGCGTCTCTGTGCGCTGTGTCGGGTGCGCCATGGCGGCAGAGTCGGTGCGAGAACGGCTGGCCGTTGAGCTAGGCGCACATGGGACTGTGCAGGCGTCAGCGGGGGAGTGTGTTTTCTTCCGGGTTGGCGAGGACGAGGGCGCGGTGCATTCTGAGCCGCGATCCCATGGGGATCGGGTTTTTGTTAATGTTATTCCTGGTCATGAGGCGGATCTTAGGGCGCTTATGGCGAAGTGGGGGATGGAGTATCCGCGGGCTTGGTGTGTGGGGTTGCCGTTGGTTATTGGGGAGGGGGAGGAGTGTTTGAGGGATGTTGGGAGTGAGCTTTGAGTCTTTTTCTTTATGGAAATGTTGTGTATTGGTGTTGGAGACATCTTGGTATTCTTTAGTATAGATGAATGCTCTGGTATTGACCGGACATAAATCACAATAGCCGGGAGAGCTCGTCTGGCAATCAACTCCAATTTTTATTTCAGTGATATTCCAAAGCAATCAATAAAAGCAACCTATAAATGTTAGTTGTAGCGGGCTACATCTATACGATGCATTGACGAAATAGGAAATATCGTCAGGCTGGCCAATGACGCTATGCCAAGCCGCTAGTCCCAAACGGTAATTTATGTTACCAAATGTAAATCCGCTGAGTGGACAAGAAATTGGACCTGGCATCGACCTTTAGGACGTCGGATATTTGACATCCGCGGAGAAAGAGAGAAGGCTTGCGTGTTAGACCGCACACATGAGGTATTGCTCACTAAGAGGGACCGGGAAACGGTGGATGGAGGGTTCTTTCTTTATTCCCCGACAGGGCTGAACCCCACAGTGAGATGTCTTCATGAGATTTGACGCTGCTGTGAGATCTCCAGTAAAACCTACCAGAGCCTAGAGCATATCTGCCATTCACAGCAGAATTCCAGCATGGCGTCATCTCCACATGGGCCCGTGACGCTATCCCACCCGACGACCTGGAATTTTGACATCGATCGGTATGTGAATCCGTTCGTGCCAGCACCACGATGGCATCTCATACCAAAGCCTTTCGCCTATATGCTGGGATATCGGGAGAGACCACCCAAGCCAATAGGCAACATCGTGATCGCGTTGTGGTCGTTGGTTGGAGCGTTTTGTGGGGTGGCTTTGGTGGCATCTGTTTCGAAACGGGTACCTTCTTTTGAAGCGCGTGATGCAACAGTTATTGTTGGCAGTTTTGTAAGTTGTGGTGGGGGTCTGATCCGAGAGCAGAGTAGAACAAGAACAACCCAGGGCTGACTATGTTTCTTTGATAATAGGGTGCGGCGGCAGTTATTGAATTCGGTGCGATCGACTCGCCCTTCGCACAACCACGCAATGCTGTCCTGAGCCAGGTCATCGCCTGCTTTTTCGGCGTTGGGATATCGAAGTTGTTCGCCTTGGACCCTCGTGCTGAATCGTATACTGAGCTTGGGGGTGCTCTGGCTTGCGCTCTTACCACGGCTGTCATGATTCTCACCAAAACTACACACCCGCCCGCGGGTGCAACTGCTCTTCTGGCTGTGACACACTCTCAAACTGTTGCTTTGGGCTGGTTTTTGTTCCCGGTCATGTTGCTTGGAGTCACACTTATGCAGGCTGCGGCCGTGGTCATCAACAATATCCAGCGTCGGTATCCGCTGTACTGGTGGACATCACATCCTCTTTCACGGTCTCGAGGGGATGTTGAAAAGGCGATTCAAAAGGAAACAACTAGTGTCACTAGTCATTATGAGGATAGTCTGACTGATGTTCCTCGACGGTTGGTTGTAGAACATGGTGATATTTTGGTGCCTGATGGGATATTGCTTTCTGCCGAGGAGCACGAAGTATTGCTGAAGATTAGTGAAAGACTTTGAGGCTTTGAAGTGGGAGACCGCACATATTAAATATTAGCATGTTATCTCTCGTCCTTAGATAGTCCTGTTATCGTCCAGTCGCGTTTCACACAAATCAAAGTGGCAAATAGACACCTCAGGCATTCACTACGGTGACGTCTCTCCCAATCAAAATCCACTTATGTCCATGGCCCACTGATTGATTTTTTTTTTTTGGTGAAATTTCTTGGACCCTTGAACTTGCCAACTCACTCTATCCTCTAGCCAAATAAATAAATTTATAAGTGAGAAAGGTACGTTCTACTTTCAATTCTTTTTTCTCTTTTTCTCTCATTGACAATCGATAGGATTCTATCGATAAGGGCAAACCACCAACTCCACTGCTCTACGCCCCTCCATTTCTGTCCGCCCCGCCAGGCGATCCACTCAGCCTTTTTGCATTTCTCTTCAATCTCTTTTTGCATTGTCATCCTTTCTCCTCTCCCTCCCTTTGCTTTCCGTCTTCCCTTACTTCTTTTTTTAAACCCCCTTTTTTTATACCGTCACACACGCAACCATGGTTTCCGCCTCGAAGGCTGCCCGCATGGCCAAGCGTGCCGACGAGAAGAAGCCCAAGAAGGTCACCAAGGTCGAGCTCGATGCCCACGGAAACCCCATCGTCGAGGATGCGCCCGCCACTAAGGATCAGTCCGTCGTTGATAAGCTCACAGCCCAGCTGGATAAGCACGGTCTGTCCGATCGTGTCACCACCGGTGTGCTGTCATCTCTCCCCGCCTCTCGCGATGTTAAGATCACCTCTTGCTCCCTTGTGTTCCACGGAAAGGTCCTGGTCACCGATTCCACCCTCGAGTTGACCTTCGGCCGTCGATACGGTCTCCTCGGTGAGAACGGTTGCGGAAAGTCTACTATCCTCAAGTCCATTGCTGCCCGCGAGTACCCCGTTCCCGAGCACATCGATATCTACCTCCTGAACGAGGGTGCACCCCCCACCGACTTCGGTGCCCTTGACTGGGTTGTCCGCGAGGCTGAACGCCAGTTGGATGAGATGGAGAAGAAGGCCGAGCAGGTTCTTGAGGATGATGGCCCTGATAGCCCTATCCTTGAAGACTTATATGACGTACGTATTTTTCGCATTTTTCGAGTCGTACTTTACTTGGTTCCAGAACACAAGCTAACTATCCTGTACAGCGCATGGACAAGATGGATCCTTCCACTTTCCACGTTCGTGCCTCCCTCATTTTGACCGGTCTCGGCTTCAACAAGAACACCATCAACAAGAAGACCAAGGACATGTCCGGTGGTTGGCGTATGCGTGTTGCCCTCGCCAAGGCCCTGTTCGTCAAGCCCTCTTTGCTCTTGCTTGATGACCCCACTGCCCATTTGGACTTGGAGGCTTGCGTGTGGCTCGAGGAGTACCTGAAGAAGTGGGATCGTACTTTGATCCTGGTTTCTCACTCCATGGATTTCCTGAACGGTGTCTGCACCACCATGCTTGATATGCGTGGCCAGAAGCTCCTCTACTACGGTGGTAACTACGATTCTTACCACAAGACCCGTAGCGAGCAGGAGACCAACCAGGCCAAGGCCTACACCAAGCAGCAAGAAGAAATCCAGCACATCAAGAAGTTCATTGCTTCCGCTGGTACCTACGCTAACTTGGTGCGTCAAGCCAAGTCTCGCCAGAAGATTCTCGACAAGATGGAGGCCGATGGTTTCATCCAGCCCGTTGTTGCCGACCGTGTCTTCACCTTCCGTTTCGCCGATGTTGAGAAGCTTCCTCCCCCAGTTCTTTCCTTCGACGATGTCAGTTTCTCTTACTCCGGTAACTGGGACGACACCCTGTACGAGCACCTTGATCTCGGTGTCGACATGGACTCCCGTACCGCCCTGGTCGGCCCCAACGGTGTCGGCAAGTCTACCCTGCTCCGTCTCATGACCGGCAAGCTCAGCCCCATCGGTGGCCGTGTCTCCCGTCACACTCACTTGAAGCTCGGTGTTTACAGCCAGCACTCTTCTGAGCAGCTTGATCTCACCAAGTCCTCCCTGGAGTTCGTCCGTGACCGCTTCCCCGAGAAGTCCCAGGATTACCAGTACTGGCGCCAGCAGCTCGGCCGCTACGGTCTGAGTGGTGAGGGCCAGACTGCCCTCATGGGTACCTTGTCCGAGGGTCAGAAGTCTCGTATTGTCTTCGCTCTGCTTGCCATCGAGTCCCCCAACATGATTCTTCTTGACGAGCCTACCAACGGTCTCGATATCCCCACCATTGACTCCTTGGCCGATGCCATCAACGCCTACAGCGGTGGTGTCGTTGTCGTCTCCCACGATTTCCGTCTCCTCGACAAGATCGCCAAGGACATCATGGTTTGTGAGGACAAGACCATCCGCCGCTGGGACGGTTCCATCGGTGAATACAAGAACCACCTCCGCAACAAGATGTTGTCTTCCGGTGCCGTTTAAGGGCTTTATTGATTCTTTTTTATTCAACTTTGTTCAACTTCTTTTTTTCCACCTATTGATGACGACGAAATGCTAGACGAGAACTGAAGGAATACAAATGCCCACATGGCACTAAAAGTTTGGTTCCCGGCAAACAGGGACACAACAAAAGGTTCCTTGGATTGGGATGGTTTTCATTTATTTTCTTTTTGTCCGTTAGATCGTTTGTCCTTCCTCCCTTTCCGAATAGATTTTGGGTTATGGAGGATTGGACTTCTGCGTTTGCTATCATGAACTCATTACCCCTGCCGTCTGTTTTTCGCTTTCCTGTCTTGTGCATCCTTGATAGAGTATCTAGTCCTCTCTTCCGAGGTGAATATAAGGGATGCCAGTCTGAATTATATCCGTATGACTTGTAATTCTTGCTTGAAGAATAGGCTATATTCTCTCAGTATTTACATATGGCACCAAATTATGTACATGATTCAGACTTCTGATTGATTGATATGTTGTCTATATCCTGTCTAGATAATCTTCCTCATAAGCAGTGCTGTCAAGGCTGAAGATCGGCTATAGAACTGGTTCAAGAATTGTCAATCCCTTTCTTCTCATCTTGTTGATCTTATCCCAACACTAATAGAACACACCGTGGCGATGCACCAAGCGACAAAGAACATCAACAATGGCAATAGTAGCCCTCATTGTCTTTCTCTGTCTCTCGAACAAAGAACCAAATCCAAGTCAACATCAAGGACATACATAAATACCCCGGGATCTCACCAAATTCCCTATCCCATCTCGGCCAACATCTCATCTGATTCTCCAAAGCCATAACCAGATCTAGGTAAGCCCTATCAAATTAACCCACTCACACTAGAAACCCAGAAGCTCGCCTACACAGATATCTACACACCCATACCCACCAACACAATGAACGGAGCCCGCATACACCCCCACAACTTCCGCCAGATCTACACACAAGCCTGCGAAACCTTCACCCACAAGCTCCAGTGCCAGATATTCAGTCTCCTGAGCTCATCACCCAGCCCTGACATGGAGGAGATCAGCACACGACTGGAGGAGCTCTGCGAGCGGGTGATTCAGATTGGATTCCTGGGCGAGGTCGGCGAGTTCGGGATCCGGGATGATAACCGCGTGCGTATCCGTTGGGGCTCGCTTTCTATTAAGGAGATCTGCTTTGAGATTAAGTGGGAACTGACTGTGATCAAAGATGAGCTTGCTAGCGGTTCTGCGGCTCCCTTGCTGGTTGCGGATCTTTTGGTCGATACTTTGGATCATTTGCCTTTTTGAATATAACTTATTTTTATGGTTAGGATGCTTGTTTTTTGTTTGATTTGTAGAGTAGGGTTTATAGGAATGGTTCATATTTTGGGGGTCATTTTGGGTCTCTACATAGATAGAAGAGTCTATGGGTATTAGCCAACAATGACACTCATAGTAGAATAATGGGACTAATGGCGTTGTTGTGTTGTACAGGATATACATTTTACCTGGCTATCTACTTCGGAGATTTAGAGAGGGAAATAGGCAGTGCCAATAACGACCATTGATTCGCATTGATGGACATCGAAATGCTGTATTCTATTTGGTACGAAGAGGTCTAATAGCTGTACGTAGGATTTGGAAATTGGAAATGTATTATCGTGTCCGACGTTTGATGCATCTAGAAATGTGTCCATTTTGGTATTTGATATTAAAATATTTGTGTATTTAGATTCAATGGCTTGCATGATCATTACTGCTTGGTTCGCTGAGTGACCAACTCCGGACCAAAAACATTATCATCCTGACGGATGATCTGTTCTTGTTCCAATTTCCGCTTTTTAGCTAGGCGTTCTGTTTCGCTCTCAGAAGTGACCACTCCAGTATCACTTTGAACAGCGGTAGATGGTTGGGCCGATTCCCGTTTCTGGGAAGCAGCCAGATTCACCTTCTCAGGGTTCTGACAATGATATAGTTTCTTTGCGATGCGCTTGAGACTCTTCATTTGCGCGGGGTCGGAGGAGAGGGGTGTGTAAGATTGAAGAAGAGTAGAGCATTCGGTCAAGACGTGATGCAGCTTGGAGCGAATTTCGTATAGAGGGTTCACCAAGCCATTTTCGTCTGTTTCGGGGGCAGGGATTGTGGCCGTGACAGGACCACCGAGTTTAACATCCAGCAAAAACTCAGCCAGGGGACGGTCTGCCAGTAAGAAGGCAGAAAACCAGATCTGGGATGGTGTGTACAAGAAGTAGGCGTCTGTCATCTGCGCAGCGGTTCTCAACAGCTCACGGGTTGTGCCGTGGGCCCGAGCGATTCGATCTGACATTGAGGACGATGGGACGGGAGGAGGTGCGATGGACAGCAATCCTTGTTGCAGATCTTCCGCGGTCTCATGTGGTAGATGGGGGGCTGGTTGGCCTTGGCCTTGTGCGATGGCTTGTAGTTCCATGACGCCGCCTTCGAGTCCCCGGAATGGATGCCGTACATCAAAAGTGAAACGGAGACCCTGCATGAGCAGGAATTCTGGTGCGATGACGTCCTCTGTCGTTGTGTCGCCAGGGATTCCATCTGCAAATTGCCGAAGAGAAATATAGTAATTATCGGTTTTGCTTGCGACGAAGAGCGCACAAGCCATGATCGACTTTGGGTGGTATGTCATGGGTGAATTGGTTAGGTAGAAGCGGCGGAGGTATTGGATCGCGGTGGCCTATATGCGCAGAACAAAAAGTCAGCTTCTCAAGCTTCATTTGTACGGACTTTCAGAAAAGCATAAAGTCCCCTAGAGCTTGACGTACCCGGACCATGGTCGGAATTGGTGGCTTGTATGTCTCTCCCAGCTCTAGCGTCTTCTCGCAGTAATACCGCACGAGAACGAGCTCCTCCTCTGGTGTCAAACATTCAACATCCTTCCCATCTTTGTTCTTGATTTCCGTATTGCTTTCCGGTAGTGGTGTTCCCGCCGCGGAGGATGCGGTTGACTGATGAGTTTCGCGCGATCTGCGCAAAGCGGCGCGCACGCGCTCACTGGCAACTGCATTCGTCGAGGCTCGGAGAGATTGTAGAGATGGCTCGGTATATGACCACAGTCGGTACTGGGATGAGGCACGGTAAATGTCGTCTTCAATCATGGTGGTGCTCTTGACTCGGAAGAATCAAAGGCTAGAAACCTTTATTCTTGGGCGGAGATAACGGCCGACTGCTTAGAGTATCACCAAAGAGAAATTCTGAGGATGAATAGGTGGAGATCGCAGGGCTGTTCTAAATATGAGAATAAAAATCGGAATTATGAATGAGCCCAGCAATTAATCCACTTGGGTTGAGTCGAGGGAGGTTGCTCGGAGCTGGTGCTTATCGATAACACAAACCCTCACTTCAGCTCTAGAGATCTACCTAAAGATCATAACATTTTTTTATTTTTATTTTATTGGTCTGAATATCGATTAAAAGCTATGTAGCAAATATTTAACATGCATAAACCACCCAATGCAATCCAATCATATTCCATATGTGCTTTCTGCCTTGTTTCATCCAGAGTCCACCACAGACACCAGAATATACATCACTCACCGAGAAGTCGGGCGGCAATATCACCCATACGACCTTCTTCCAGCTCGTAGTCTTGACCTCCTCGTCGCTCGACACCGACATATCGGAAAGCAGCCACAACACGATCAACGTCGAAACCCATGCTGGTGAAACGATCGATCAAATTCTTGTTGTATCCATCATATCTATAGATAATCATCAGCAACCATACCAAATAATGGCAGAAGAACGACTCACTTTGCAAGGCTGTCTTCGTCAGCTCCTTTCCGGGCGTCATCTAGGCTTGATCCGCTTCCATTGTTAGCACTACCCACGGGAGCTCCAGCATAGATGACTGCCCACTCGCGTGCAACACGCTCAAACTCCTTGGGTGACTTGAGAAGCATATTAGCTACTTCAGCATCTTGGGGATCTTTGGGCTCGGGTGTGCTAAGCAAAGATTGCAGCGAAAGCAGAGCGGACTTGATAGTCAGAACTGGCGACCAAGCGCTGGAAAGCGTGTCGAGGCAGATTGCACCCTACATTGGCAGTCAGAATCCAGTTTTTCTAAGATGGATATTGTGAAGAGGGCCCTGACCGTTTGACTGCTGACATTTGGATGCCACACCTTGGTCTCAAACTTCATAGTAGGTGGCCGGAAAGGGTAGTCGGTGGGGATTTTGATATCGATATTGTAGGTGCCACCTTCATACGGGGTGCCGGGTGGCCCTGGAAATGAGCCCCTTAGGTGAGTGACATCGTCCTGGCTCCCAAATGGCTCAGCCTTGATTTGAGAGTGGGCATCTGCGTGAATGTCCGCAATCTCTTTTCCAATGCGACGCATACGATTGCTAGCCATGGTGATTTGAGGACTTGTTTCAGAAAGAGGTCAATCAAGATATGTTGAAAGATGAGATCGCTTTATGTGTAAAGTGTGGGGAGAAATAGATCTATTTCTGTCTCGTCAAAGACCACGATGAAACTGCCGTGGAGAGAAGACGGAGTGGGGCTAATGGTAGGAGGATGGTGTTAGGAAGGGTTCAGATCAAGTAGAGAATATCACAACCGGAGTAAGAAATCCTCTATCGAATTAAAAGTAACAAGATAAACGAGGATCTTACCGAAGGAGGGGAACTATACGGGGAATCAGTATGAGCTCAAACACCTGTCACCTGTTATATGCACGTGAAATATAGGCCCCGAGACGGAAAAAACACAATTATCAATCCTGGATAGCGAAATGTAAATCCCAGTATAGAGCCTCGGCGGAATATAAATTTCTTTGGTTGTCTTCGAGAATGTCGGAGGTACAAGCAAGGTGCCGCCGATAACTAACTAAGATGGGCGTTAAGGCAATAAGGCGCGAATGACGCAGTGGCGGCCTGAGGCCTGGATAGTCACGTGTGGACCTAACAGCTTCCAGCTCGCCCAGTGTCTGACCTTCGGCGATACCACCACATCTGCATTGACAATCCATCCCTTTCGACTCGTGTTTTCCATCATTTAATACCAACTCAAAGCTCGGGACTCACCCTACTTTAGTTTCATTTGCAACTTCACGCTAGGGATTCTGATTGTCTCCCTCTCGGTGGCTGACAAACATGGTGAGTGTCCCAATCTTGCCAGCCTTTGGGAGGTTATCTCGATTAGCATTCTAACATTCAAAACTAGGGTCAACAGCAGTCTAACCTGGGCGGCGGCCCTGGAGGCGATGGTCGCGATGACAAGGATAAGAAGGTATGTTCCTACTCGTTTCTACTGCACAACTAGCGCTGAGACCATCTTTCTTTCATTAGAAGGATAAGCCCAAGTACGAACCTCCCCCACCACCTACCACTCGTCTTGGAAAGAAGAAGCGCAAGGCTGCCGGCCCAAGCACTGCGTCCAAGCTCCCCGATATCTACCCTACATCGCGATGCAAGCTACGATACCTTCGCATGCAGCGTGTTCACGACCACCTGCTGTTAGAAGAAGAATACGTTGAGAACATGGAAAGAATGCGCAAAGCCAAGGCCCAGGCCACCCAAGATCCCGCCAGGGGAGGTGGTGACTTGGATGTGATGGATCGAAACGCCGATGAGCGGAGTCGAGTCGATGACATGCGAGGCAGCCCGATGGGCGTCGGCAACTTAGAAGAGTTGATTGATGATGACCATGCTATTGTCTCAAGTGCCACCGGCCCTGAGTACTACGTCTCCATCATGTCTTTCGTCGATAAAGATCTCCTCGAGCCGGGCGCCAGCATTCTTCTACACCACAAGTCAGTGTCTGTCGTCGGTGTATTGACAGAAGAGTCTGACCCCCTCGTCTCGGTGATGAAGTTGGACAAGGCGCCCACAGAATCATACGCCGATATTGGAGGTCTGGAGCAGCAAATCCAGGAAGTTCGAGAATCCGTCGAGCTGCCCTTGCTACACCCCGAGCTGTACGAAGAGATGGGTATCAAGCCCCCCAAGGGTGTGATTCTTTATGGTGCCCCAGGTACCGGAAAGACGCTACTTGCCAAGGCTGTTGCCAACCAGACCAGCGCAACCTTCCTCCGCATTGTCGGCAGTGAGCTGATCCAGAAATATCTGGGCGATGGCCCCCGCTTGGTTCGCCAGATCTTCTCAGTTGCTGCTGACCATGCTCCATCAATTGTGTTCATTGACGAGATTGATGCTATCGGTACGAAGCGATACGAATCACAATCTGGCGGTGAGAGAGAAATTCAGCGAACCATGCTGGAGCTTTTGAACCAGCTGGATGGATTCGATGATCGTGGTGACGTCAAGGTCATTATGGCCACTAACAAGATTGAAACACTGGACCCAGCTTTGATCCGACCTGGTCGTATTGACCGTAAGATTCTCTTCGAGAATCCAGACCGTAAGTGGTACCCTTGATCTCTAGTGCTTCGTCGTGGCTTACTAACAATCTTTTAGAAAACACCAAGAAGAAGATTTTCACTCTGCACACATCGAAGATGTCTCTCGGTGATGATGTTGATCTTGAGGAGTTCATCAGCCAGAAGGACGATCTCTCTGGTGCTGACATCCGCGCCATCTGCACCGAAGCTGGTTTGATGGCCTTGAGAGAGCGCCGGATGAGGGTTCAGATGGACGATTTCCGGGCTGCTCGTGAGCGCATCATGAAGACCAAGCAGGACGGTGGTCCTGTGGAGGGTCTGTACTTGTAAGCGCTTGAAATTCTTTTGAAGGTAGAGTGCCGGAGTGCTTGCGCTGGAGACCTGTACTCAGCTAGGTCCCTGTGTATTGTAATAATCGAGTGACGAATCAATCTCAAGGGCGCACCGCCTAGCAATTTCCCTAAATTTATCAACAAACGTACATCAAAGTAGATAATTCGCCTGTTGTAGCTCTGCGCCAATAACTGCGGCTTATCGGTCACAAGTTGCAAACACTGCAAACAAGCTCACTATCAGGTCGAAGCCTCTCTCCATCTGTCGCAAAGTTTCTCACACACTCAATCATGGATGAATTCGATGAGGAAGCATTCAACAAGTTCTTCCCTTCCAGCTTTGGGAAGCAGGCGAAATCTGTTGATGTTGAGTCCCAGATCGGCCGATCCAAGCGTGTCGATGTCTCGGCTCCAAAACCCGAGGGCAATGAACTAAGCACTGGCATGACAGCCCCTAGCGCAGCAGCAAGAGGGAGCGACGATGAGCAAAAAGACAGTGATGATAATAGCGATGAAGACTCCGACGATTCAGATGATGACGAGGATGAATTTCCCGTATCGCATGAGCTCGTTCTTAAGGCTCATGAGCGTGCCGTGACCACCATGACCGTGGACCCCTCGGGGGCCCGACTAATCACAGGTTCTACCGATTGCACACTGAAACTATTTGACTTTGCCTCAATGACTCCATCTACACTCCGAGCTTTCAAGTCCGTCGATCCTTCAGCCAAGAAAGCCACGGCAGCCCAGGACACCCACGCCATACACTACGCCGCGTTCAATCCGCTCTCCCCAAGTTATGTTCTAGCTGTGACCGCCACTGCGCAGCCACGTATTCTCAGCCGTGATGGGGAGACACTCACAGAATTTGTGAAGGGAGATATGTATCTACGAGATTTGCACCATACCAAAGGACATGTGTCCGAGGTTACTTGTGGCGCATGGAACCCATCTGATCCTAACCTATGCGCAACCGCCGGAACCGACAGCACAATTCGTATCTGGGATGTCAATGTTGGTCGCTCGCAGAGGGAGGTGATCGTGCACAAATCACGGGCGGCTGGCTCCGCTGGTCGGACTAAGATGACTGCCATCGCATGGGGCTCCCCGAAACAAGGAGGCGCCAACGTTCTGGTAGGTGCGGGTCTCGATGGGAGCCTAGTTATGTGGAGTGGAAATGGTCCATACACAAGACCCAGCGCAGAAATCCGGGACGCTCATGTCAAAGATACATGGACAAGTGGTCTTGACATCAGTTCCGACGGAAGGCTTGTTATCACCAGAGGTGGTGATGATACGATCAAGCTTTGGGATACCAGAAAGTTCAAGACTCCAGTTACAACCGTCACACATACCTCGACATCTTCCCGCTACCCAACATCCAACATTCAGTTCTCTCCTTCATCTGCCAATATCATCACAGGCTCTGACACCGGCCATTTGCATATCCTCAATCCCGCTACTCTCAAGCCTGAGCTCGTCACTCCCGTGACACCGGGGTCGCCTTTGATTACTGTTCTATGGCACGAAAAGCTCAACCAGATTATGACGGGTTCCGCCAATGCCGAAACCCACGTCCTCTATAACCCGACCATGTCCACGAAGGGCGCAGCGACGGTCATGTCTAAGGCACCAAAACTCCGCCACGTCGATGAAATTGCTATCACTGCGGACTTGAACCAGGGATTGGCAGGTGATTCGGTGGTCGTCGGTTCCAACGGAGTTCCGCATTACAGTTCGGCAACTAGGTCTGCTCGTCATCCTACAGTCGGCTTTACAGCCTCTGGTCGCTCTCGGGATCCTCGCCGACCGCATATGCCGGTGCAAACGCCGTTTGCCAAAAACACCCCGGATGAGAAGCATATCCTCGAGCATATTCCACTCAGTTCCATGCGAGACGAGGATCCACGTGAAGCACTCTTGAAATATGCCACCCAGGCGGAGAAGGAGCCTATTTTCACCAAGGCATACAAGGAAACACAACCAAAGGCCATCTACGCGGAACTTAGTGATGAAGAGCAAGGACCGGAAAAAAAGAAAGCAAAGCGATGATCGGTATAGAGATGTACACTATTCACTATGATTTTTGGTATCAAAAGCGCCTCGTTGAGTTGCAATGACTTAAATTCAGTTGCCTATGCAATATACAACATGTAGTATACCTTCTAGTTTCATAGGGATTCCAAGTCCACAGACCCGGCTCCTTACATTCACTCTGGGTTGTCCCCTCTTTTATGCGCCATGACGTCCCCCAAGAGCCCGACGATCCCTAACTGCCCGCCCGAACCGCCAATGATAGTTATGAAAAGAACCGGACGAGCATTGACCTCGCGCAAACGTCGCCTTCGGCGTTGATTCAATTCGTATCTGCGCCGTGGAACATTAATTTACCGCGTAGGCTCCAATGATCCTCAGAAGCTTTGGAAAACGGCTCCCCCGGGACTTTGTTCGGTGCTGACATATCAGTTCTCTCCGCGGCGCGCCTCCGCTCTGTGCCTACCCAAACCTCTTCGTATTCACTACCCTTATCGGTCGTGATAATCCTTGCGCGATAAAGTCGGATTATCCGGAACAGAATGCAGTCTTTTGCAACTTGACATCAAATGCTAACCGTTGAATTTGGGGGCTCGTTTTGATCGGCCTTACCCGCCGGAGAACTGGGGTGTATAAGGGGTGCTTGACAATTAAACAAGCTTCCCCGCCAAAGCGCGCGATAAACAGTACTCGAGTACTAGGATCGCATCATTTTAGACGAACGGATGGCATCCTCACAGTCATCGCTGGTAGCAAGCCTGCTGCCTGGTCTTCTTTCTTCCGCCGTTTCCCCGTCGAGGTCATCCACATTCGCAGCTTCGTCTATCCACCAACTATTCGTCCCACCATCAAATTCTACCTCAGGAACTCCCCATGACCACGATGGGGGTAACGGGGGAAACATGCATGAATGGTCATCGCTGATTGGAATTATCACGGCTTTATGCGGAAATGTTTTGATCTCGTTGGCTCTCAATATCCAACGCTACGCGCATATTCGGATCACAAGGGAATGGGAGCAGGACAAGAATCGCAACGGGGAATATGGAAACAATGGAACCCGCGCCGGGTCGAGGGGAAGATCCCAGGCTCAATACCGAGACTCTGATCAGGATGATTTCGAACCTTATCGCGACGATGATGGCGACGACACCGAGGGGAGGAACACTGGTTCGAGCTCGCGGGCCACTAGCACTGGAAGCAAGGATGGCGCATACGGCAACCGCAAATCCTACCTCAAGTCTCCATACTGGTGGGCTGGAATCATGCTTATGGTTGTAGGGGAAATGGGCAATTTCATGGCCTACGGCTTTGCACCGGCTTCGATTGTTTCGCCATTGGGAGTTGTGGCTTTGATATCGAATTGTATCATTGCGCCATGCCTACTCAAGGAAAAATTCCGCAAGCGAGATCTCTGGGGCGTGCTCGTCTCTATTGCTGGTGCTGTGGTTGTGGTTCTCAGTGCCAAATCATCCGAGGAACAAATTGGACCTGATGAAATATGGGCGAACATCACACGATGGGAGTTCCTGCTTTATCTCGGATTGACCACATCGTTGATTATCGGTCTCATGTGGGCAAGCCACCCGTACGGCTCGCGATCGATTCTTATTGATGTTGGGCTCGTTGCATTATTTGGTAAGTCTACATCTAGTAATCTCTAGTTTCGGGGCATGTTTCTTCTTGGTCTTGTTGCTAAACGCATATAATAGGCGGATACACAGCTCTTTCTACGAAGGGAGTCTCTTCGCTTCTGTCTGGCACATTGTGGCACGTTATTACATTCCCTATAACGTACCTGCTTGTCTTTGTCCTCGTCGCCAGTGCATTGATGCAAATCCGATACATCAATCGCGCTCTGCAACGCTTCGACTCCACGCAGGTGATCCCAACACAGTTTGTTCTCTTCACTCTTGCTGTAATCATCGGAAGTGGGGTCCTTTACCGTGATTTTGAATCGATAACGACTGAGCGCGCGACAAAGTTTGTTGGCGGATGTGTGTTGACTTTCCTCGGGGTTTCCTTCATCACGAGCGGTAGAGTCCGCGCCGACGATGAGTCGTCATTTTCATCTGAAGACGAGGAGGGGTCCATTGGTTTAGTCAATGGCGAAAGGTATCATGACGGAATTGATTTGTCTCCGCCTGGACATCAATTGCCGAAGGCATCAGATGTTTCCAGAGAAGCACCATATGACGTTCCACAGTCCCCACGGGGGTCCATATTGAGCCAAGCCATTGATGGAGTTGATGATGATCAGTCTACCCCTAGAGGCATTCTCTCGGCCGCGCCCTCTTCGCCTCATGGATCTTTAATCGGTGCATCTCCTCTGTCTGCTCCGTCGTTTGACTTCACATCACCACTGCGGCCCCCATCTCGCATGTCCAACCCATGGGCAGACATACAGGATCAGGCTGTCGTGACACAGCAGTCTGATATCCGCCCCGTTACTCCCCCCGCACATGAAGACGAGACACCACAAGCCTCGACAGTCCTCCTACGGTTCCCTCCTGCACCTGGTATTGAAGAAACGGCGGGGGCCAATGGAAACGCCGGTACCGGTACTGTCCGACGTGCTTCAACCCCCACGCTTTTAGATCAAGCCAGCCACCCCGTTCGCAACGAGGCTACCCTCGAAACACCATCGCGACGCGCTTTGCGTAACTCCATCTCTCATCGTTTCTCCCCTGGGCCCCTTCTTCCCACACTTTCCGGTGGCTTCACTGCCGTGGTCGCCGATTCTATCCGGCGTGGCGATGGTAGTCCTCTCAAGGATCGGACAAGGCGGCGATTGGGACGTCGGCGTCACCTCGACGGCGCTTTTGCAGATCCATCCCTCGAGGGAAACAGTGATGCGGCGCTTTCACTTGCAACTGCTCGACTCCAGTCCGCCACCAACCTATCGGACAGCCCCGCGGAGGCTGGCCATTCGACGTCAGCTGTGCCACCAGTAATTAATACCGTACCGGCACCACTCACCAACGAAGATGCGACCCGTCTTCGCAGCTTGAGTGACTCGTGGAGCGGTGGGCTTGCGTGGCTGGGTGGTGCTCTCCGGAAAACTCAGAGCAGTATTGCTGCTGCGGGAATGCCAACACCCGAGAATGAGACACAGCTCGAGCCAAGCCACAACGCCGGTGATTCTGAGATCGAGACGGAATCTCGGCGATAATCAACTCGAAAGTCCCTAGCTCCGATGCATATACACCTCCCCTCTTTCCTTGATTACCCCTCTTTGCGCTTTTTTCTGATAGACTTCTGTCGGTATATTCTTGTAATTTGCATTGCATTCTGCTGGTATATGTTTAAGAATTATCGATGTATCATTTCTTTGTTTTCACACTGTATACTTCCCTCACAAAGGAGGGTTCGGAATTGTTAGCCACCAATCTTACCTTTAGCCTCTTATCCCTTCAATTTATCCATAGTGATCACATCATTCTTCACCCCCGGTTTCCGGGAATATTTCATCCCCCGGGTAAAATGGGCAGCCCTAATAGGTAGAAAAAGTTGGGAGCACCTACCACCACCCCAGGAAGGTAGTCAGCTACCCCAGGATGCGTTGGCTGTTCTAGTTTTTTTTCCAAGTCAATTTAACCGGACAGCCAATAATCCTTTCCCCTCAACCCCAGAATGCCATGCCAATGTGGAGGCGGGGGGTTGCTCCGTCTCCTGATAGTGCTAGCTCGGTTCAAACAGCGCCAAGCAGTGCACTACTGCAGCCGTTGAGACTAGCTTGATGACTTTGGAGCTTTCGGTACTGAACACGGCTTCATTTCCGATGCAAAATGGTATGACCTCGTGCGTTGCTCACATGCAATGCGACTGACTAGTCTATACCCTGAATCGCCTGTCTCCACAGTGCAAGGGAGTAAATTGCGGGCCTGCATGAATTTATATGAAGAGCTTCCCCAGGAATTTATTTTTCTTCAACCCAATCTGTTTGGACAAAAACTGATTGTCTTCTCGAAATGGTGGCCAATCTGCTTTCCAATGGGCTGCTGCTCGTGCAGCTCTTTGCTGCCCTAGCTTTGGGAAAACCGACATCCAGCCCTCTCTACAAGGATGCCAATGCTCCAGTCGAAAAGAGAGTGAAGGACTTGCTCAGCCGGATGACCATTGAGGACAAGAGGGCCCAGTTGATTCAAGGTATGCTTTGATCTCAATTGTCGCAATACAAAAGTTCTAATTGCTAATGCATTCTTGTGCAGGTGATCTTACGAATTGGATGAACCAAACCTCGGGAGAATTCAACTACACTGGCCTGGTCACCAACATGGAGATGAAGGCAGGCATGTTTTATGGTATGAAGTCCTCTGTCTAGCTATTTAATCCCTTTTCATCAGTTTACAGAAACACAAATGCTAATGTTTTGCAGTTGGATACCCGGTTTCTTGGGATTGGATCTCCGACAACATCAAGATAGCCCAGGACTACCTCATCCACAACACCACTTTGGGAATTCCTGCAATTGTTCAGACTGAGGGTATGTACACCGATAATACATTCTCCAGCTACATTGGATCCAAAGCTCATGACATTTTTTGCACCAGGTATCCACGGATTCTTGGTTGGCAATGCCACCATCTTCAATTCGCCTATTGCCTACGGATGCTCGTGGAACACGGATGTAAGCAGCCATTATACGTGCACTGCCGTACATACTGTTCGGGGGCTAACACAGTATTGTGCAGCTTGTCGAAAAAATGGCGGAAATCATCGCACAAGAAGCCAAAGCACTTGGTGTTAACCAGCTCTTCGCTCCTGTTGTCGATCTCGCCCGTGAGCTTCGATTTGGTCGGGTGAGTCTCATCTATATTTCAATACATTTGGCACAAAGAATCTAACAATAGAGTCAAAAGGTCGAAGAAACCTTCACCGAAGACGCTTTCCTCTCCGGCGAATATGGTTATAGCTACGTCAAGGGAGTGCAGGGCAAGAATGTGTCAGCTATGGTCAAGCACTTTGCGGGCTTCAGTGCCCCCGAGCAGGGACTCAATACTGGCCCAGTTCACGGTGGTGAAAGAGAGTTGCGCACAACGTACGTTGGTCCTAAGATGAGAGACTATACAGTCGACTAACCATCGCATAGCTGGTTGCCTCCTTTCAAGCGAGCCATCATCGATGCCGGTGCCTGGTCTATCATGGCTGCGTACCACTCGTAAGTCCAACGTGGTCTGATTTGTTGTTGTTGCCATTCTAATATCCATTTTCAGATGGGACGGAATTCCAGCAGTCTCCGACTACCACACCCTCACCGAGATCCTGAGAGAAGAATGGGGATATGAATACTTCGTCATGAGCGATGCCGGTGGAAGTGACAGAATCTGCTCTTACTTCAAACTTTGCGAGAGTGATCCTATCGACATGGCAGCGGTTACCACGCAGCTGCTGACTGCTGGAACCGACATTGAGATGGGAGGTGGTTCATTGTAAGTTCTATTAAAACCCACACAGTGCAACTACAGATACTGACTACCGAATAGCAACTTCCAGAAGATTCCCGAGCTTGTCAAGTCTGGAAAACTCGATATCAAGGTTGTGGACACTGCGGTCTCTAGGTTGCTCCGGGTCAAGTTCGAGATGGGTCTCTTCGAGAACCCGTACCCTGCTGCACCCAAGAACGAGTGGCATAAGCTCATTAACAGCCCCGAGGCTGTGAAAACTGCGAGGGACCTGGATAAGGAGTCTATTATTCTGCTTGAGAACCACGATAACATCCTGCCTCTGAAGAAGTCGAGCGACATTGCGGTCATTGGGCCTATGGCTGGTGGTCTCATGAACGTAAGTCAACATTCCTACTTCGCTTATCAGTCAGTATATTAACAAAACTCATAGTATGGCGACTACGTCGTCTACAAGAGTCAATACCGGGGCGTCACTCCCCTCGATGGTATCAAGGCCGCAGTTGACGACAACGCCCAAGTGCACTATGCCCAGGGATGCGACCGAGCGAGCAATGACCAGTCAGGCTTCGAAGAAGCAATTGCGGCCGCAAAGAAGTCCGACGTGGCTGTTGTGGTTGTTGGAACCTGGTCGCGCGATCAAGGAGAACTCTGGACAGGATTGAACGCAACGTGAGTAAACTGACCTTGTTCCAAGATATATCTAGAAGTTTCAGTACTGACAGACCCAAAGAACCGGCGAACACGTTGACACGGACGATCTATCTCTTGTTGGCGCCCAAGGACCTCTGATCAAAGCCATTGCCGACACCGGCGTGCCCACAATCGTCGTCCTGTCAAGCGGCAAGCCCATCACAGACACCTGGATCGCAAACTCCACCGCCGCTCTCGTGCAGCAGTTCTACCCATCCGAGCAGGGTGGCAACGCCCTTGCCGACGTCCTCTTCGGCGACTACAACCCCTCCGGCAAACTATCCGTCAGCTTCCCTCGCTACGTGGGCGATCTCCCCATCTTCTACGACTACCTCAACTCCGGCCGCTCCATGGGCGACGTGGGCCACAAGTATGAGAACGGGACTCTTGTATTCGGCCACTCATACGTTCTCGGTGATGCCTCACCGTGGTACCCCTTCGGCTATGGCAAGAGTTATTCCACCTTCAAGTATGGAACTGTCAAGGTTGACAAGACTAAGATCTCGGCATCCGAGAAGACTGTCACTGTCAGCGTTGATGTGACTAATACACATGCCACTCGTGAGGGTACGGAGGTTGTACAGGTCTATGTCAAGGATGATATCGCCTCTGTTGTTGTTCCTAATCGTCAGCTCAAGGGATTCAAGAAGGTGGTTATTCCTGCTGGAAAGACTACCACTGTGAAGATTCCTATTAAGGTTGAGGATATTGGTCTCTGGAATACCAGGATGAAGTATGTTGTCGAGCCTGGTCAGTTTACTGTACTTGTGGGCAGCAGCTCTGAGGACATTCGTGGCAACGCTACGTTTGTTGTTCGGTGATTATTAGGAGGGTTATGATGAAAGGGAATTAGTTCTTAGTATATAGTTCGATGTGTGTGTTGCTTGGTGTGTTAGATCACTGATTGTATATATCTTGCGTTGTATCTGGAAATCAAAGATTTGAGAATTTTCAGATATTCAGTCGCATTCTCCTATGTCTTCGTCTTCTAATATTATCTTAATTCTTAACGACTAGATAGCCTTGGAGACTAATGTATCTCCACAGGTATAATTTACACCATGTGATGATCTCTTCATCTATCTAACCTGCCGAGGTCATTTATTTACTCCGCATAATTCTATTGGTCTAGGATTAGACGAGAAGCCTAGTAGTCACTAAAATATTCATTGAAAATAAACTAATTGGATCCGAAGCTTCATAAATAGTGTCATGGGGATATCTCATAGAAGTGATCAAGTCGCAAGAGGACCAAACGCCGTCTCCATTCACCGAGAATGAATATTGCGAGACTATGCCGGGTTATCAACTACAGCACGAGGCCCTGCCTGACCAGCAGAGGAACCTCGACCAGGATCTGGAGATGACGAGAGTTCCGACGGCTTGCTGGCGCCATTCGAAGGTGGATTGCTCTGACTGTCACCAGAGCGACCCTCCGCTCTCCGAGTTTTGGCACCCTCTTTCAATTTCTCCCAGCGGTCCCGGTATCGCCCAAGAACATTTTTGAGCTTGTCATTCTCATGAGCAGCAGTTTCAAGTTTCTTCTCACTGCGCTGGATCTGCTCCTCGAGTTCTTTGATCCGGGCGTCAGTATCAGGCGCAGCCGGCGGCGCAGTCAGCGTAGCAAGAGGAGAGGTAGTGGCCGTGGAAGGCTGGAAATGATCAGGCGTCCCCCCAGTCTGGCGATGTATCATTCGGATTGATTGCTGCAGCGCCACCGACGAGTTTTGTGCGCTCACCTCCCACATATGCAATCGTGTTGCAAGCGAATCAGTCAAGCCCCTCAAAGTCTCATTTTCAACCTGCATCTCTTCCATTGTCTTTTGTGTCTGTGGAGTGGTAAGCTTTTCGGGTACGGCACGGCGTCCGGCCCATACGCGCGAACCACTGGCACTGTGGCGCATTTCAGGAGACGAGGGGGTCTCTCGAGCATCCACAAAGTCATCATCGCCATCCTCGAGGCTGTTCCTGCGTGCTTGCTTTTCCGCTCGGGTGAGGATTCCTGCGTAGGACATAGTCCCACCCGTGGTTGGGACTACATAGAATGATTCTGCTGGGTTCCCGGGACCTGCCCCAGAGCCGTCCCTAATCGACCGCAACGCGGCTCGAGAGAAGAGTTTGTTCACGTCGGGCTCACCCGCGGTTATGGACCGGTCTAGAACGGCATGCTCACGGTCCAGTTTGACCTCGGCTGAGGACTTGCGGCTCTGTTCAGTGCGGACTGGATCCGCAGACCCCATCTGAATCCCTGCGAATGCCAAAGGTCCCGACACCTTGGACACTAGTCCCCCGAAGGCTGAGTAGAAGCGGTTGAATGCTTCATCGGCAATTGCAGGTTTATCCTTTGATGCTCCGGATTCAGCTGCACTGGAGGGTACAGTTTGCTGGGAAACAACTTCTGTGGAACTGGCTGTTGGAGGAGACCATGGTTGCCTAGGTGTAGAAATACGGCTGTGCCGATTTTTGACTGGTCCGTCACGTAATCTTGTTTCGCCGAGTTTAGCCCTCGGAGGTGTTTCGGTCATCTTTGCTGCGACATGTTGCGATGTAAGAGTTGGCGACACTGGCGATCCACGCCGGGGGTGCGACGGGATTCCACGGGCGGATGCCAGGTTACTAGCGATAGAGGATGCATCTCGACTTGGTAGACGAGTGTTCCCCACCAATCTTGGTGGTAGGTGTGCATCCTGGTTCGCGCCTGCGCTCTTTGTGGCTCCAGCTTCGGCTGCGGTCTGCTGGGTCCCTACTGCTGAGGAGGCAGTAGTAGAAGTTGTTTCAGCATGGGTAGTTGTCGGATGTTCATGCTGGAATCGGAGGATTTCGGCAAGCTTCTTGTGGTGAGTTTCGAGCAAACGTAGGGTCCGTAGGGCCTATGACGCGTTAGCTCAGAGCCGAGCGGGGAGGCAGATCTTCTACTCAATCAAGACTTACCTCATGGTCGGAACTGTTCTGTGCAGCCGTTGCAAATTCGCCAGCAGCTAGATCATGCTCCTCGCTGGCCGCGACTGGGTTAGCCTTGCGAGTCTCTAGGACTGCGTTTCGGGCATGAGTGTGGGCCTGGGTGCGGTCAGATTTTGCTGAAAATGAGGGGTTGAGGTCTTACCAAGGCCAAGGGAGCTACTTCCATGGCGAAGATAAGTTCACCTGTAGACGTTAAGAGAGAAAAACCTGGTGCATTCCTTTGATGGGATTTATCCGGGGAATGTTGGAGAAGTGACGTTATGCGAAGTGAATTTGGATTTGACAGTCGCACGAGGTACACACAGAGTACATTGAGGTACACGAGATGACCCTTGAAAAAAAGAAAACAATTCTCCTAGATCAAATTTCTAAAACAATTAGTAGACTCTACATATGTATTAAAATAGACTGAAAGCAGCGAAACGTCAAGTCACATCCACATTCTAAACAGTGGAGAAGCGGAGCTGAAGCATTAGATGCTTATAGCTATACCGTCATCTCGGTCTATGAAGAATAAGAGGGAGTAGGGGCAATACCAGGAATAATGGAAATAGTAGAATTGTAAAATAAACCAGAAACATATTACTACAAGTAATATCAGTCAAAATATCGAAACAAAACCAATTGAACAGCAAAAGACACTCTCAGTTCCAGACCGTCACCACTTGGCGGGTGACTAAGTTGCGGAGCTCCAGGGGATCGGGCAATTCAACACCTCTCTCTTTCTTCTTCACTTTGTCTCCCCGTCGACGTACGGAAGTTCTCTCGCCTAAAAAGAACAGAGAGAGAAAGTCTTCAACACATACACCTCATGACAACTTTCCCTTAAACCTCCCGGTCTGCCCGCACCAACCCCCCCGATTCCCATTCCCTCTACATTCTTTCAATCATGGCCGACTCTTCGTCTTCAAGCTTGAGAGGCGAAAACAGATCGCGCCGTTCCTGGACAGTATCTGCAGAATCAAGTGCAATCGAAAGCAATGGTCGCTCATCACAGGATTCCCACCTCGAAAGGCCGAAAACCCAGGGCGGAGAAGTAGCAGATCCCAAGGCTGGTCCTACTGGATTCTCAAAGCTACTCGAGGCGCGTCGGAAGAGGAAAGAGAATAAAAAGAAGAACCAAAAAAACAACAACGAGCCGGCGGTGCCGACCGTGGTCTTGGAAAACGACCTACATGAAAGTCGGTCCAACCAGTCTCGGGATGGGACCTCCGCACCCCCATCGTCGAATGGAGAGAGCTTTGCGCTGGAGGGCGAAGGCAATAGTCTGTTGACCGATGACGAAGAGCCAGATGGGTAAGTTGGACAATTGATATATCTTATGATCTTGGACTACTCCTAATCCGTTGACCCTTTTGGTTTTAATTAGGCCTCCACCGCTCACCTCGCACAGCTCCCATGCCGGATTCTACACTTCCTCCTCCCCATTGTTCAAGACCAGATCTGTAGATGCCGCAAACACGGAAGACCCTGATGCTGATGCCGAGTCAGCTGTTAGCGGTCCTAGTGCCACTGGGTCAGAATTAATTCCGGGTGAAAGAATGTCCCGACGCGCAACATCGGGTATGGCATTGGATGTCCCCACGGACGCAAATGGCAATAAACGGAGTATATCCCCTGGAAGGCGCTTCAAAGGCGGTTTTGGCTCAGACAAGAAAGGTGCCAAAGATGACCCTGAGGCTTCATCGGCCAAGTCTGGGGGCAACAAGAGCGGGCGGGGTCTGTTCGGAGCCAGCCGGCGGAGCAGTCTTTCATCGAAACGAGCACTGGCAGCCCCCGGCGATGTTCCGCCTGTACCTGCGCCAATTCGTACTGATCTGACGGACGACAAGCCTCGTTCGCTTGAAGCGAGTCCCATGCCGAACACCCCACCTCATACCGCTATTCCTGCGCCAGCGACAACTGTAACCCCCCCAACACCAACTGAGTACCGCCCTCTCAGCGCGCAAATCATGACTAACAGTGTTACTGATTCGCCCGAGTCTCTACACTCTGAAAATTCTCCGTCTTCCGGAGTCACTACCGTGAGCCCCTCTGGAAACATGATATCTCACCGTCGGGTGCGGTCCGCTTCTGCAGCCCATGGCCCAAGCAAATTGTCCACATCAGTGTCTGCACTGACACCTCTTGAAGAAAAAACCCCCGGGGTGAAGAATGCGCCTGCAACCCAGCAGATCGGTTTCTTCTCCTCGGTATTTTCAGTTGCGCAAAACGCCGCGACTTCCTTCAGTAACAGTATTAACGCACAACAGAGAAATCGTCCAACTTCTCAAACTGCTCCTGCTGATGCTGACAAATCTCTCAATGAAACTACTTCGGAGGAGGGCGAAAGAACATCTGATAACGGCAGCAAGATTGCCGAAGGGAGACCATCTGCGGTAGAGACTCTTGGGGCAGGAGATCTGGACTTCAGCCATCTGGACATGGACGCACGGCCCGGTGAGTCAATCACGACTGCCGACGGCGTGGTGATTACAAAGCCAGGTAACCCCGCTGACAAGCGCAAAAACACAGCTGTTTCCCGGCGAGATGAGGAAGCTGCCAAACTTGAAGACAAACGCGCAGCGCGCGCCGTTCAAGTAGCATACGCAAAGCCCTCGGAAGCTTCATTGGCAGGCCCCACAGAAGACGCCCTGGAGATTCAGTCTACCAGCTCACTTCCGAAAGATGGCCCACTTATGGGTGATCAAACTCCCCCCAGTGGTAGTGTCATCGATGGTGACCTGAGTGGGGGCCTCAGACGCACTGGCAGTGTGCGCAGTAGACTTGCTCGGCGTCATCGAGGCTCGTCTGGGGCCACGGCCTCGACAATCGGAGCGATTGGCGCCGCTGCCGTTGCGCTTGGTGCTCCTGGAGTCAATACCAGTGTACCTCGGTTGACTGGCTTTGCGGTTGCGAGTAAAAAGCGCAATCGGGACTTTCACCAATTATTCCGGAGTGTACCTGAAGACGATTATCTTATCGAAGATTACAGCTGTGCTTTGCAACGTGAGATCATTCTTGCTGGCCGCATCTATATCTCAGAAGGGCACATTTGTTTTTCTAGTAACATCCTGGGATGGGTCACGACTCTAGTGATCAGCTTCGATGAGGTTGTTGCCGTCGAAAAAGAGAGTACGGCCATGGTGTTTCCTAATGCGATTGCCATTCAGACACTCCACGCGCGTCACACTTTCCGCAGTTTACTCAGTCGCGAGTCCACATACGACCTAATGGTCAACATCTGGAAGATCAACCACCCCACCATCAAGAGCTCTGTTAATGGAACCCGTGTGGCCCATGGTACCGGTGATAAAACAGAGAAAGTTGAGGAGGAGGAGAGCGATTCTGAGAGCGATGTCACCGACGAAGATGAAATATACGACGAGGACGAGGAAGGGGACCATGCCGATAGCTTCTTTGAGGCTGGTGACAGTGCCAACGCCAGTGCAACATCATTGCCAGTGCGAAAAGGATTAAGCCGCAAAGCCTCCAGTCTGTCCGCGAATGCAGCCTTGCCAGCGGCCGGCACAAATGGCAATGGCGATAAAAAGAACAGCGACAAAGCCACTTCCAAGGAGGAGCCTGCTGATTTCCCAGGTCCGGCTACGCACGAACCCACCGAATACGTTGACGCCAACGGACAGTACGAAAAAGTCATCAAAGACGAGACAATCTCGGCACCACTCGGCAAGGTCTTCTCTTTGGTTTTCGGCCCAGCGTCTGGCGAATTTATGACCAAGTTCCTTTCCGACAACCAGAAATGTTTAGAGCTACAGTTTGAGGGAACACCAAAGGGTTTGACGACTGAAGCTCCAACCAGGAAGTACTCATACATCAAACCTCTCAACGGCTCCATTGGTCCGAGGCAGACAAAATGTATCAGTACGGAAACCTTGGATTTATTGGACCTTGAAAAGGCCGTCCTTGTCACTCTGAGCACGCAAACACCTGATGTACCCAGTGGGAATGTTTTTGCTACCATGACCAAGTACCTCTTCACATGGGCTCCTGGCAACCAAACTCGCTTCCTCATGACCTGTACTATTGAGTGGTCAGGCAAGAGTTGGCTTAAGGGTCCTATTGAGAAAGGTGCCATTGATGGGCAAACGACTTTTGGTAACGAGATTGTTAAAGCCCTGCAGGCTGGGGTTATTCCCCGTGGGCGTGTCAATGGCGCTGGACGAGGCAAAGGAAAGCGCAAGAAGAGCGATGGCGCACGGCGGGAGTCGACCGCAGCTGCTTCGTTGAAGGTTGCTGTGGATCCCAAAGCCGGAAAGGGAGAATCATGGGGACTATTCGAACCAGTCCGCCCCCTCCTGGAGCCCTTCACCAGCATTCTCACTCCGTTGTGGAGTAGCAACTTTGCTATCCTAGTTATTGGAATCTTGTTCTACATGGCATTCTTCCGATCCTCGCCATCACCGCCCATGCTTTCGCATGAAGTCGGCTGTCCTGGTCACAATTTGCCTCAGAGACTGGCTGCATACGAGGAGATGTGGCGACGCGAAGAGACCGAGCTGTGGAACTGGCTGGAAGACCGAGTTGGGATGGACGGAATGGTCTTTCCAAACGTTTACCGATCGCCTGAGCCCCACCCGAGTCGCAGGTCATCTGGAGCTAGTACCAGTGGTGAGCGTGAGCTCGCTGCGCGCCTTCGGGAAGAGAAGATCTCTGACCGTGAGATGGACCATGCTCTCCGCACCACCCGTCAACGTCTCGAGGTCCTCGAGGAGATGATGGGCAAACGCAAAGCCCAATGGGAAGTCGAAGAACCAGTCAAGTCTGAATTGTGATGGACATCAATGCTTGTCCCTCCTTGCACATAAAAAATCAACCAAACTCTCCCCCTATCTCATTTCGAAACTTGTCTCTTCTTAGAGAAAGTCCCGAATGTTCCTCTCCCAACACCAAACAAAATCTATTTCCTTGTCTTTACAAACTTGTTTTATTCTCAACCATTTGTCAGGGTGTTATCCTGGAGCTATGGGAACAAGCAGAGCTGTTCCCTTGCTGTTGATATTTATCCCTCCTCACATTCATTCTGAACACACCACAGTCGTTATTCCAACTCTCCCTGCCGTGTCCTTTGATACATGGGCAGGCTTTCCTTACATGTACATGAGCGCCGACTATCTTGTCTCTACCGGTCTACGAACTACCGGACTCAATTTTCTTACCCTTCTTGTTGATTGTTTATCTGAGCGTGCTGGCTACTTCTTTTCTTCGCCCTATTGGGCTTCTCTGTAAATATCTCGAGCTAATGCTATGTGATTTACATATTGAATATAGGCTATGCCGGAAGGCCTTCTTTGAATTCCTAAAACCGGACGAGTAGAATAGCATTTTTGTTGCTTGAGCTTGAGGATAAACCTCAACCAACGAAAGGTTCTAGGCGTAGATAACAAAAATAATCGGCCGCTTCTACGGCCTGAATCAATCTGCCAGATGTCATTCTTTAAGTATCGCATTTTATATATTGAAGACTCGTTTGGTAAGGGTTATTAGACTGTTCACGGCAATCTATTCCCAAACATATTTCAATTCATAGTTCTAGCTACATCAGAAATATTTGGAAAGACATCCAAAAGAGGCATCCAGGAAGATATCTAAGAAGACCCCCAAAAGACATTTCAAAGTGGTCCTTATAAAACGGTGTAATATCACTGACCAAATAGATCAGAATATATAGTATAAGATAAACTACATGTAGGAAGAAGACGAAAAGTAGAGAAGAGGTAAAGAACAATAGGTCAATGTCAAGTGGAAATCAAGTCATAGTCAGGTCATAGTCAGGTCATAGTCAGGTCAGTACCTTCCTAAGTAGACTCATTCCATCTTTTTAATCTTCTTCCCATCCTCCGACCCTCCCACCCTCTTTCATTCTCTATCCTCATCTATATTCCCTTCGTTACTTCGCTTGGCTATTAGCTATCAAAATGAAGATCATCAGATTATCATCGTTTTTCTTGTCTTCTAGGGTTCCTTTTCGTTTCTACGTAAGTAATCGTGGAAGCATCAGATTCTTGAAAAAAAGACGTTGGAACTAACTGAATGCCTAGGGAGCCTTCGCAGAGAACTCGGTTTCGATTTATGAAACCGCACTGGCCACCCTTCAAACAAGGGTAGAGTCAGGGAACACAAGTGCTGGCCGAAAAATGGCCGCCTGGGAGAACTTCCTTGAGGAAGTGAGGATCGAGGAGATCTGCAAACTTGCAGAGATGACATCCCTCACCCATATCCGGCACTTATTTTGAAGCCCCCATCTCCACCATCCATCCTGCACACCAGAGGGGAGACCCAAAAAAGATCACTAGGGGACGTCGAACGAGAATCCCATCTTCCATCATACTGGTGGCTGAGATCCAACTTAAAGTAAGACAAACACTCCTTCCATTCTCAAAGTATACTTTCCAAACTAACCCCTCTCTCAGGCCGATGATCAATGTTACACGTTGCACGGGGCATTTTCAGGCCCCAACAGTTGAGATGGCCCCTACCTAGACGTGTCTTGACCTTCTTCTTTGTGAAAAGAGAGGGGACAAATACCACTCCGTCTTACTGGTGAAACCGATCAATTATGCATTTTTCAATTATCACCAATACCCGCAAGAGGCTAGAAGTCCTGGAAAATCTGCTCGATGAGATGAGGTTCGAGAAACTCTGTCAAAGAGAGATGGTGGCAACCATCCGCATGGATCACCAATGCGGCGATGGGAATTGTGAAGCCAATGGTGAACAATATCCGGAATAGGTTTCTGGGGGCGATCCGAGCCCAGGTCGAGGAAGGCCAGTATGCCAGCTGCTGGTTCGTAGCGTTCTTGGCCTTTCTGGTGAAAAAGTACCGGCCTAAGAAGAGTGCGGAGGAGGCTAAGTACAGACTCCCGGGGGAGGTTGATAGACTCTCCCGGAGAGTTGAAGAACTAGAGGTTGGCAGGGCGGAGGAGCTGAGGGCCCTAAAGGAGGAGATGGCACGCCTGGAATAGAAGCTCGGAGCTGGGCGGGGGTACCTATGAATATTTTAGTCAAGGCTCATATCGAATAAGGAATCGACTTCATCTTATGATAAATATCTTCTCAGTGAAACAGAGGGTTGAGACCAAATATATTCATCAGACTCTGATACTGTGTTCGATCAATTTCCTATTCCATCGTCAAACACGGGTTTCATGGCTCTTTCGTTCAACTTTCATCACTCTCTATTTTCCATCAAATATCTGTTACAAGCCAGTCACTTCCTAACGTCATCTTTCTCGACTAGCCCTCAACCTTTCCAGTACGACAAAGCTTCACACCAATCTTCTGGGTTTGGCCCAAACGACCCTTGCCACTATCCGGTAGTAAAAGGCAACCACTCACACAGGTTTCTCTTGATTTGACTCGTGTCGGGTAGCTTGCTGGCAGCCATGAGTCCAAGAAAAATGGCTCAACACCAACTACCTTTAGGTGACCAGCCCGTAGCTCTCAACCCAAACTCGTTGGATGGACTTCCTATGGAACTCATATTTTGGATCTCGGACTTTCTTTCGCCTAACGATGTCCTTTGCCTTTCGATGTGCAACCACCGACTCTTTATGGCCATTCAATACAAAACGACTCTTCCACGGCTGATGGGAAGCGAAAAGCTAGCATTGCTGCACCGGATCGAACGCGACCTTCCGCATCATTTTCTGTGCTACTGTTGCGTTATTCTCCATAAGTTTGAGGGCCCAGAGATCTTTGGACTAACAGGAATGCGGGTAATGAGCAGATGTCGGCTTCCATGTGTCGTCAACTATCTGTGGAGGGAAGACGAACTGCAGATGCAGATAAATCATTTCTCTCCTCACACGGACTACTGCCTTTCATTCCTCCATCTCCAACTTGCTATGAAGCGATTCTACCACGGCCCTCGGTGTGGTATTACCACTGAATTACTGTCACATGTTGAAATCAAAGAGCATGCCAAGTCAACCACTCTGTATTCCATCGAAGCACAAGTCTGCACAGAGCCAGTGGGTCTATATCTGCGGATCCAAGATATCATGTTGACTGAGGACCAAAGCACACATCTCTTTGAACCAACCATAATGTCGATACTACCTTCATGAGACTTCTTGATATGCCCACACATACCTTTTTCCGACATGGCGAGTCTGGTTGAGCCTTTGTTCCTAGCTCATCTGGAGGGAACATTATTTCCCCAACTGGACGGCACGTGCAATACATGCAATACAGACTGTTGTTTTGAAATTCGGGACTATTGTGGTCATGTGGCTCTCATTATCACCCGCTGGATCAATTTGGGCCCTGGGTTGGGTCCTGACGATCCGCTTTGGAGAATTCATTCACATGAGCCATGGTGCATGGGTGGCGCTGATCTGGAACCGGATATGCCCTGGAGTCCTCGCATCTCATACGAGAGTACCTCTGGTGATTGGTCACGAGAAGCGCTACTTCTGCGCAATCTTTCGTATTCCGAAAACGGAAGATACAGGAGTCTGATGGAAATAGGTCCACGGAACACCTGGGTCCTACAATCCCCAGAAAGCCAGGTTGAGAATCGTGGGTTGAACTGATTCAATGACAATTTGATTGAATATCAAAAATGAGCAGTAGATCACAAATGATAGGCTCGAGGATAATCCAACTACCTATTCCAGATCTTTGAAGGGTCAATCTCGCTGTTCTCCTTGCATTTGCCTTGTACAATCTTGTTCGTCTTTGGCAGCTTATTAGCCTCGCTACCAGAGGCTTCATCTTCATTATCGCCAGTTTCATCTTATTAGTAGTTGTTGGAATATTCATCAGCCCAATACGTGGCGTCAGCTTCATCGTCGCTAGCCTCATCTTCCTCCGCTCCGTTGGATTTATTGGCGCTAGAATCTTCTAGGTTTCCAGCTGGATTGTTGTCGTCCCCATTTTGATTGTAATCTTCTTTGTTGAGTTGTTTCTTTTTCTCGGCTCGACTTCTGTTTTCGTTTCCGGCTTTGCCTTTATCTTTGTTTCCGGTTTGCCTTTCGTCTTCGTGTCTGGATTCTTCGTGTCTGGCTTTGCCTTGGTATTTGCCTCTGGCTTGGGTTTGATCTTCGTCTCCGGCTTAGGCTTCGTTTCTGGTTTGGCCTTGGTCTCCGGCTTGGAGTTTGCGTCTGGTTTGGCTTTGGCCTTCGTCTCTGGTTCGGGCTTCGCCTTTGTCTCCGGCTTGCTCTTTGTTTCTAGTTTGACATTCGTTTCTGGTTTGGGGTTTGCGTCTGGTTTGGCCTTAGTCTCTACCTTGCTCTTCGTATCAGGCTTAGGCTTCGACTCTAGTTTGGCCTTTGTCTCTGCCTTTGGTCTGGTATTTGTCTCGGGCTTGCTCTTCGTATCCAGCTTCGGCTTTGTCTCTGATTTGCCCTCTATGTCTGCCTTCGGCTTGCTCTTCGCCTCCGGTTTGGCCTTCGTTTCGGGCTTAGCCTTCGTTTCGGGCTTAGCCTTCGTTTCGGGCTTAGCCTTCGTTTCGGGCTTAGCCTTCGTTTCGAGCTTAGCCTTCGTCTCTGGTTTAGCCTTATTCTCCGACTTAGGCTTTGCTTCTGGTTTGGGCTTTGCTTCTGGTTTGGGCTTTGCTTCTGGTTTGGGCTTTGCTTCTGGTTTGGGCTTTGCTTCTGGGTTGGGCTTTGTCTTTGTCTCTGGCTTGGGCTTCGTCTCTGTTTTGCCCTCTTTCTCTGCCTTCGGCTTGCTCTTCGCCTCCGGTTTGGCCTTGGTCTCTGGTTTAGCCTTGTTCTCCGGCTTAGGCTTTGCTTCTGGTTTGGGTTTTGCGTCTGGTTTTGCCTTCATCTTCGCCTCTGGTTTTGCCTTCGTCTCCAGCTTGGTGTTTGACTTCGGCTTTGGCTGAATCGTCACGAACATTATTGTTGGCACGACCAGTTTTCCTTTTGGTTGTATTTCAATCATCTTGATACTCTTTAGGCCCCTCAATTACCATATCGGTAGTAGTATGAGATATTTGGAAACCAGAGTCCTCCGAAATGACCTCGGGAGTTATTGGCATCTTTGTCAGCAGCGTGGTTGGGCACCTGCGCGTCAGCATCAGCCTCAGCCTCAGCCTCGTATTCGCCCGGATCAAGATTAGCGTCAGCAGGACGTCACCCACCAGCATCTTCCTTGTCTGTGGTTTCCTCGCTAGCATCACCTGTACTGCCAGTGTGGCTGACCGTTTGCCGTTGCCAGGGCGTTAGAGAAAGGTGTGTGCACCATGCAGGCCAACATGGGCGATTCAATAATTGGGCCGCAGTGCATACTTCGGAGCAAGTTCGACATTATTGTGTCTGATCTTGTGTCTGATATCGTCTGTTTGACTGTTTGTCTTTTTGCCTTAGCGCCTTACCATAGGTAACGTATTTCACAAGCGAATGACCACCACAAGCGAGTGGCCACCCCAAAAACACATAGTAAATGTAATAAATTACAACTTGGTATCTTAGCAACAGTGGGCTATAAGGGGTTTCCTTATAGCTCAATACTTTTTAGGTGATGTCTAGCCCTTTTAGCGAGTTTGGAAAATATGTATGGCTTGATGATTGCGATATATATATTTCTAGTTTTTAGCAACGTAATTTTCGGTAATTTTCGAAATGATGATAATATAGCATTCTACTTTCTTTAAATTTGATATATTGTGTTTAAAATCCTTATCAATTACTATGCACAAGTAATAGGATAAAATAATAATATAGTTGTTGAGATATCAGATTATAATTTATCGCATTTACTATGTGCTTTTGGGGTGGCCACTCGCTTGTGAAATACGTTACATCGTTCATTCCATCCTATCGCAGTCAAAATATCACTTGTGTAATGTATGATATTAAATTGAAAATAAATAATTAGAACTGTGACAGATTTAACCACCTACTACGCTTGCTTCAGGCAGAGAATGTGCTCTAGAATATCCTAAACGAGGCATTATGCGTTTTATTTCAGAGATATCTGACGAAATTCCAATGTGCAAGTCACGGACATTGAATTGGAAAACTTTTTAAATGCGCCTTAGTCTAAAAAAAAGCAAATGGAAGCTTTGGTTTCTACTCGTACAATCTAGTCAAATTTCGCGACAAACAAAGATCGTGGAATCCTAATTATTGTGATCTACAGAATAGAAATTATGAGGGAGACAATTGGTTACATTGCTATGTTCTGGCTGAATGTTGCCAGAAATTTGTAGCTGTGACCTTTTTTTTTATTTTTCTTTTTCTGACTCGTGAAATATCCGAGATCCTCCATCATAGGTGCCCATTTCCATGACCTTATTAGTTGCAAGGTCCGGGCAGTGTACACAACAAAACCCTTACTCCCATGCCGGACCGCGTCCCTTGGTGCTTTGTCTCCAGCCACGGTAGGAGATGTCTCGTCCACTGCTCTGGCTTCGGCCTCTCGCTTCTCCGTAAATTCCCATGGAGGTATTCTCGGTAGGCGATACGGTGGGCTTGCGGGATTCGGCGACCAAGACTTTGCAGTAGTAGACGAAAAGTTGATAGTCCACGGGCCGTTCTAAATCTCTTATTTCTTCTTGGATGAACGGAACCTTTAACACTTCCCCGTGCAGCTCTTGTAGAAGGCGAACAAGCGCAACGTCACAAGAGGGTTCATGGCCTTCTGTCTTCAGACGATTGAACTGGTTCTGATACGCCATGATGAAGTCCGCCGGCGTGGAAAATTCGTCACGCTTGAGTTCCTCCCACCGTTTTAACTCTTTTGCAAGGAACTTAGACTGACTGTGCAGGCTCAGCAGCCTGATTGTATTGAATATCTCATCGGCGAAGGTGAGGTCGTTCGAGTGTGCCTTGACTTTGAGCTGAAGTGAGGCATCCACCTGGTTAAACAACCAGTTAGCAACAACAAGAGTCCAGAACTTCCACCGGTTGTAGTTGGGATCCCCTATGTGGGGCCTCGGAAGATCATAGTCCACAAGTGCATCGAGCTGGAAGGGTTGCAAGACATGAATGATCTCATTTCCCCAAACGGTGAGACTAGAGTCCGGTCTGAGCTTCGTGATGTTCAGAAGTGTAGTGGAAGTCTCCTTTGGCAGATTGGTAGCCTGAGTGCGCGGTGCTGAAGGGATTTCAGGGTCGGCACCATGCCGACCGCCAGGACGGGGATTGGCGAAGAAAGACATGATGGCCGAGGAAGGAGCAGAAGAGGTTGAGATATGAGCGTGATGACTGAGTTTTGTGACTTCAAAGAAGATTTTGTTAACAGATCATTGTATCTTGCAAGTGGGAATGTCATCAACTCACTTTGGGTGGTATGTCCCGATCAAAACTGTACGTTTTTCTGACTTCAGAAGTGCCCACGGTGGATGAAATAGGAGAGAGAGAAAGGAAGAAGAGGAAGAATTGAATTCAATTTAAAGCTATTGTTTGCATGTGGAAAGAGGACAAATGAGGCAGTGGTGACCGAGTAGAGTCAACATAACATAACACTTATGTCGGGGTAAGTGAAGTTTGATAGACTCATTTTAAAAGATTCAACTGCCATCAATACAATGTCCTTTCCATTCTTGAATGCCAAGATAGGCTTTTCTCACAAGCCCCAGTTACCAAGATATTTTGGATTGACATACCTTTAGCTAATAGTATACTGGCGTGCATGTAGCGGCCGATCACTGCAAAATATGACATATTGTGGTCTTGGTCCGTAGACGCATTAAACTAGATTGTAATCACATTTGAATTCCATAATTTTGGTGAAATTCAATTCATCCTACCGCCTGTTACACGTTGGCATATGCCGGGGAAAGAACGCGTTTCTTAGGGCCAGGCGGTCACGTGAGTAGTGCTATACAACACCAAACGAGATCAATGAAACAGGAAAAAGAAGAGAGATGTGAGACATGTTTTATTAAAATGTTGCCTAGAGTCTGTCTGTCATATATCAGATCATAATTATGGTTGAAGGCATATTTATGATACTTGGCTTCTCTCATTGTTATTTCTGCACTGTGTATATATTCTTCCCCATCATCTATTCATTTGAGATTTCTGTCCCTAGTTTAAGGCCCTGTGATTTCACCAATGATACCCACTAGTCTTAACATATGTACTATAATCATTATGTTGTTTCTATATGACATTCACACTCAATTGATGACGGCTCAGCGCCATGAATTAAGCTCCAACCTTCCCACCTGCCATGATCCGTTGCTGAGAGGAAGCAATGGCTCTATTTTTGTGCAGAGACGTTTTCCATGCCTTTATTCCTGAATTGAAACCCTCATCGATCTGCTCCAGCGTGATTCCAGCAGTCTCCGGCACGAACAAGAAGGTTAAAATCCCGATGACAGCAGTGACACCTGCATAGAAATATCCCACATTGGGACCCATGTTCCCGTACTCCGCGCCTAACATGTAAGGCGTCCAAAATGTAGCACCAAAGGCAAATATACCATAAAATATTGTTGTGTTGGCTTGTCCGAAGGTGCGAAGCGAAACACTGTGCATCTCCACGGAAGATAGATTAGCACTCGCGGCAATAGTTGCGCCAAAAACAAAAGCCCACAAGCACAGAAGAACAACCGTCACAATATCGGCAGTTTCATCCATTCCAAGAGCGGTGCTCACAGAGGAAAGAGCGAGCATGCAGGCAGCCATGACAGTATAGCCCCAAATCATGGCAATTCTCCTTCCGCCGTACTCCACAATAAACGGGCCAAGGAATGATCCTCCAAGGATACACAAGCCAATAATGACATTGATTAAGTATGGATCGCTGATGCCAACTCCTTTGAGAAACAGTGTAGCGTACGGTTGTACGAACTGAATACCAGTGATGGCAATTCCAACCATGATCATGGCAGATGTCATGGTACGAACGATATGCTTCCTGCGATAAATATCAAAGCACGAAACGGCTCTGAGGTTTACACGCTCGGTCGCAAGGTTAGTTCGGATATCGTCAATCTGCGCAGTGATTTCCGGCGAATATGGACTTTGGTTGTAGAGCACGCCAAACGACTTCCGCGCCTCCTCCTCTCGACCATGTCCCATAAGCCAGCGCGGAGACTCAGGGAGCATCAGAATACCAGCACCGAGAATCACTCCCAGCGGTATTTGGCATAAAATGGGTGTCTTCCACTGCCAATCGTTTGTTGGCTCCAGACGAGCAGAGCCCGCACATACTGCGAAAGCACCAACATTACCCCCGGCAAGTCCGACATTATACAAGCCTAAAGACAGGCCACGCTTGTTGGCAACGATGCACTCAGAGCCATAGGTCACACTTGCTGCCATCAGCTGTCCAATTCCAACAGCACTTATTGATCTGCACACCATGTAGCGCAAGAAGCTTCCGCTGGTGCCAAGCATTCCAGCTGCACCAATAATAGCCAATGCGCATCCAGCCTGGATTGACCCCCTGCGTCCGATGTACTGACCAGTCACACCAGCAATACCGCCTCCAATGGCGATGAACAGGAAGTTGAGGCTGATGAGGGATTGTTGCAGTGGGGTCAACGAACAATGCTGGATTTCAGCATAGGTGTTCGGGTCGAGGACTTGCTCGCAGCTTCCAAATGCGTGTTTGTAAGAAGGCATGATCAGGACTGTGCCGGAATAGCCGTTGTCAAAATTCGAGATCCATGCGGAAAACGAAACGCATAGTGAGAGCCGTAGCATCGACCCAGTCGTGCTGGCGGTAGTATTTTTGGTAATTTTCTGCGTAGTGGAGTTGGTGATGGTATCACTGGAGCTTGACTCAGGCTCTATTTTGGGGGGTTCGTGTTGTAAATTCATGGCGAGCGGAATTTGAGTAGAAAAGAGCATGGGCTCTCTTGCTGTGTTTAGTGCACGGCTATTGAATATAAAGGTATCGACATTTAGGTGGGGTACATATGGAACCTTCAATTAAAGCCCCTGGATGCTGCATTCCAGAGCTGAAACATACGTACACACCTTATCAGAGAGAATGTGAGACATGATGTCCACCAATTGGGAGGCTTTCTAGTTCCCAGTCCTAAAATACCAATAAGAAAAAGCAGAGATAGCATGAACTATAGTAGTCGTAATGAAATTCTTATATTCAACCAGGGAATTCACAGACCGAAAATCTTCCCCAGTCGAGGATCCTCGCGCTGGGGGGTCTAGTCAGGTCAGGTCAAAAGAAAAGACTTTATCGCACGCATCTCTCAATTTCATGTTTCCATAGTTGCATCCAAAGTATTTGTCAAGAGCCCAAGCAAGGATCATTGGCTCTTATTGAGGTCAACGATAATTGGCGTTGTTCCGCATAGAAGCCAATGTAGATCTTATATGTTAAGTATCATGCGAAATTTTAACGACAAGTTCAGATTTCGGAGCCCCATCTCTTGAGAATTGGCCTTCAATATAGTGGTTCATCTCGTTTCGGAGCCATGCTAACCCGAAGGCCTTATACCTTATATTTAAAAATTAATAACGAAATGACGCTCTGTAAATATGCAAGGTAAATAAATCAAGCCCCTAAGGCCCGATCCGCGAGGGGTATGCATTATAGGGATGCATCACAGGGTGAACCCCATGAAGGTGATTAGGTATACTGATGCAGGCCCGCTTCTATTTTTGATATTTATTAGCCTTGTTGTCTTGTTCGACTACAACATACATAGTATATAACAAAATTTTCTGCCAATTAGAGGGTATGTATAAAGTACATGTTTTGTCTCTAAAGCTGTTAATATGGCACATGGAAAAGGAAGCACATCACACTATTTGTCGTTGGTCACAGAGGTTTTTGGTAGTTGTTGTCGCATTAAACTTGCGGAAGCCTCAATGCCTAGATTTAGCTTAATCAAAGTAAGATATGTTTAGCTGAGACCTAATCGAGACCTCATTTCGTCTCGGATGTCGTGATCAGATAGGGCATAGTTCCAGGTCACGTGCCACGCCAAATAACACGACGCTCCACCAAAGACCTTGGGGACGACAACTGAAGATGGAGCTCAAGACCGTTCTAATTCTCACTGCGATATATATTGGTAAGTAGTGCCACGCAATACCTCCCGTGACGTCTGCCCGCGTCCCACAATACACTTGGGCCACATCAAATAGAAACAAACCGACCAAACACTAACCCCTCACAAGCTGTCCGTCTCTTCTTCAAGTCACGCAACTCCAGCCTAGCAGCCATCATGTCTCACGGAAAGGTCACCGAGATTGACAAGTAAGCCTTGCTTGATTATGCGCTCAAAATATTGGATTTTAATCTCTGCCCAACAGCCAAGTCATCTTCAAAGCCCTCGTCTCCTCCGGCCCCGTCGTCGTTGACTTCTTCGCAACCTGGTGTGGACCCTGCAAGGCCGTCGCTCCCGTTGTCGGTAAGCTGAGCGAGAAGTACGAAAATGTGCGTTTCCTCCAGGTGGATGTGGACAAGCTGCAAGGTGTTGCGCGGGAACTGAGCGTGAATGCTATGCCCACCTTTGTGGTGTTCAAGGATGGCAAGGAGGTCAACCGCGTTGTCGGTGGTGATATGAACAAGCTCGAGGCGCAGATCAAGCAGATCTTGGCATAGAGGCTTTGTCTTTTGCTTTGGCTAGTGGTCTTCGGGAATCTCGGAGTGGAGCGCATCCAGCCACTTATACCCGGGGAATTGTATGGTTTTTTATCAGTATAATCACTGTAACTCACGAATCACGAATCCAAATTGTGACATAACTCTATGCAAGTAAACCTATCAGTTGACGTTGCACTATGCACCATGCACACCTCGCCCAAGATAAGGGCCACTATTATCAATAAAATTCCGCGTCGCAGATCGACTGGGACTTGGGCATTGATGCATATGCACCAGATTTCAGGCCGAGATGGCCTTTCTTCTCCGTTTTAATGCTTATCCCTTGCCGCTTTTTGATCGCCGGGTAAAACACAGCACGGGCTGTGGCCCTGGAGGCCCTGGCGGTTAGGTACCTAGGTGACTACGGTGGCCTTCCAGGCGATTAGCAATTCGAAGTAAGCCCTAGCAGTTAGACCTCTGATAAAATTAGATTTTGCTAGCTTAAAAAAACTTCTTATCCCTACTACTTCTTAACGTACAAAGAGCGAGTATCGGCTCTTAATACTTAACGCCCGCGGAAGTCATTTAATACCGAAATTTGACGAAATCTGTGAACGAAATGGAGTGATACTAATTTATATGCCACCATACTATAGAAGATCAATTCAAGGTCTTTACTAAGCTATTTAAAATAGCATAAACCTAAATGAAAAAATGGATTTTTACTATATATACTGGAATGAATCCTTACACTTTGATATTAATACTTTGACGGATCCTATTTGTATGTGGATAGCTAGATAGCTCTCTATTTCTCTTCCTTTCCTCCCCACCCGTCTGCTTCGCTCCCATAGGAATCGACTACTCGGTTTCTCCTTGTAGCACGAATCCCTAGACTGTTCATCAAGATTTTCTCCCAACTATCACGAAAACATCAAAGCAGAAATAGCAGGCAAGGCTGTGCAAGTCACTTAGCATAGCCTCCCTCAGGGCTGTAATCTGGTCCACAGATTGAATTTCATCTAACTTGTGCATTTTTAAAGCAGCAGTCAGAAAATGCTGGATTCCACCAACAACTGTTAGATTGAGGTCTTCCCGAGTGCCTGGGTTGTCAAGAGTGTAGATCCGCTCTTCACAAGATTCCAATCCACTTTTCTGGAAAGTGCCATGAAGAGCAGCAACACTAAAGAGGAATCAGTTAGTTTACCTAAAAATAGAATAATCAGACTTACTTTGGTGTTTTCCCAAGCGAAACCAAAGTCCTTTGGAATACATCGAGTGCATATCTTGCGTTAGTGGCTCGTTTCCCCTCGGGCTCTCCTTTGAGTACACATTCATGTGCGGGACAATCAATCCACTGCAAATGACCCCCTGGCTCTGCTCACTAGTAGGTTAGACCTTTTATGAATGCGATCTGAGCTAGGAAGCTTCGTACTGAGAAGTGTCATCAAATTCCTCACGGCAGGCTCCCATTCGACATCAGACAAAGCCACCAGCATAACTCGAACATTGACGACATCATATTCTCCTAGGTACTCATCCGGGAATGGCGCAAGGAGATTTTGATGATGAAAGGTAATGTTTTCCGGCAATGCATTCTTGCGGGGAAACATGACGTCTGAGAGGTCAAACCCGTCAAGCTGACAAGTTATTGGGAGAATAGCTGCGAGATCACGAAGCCAGATTCTTGGGAAATGATGTCAGAACGTTTGTCCTTCTGATGCAGTTGAAACTCACCCAGTCCCTGTGCCAACATCTGCAATGCGCATCCGGTCATGTTGTTTGATGGCTGGATGCAGCAGATACCCAATATTGGCCTGCCAGGCTTTGTATTGCATCTCCAACCTATATTCTTTCATGTTAAAAGGTCATTAAATGAAGATTGCCGCTTAGGTCTTCACCTTTCGCTTTCGGCCATGTTTCTGACCAGTAAATATTCACCACGAGATTGGACTTCGTCGGACATTTTTGAATGCTGAAAGGGATATAATCTCGAGATGTGTGAGTTAACTTGACCTTTTGCAGAGTCTCAGGTGCAAAACTAAGAATAGCGGGCGGTATAACAATTATGGAAGGAGATATAGCTACTTGGGAAGGCGGTAGCAGAGGGGGGTTGTCAATGTAACAGTACATAATTAGGCCCCAATTCAGGCCCCCCATGCTCACCTAACGCGAATTTAAATGCATTTTGCTCAACTATAGTCTCCGTCTTTGGTGATAGCTCTTTGAACAGCCAGTTAATTGCATGAGATGTCTTGGTCACCTTCTTGGGTAGGCCCTCTCGGTTTGTCCCCATCACCTTAATGATAAAGTTGAGGCTACACTATTCCGGCTGGCGGGTGACGGACGATTTGCCATCTACAACATAGGAAGATTCTGAGTGGGGCCATTTTGGCCTTGGAAGTTGCAAAAGAGAAGTTGTCCTGGGGGTAGAGGTGTGCCTTTAGTACCTATATATAACATTAAACTAATCTTGCTATATGTTCATTTCCTACTTGTAAGATGATACATACAACCATAGGGTGTGAAAAACAGGGATTCCCGTCCGCTCAGCCGCTTAGCCGGTCTTCGTCCCATGGCAAGCCTCTAAGCTTCCCGCTACCTAATGTTCAATACCATGCCCGCCTTGATGATAAATTGAACTGGATTCGAATAATGAGTCTGCCAAGGAAACCACGGATGTCAAGTGATATTACGGGTTGCTATTGCGGAGGCATACACAAGCAACTGGCGATGATTCTGGGGTTCTGTGCAGCTGAGGTGATTTCCTTGGTGCTGATGCGGGAGCGCAGGCTGAAGTAGGTCATAGATCGAAGAAACATTATCAAGCTAGAAAACATAAATCTAACGCAGGTTATCGCTCTCTGGTATTGATGCCATAGGCCCAGTCCATTGCCAAGAGCGCAAGTATCAGGATGACCAGTTATAGAAAGTCATTGGTTGATTCTGTGTGGCAATGGAGAATTTAGAAACAAGAGAGTAGAAATTAATGGCGGCAGATAGAGTGGTATGTCTTGGCTCCTGCCGCCAACATTGATAACGGCGCGTGTGGTTGCAGTCCATCCTGGATTTGAGTCTGTGAAATCTATAAGAGGCTGTATTTACTTTTTCACGTTCCTAAGCTCACTGGTATTTGGGCACAAAACGTGTGGCATTCATATAGTGCACTAAATGAGTCGGGATTTCCGCGAAGTGACGGCAGCCACTCTTGTGTACTAGCCATTGTAGGGGTAGGGTGGCTGTAATTGATAGAAATAACAAATCAAATGAAAGTCCTACAAGATTTGAGGCAATATATTTATATATATATGTCGAGATATATCATGAAAGATAAACCTTGGAACGAATATGGATACCCTTGGGTGAAAATGTAATAATATTATGGACACTGGGGCGGGGTACAATTAGGTAGGTATGGAGCGGGCTCGCGGCCCCCGGGCGTGTTGCGGTCCTATTGGGTGCATTCTTTTGAGCCTCCAGGGCTCCCGAGGTCCACAATCAGTTGCCTGCTGACACACCGCATTTCACCTAGGCAGCGGATCTACGGCACCCATCGATGGAGTGATTGCAACAGCCACGAGCGTACGGCCCAAAAGTCGTGTCCTTGGTCAATCGCTAAATTACTCATATCTACTTATTTCTGCAGCACTGGTTTGATAAGAGGGAGACTACAGGGGGCTAATACGTCTAGAATTGGGCGAGCATCATCATGCCCGGGGATACGGAGTATGAGGACAAGATTTAAATCCATAGATGGATGAATTATTGGCTTAGTGCTCAACTCTGCACCTGGGCGCGTGCAGGTGCAGGTGCCTAGGTGCTAGCACCAATGGGACTAAACAACGTATACAGCCAAGTCGAGAGCCCCAGGGCAGTCCAAGTTTCAGGCTAGGGCCAGTACATGATCCTTGCCTCTATATGTAAGACGCACCCGATAGGTATACTAGGGTGAGATTGAAGGCCCAAAATGGCAGTATTAGGTCTACGGGGTGATACTTGCCCCCGGGATTGTTGGCGGGCTAGTCCAGTCACCAATAATTGGAAAGAAGTGTACGATGTATTCAGTAGAAGGAAGGATATAGATGAGGAAGACGGAAAAGCAAAAGATGTCAAAAAGAACAATTAAACAGGCTCAGCAGTACAACATAGGAACACTTTTCCCAAATAGTCCACGTACATTAGCGCCCGGAGAGAAAGATGCCACGTAGAAGACGAGTCAGCATGAGTTCTCGGAAAACATGAATAATTTGAATAAATGATTGGTCGAAGGAGGGTAAGGGTAAGTTAGAGAAGTGAGGTTGTGCGAGAGGGAGAGAGAGTGTGTGAGGTGAGCAAACGAGGCAAGAGCCTCTTGCGTCGAGTTCCATGACTATTTTTGGAAAGAAGATCACGAATTATGATGGCCCTCGCCTTACTATTGGGCCAGGCTTAGCGCCTCTCTTCTAACCTTGGCAGCCCCCGTGGACTGGCGTGATAGGCTTTAGGTATATGATTAGTCACATCTCGCTCCCCACTCCAAAGCAAACAGACAGGTAGAAAGTTCCATTAGTGTATGTGAGTAGCTACTCCTTTCTTCACTCCTAAGACTACACTGTAATAAAGAACCGGGATAGAACATCAAGCCATACTCTACTCTGATTTCTCGTCTCGTTATTGCTACACCAAGGGCTCGATCAGTGCTCATGGTGAAATTCTTAACTCATCACATTCTGAGCTTTCCATAAACCGTCACCTATTGTATCTCTCGATGGATTCCCGCAAAAGATCCGACAAGAGCAAAACAAACATTTCCGGGCTAGGGAGCAGCTCTCACAATGACATCGCTATAGAAACAAATATCACTGGGCAGCTGAGCTCCGCTTTTGATGTGCAAGTTACATTGCCCAGAGACACCAGTCATGGGAGGACCGAAAGAGGGGTCACTACTCTTGTGGGAGACGATGAGAGGAGCTCTTCCAGCGCACGAGGAACCGCAACAGCCGATGAAAACAATCCAAATGTTGACACTACGGATATGGACATACCCAACGACAAGAACTGGGATCTGAAAGTGCTTGTCAAGCCTACAGATACAGGCAAGGAACACCTTATTGAGTATGGCACATACTGTATTATGGTTGACCGAAGCTAAATTGTTTCAGCATAGTTGCCGTTCACGGTATTGGAGCCGATCCAGGAGACACCTGGGTTCACAAGACTACTAAGGTCGACTGGCTGAAACACAAGGATATGCTCCCAAAACAGGCCCCGAACGCCCGTATCATGCGATCTGGGTACAATGCCAAGTGGTTTGGTAGCTCCAATGAACAGCATACCAAAACCTTCGTGCGTGATGTGAGTGAAGGGTTACTCAAGCGTCTGAAGATACTTCGAAAAGTAAGCATTGCTTCAATCCTCTGATTGCAGTCTCCTAAAAAAGAATATATCACAGGACTCCACCCGACCATTGATCTTCATCGCTCACAGCTTTGGGGGCTTGCCTGTTATACACGCTCTCTGTAGGTCCCGCTACACCTCCCATATGTGGGGTAACTCATTTCAATTTACCGCTGGGCTGGTATTTTTTGGTGTCCCATTCCGAGGAAGAGGTGGCCCTCCAATTGAGGTATGGGTTAAAAAGATAAATGAAAACAACAAGAAGGATTCGACTTTTCAAATCTGGTCAGAGACCATGTCCGCATCTGTACCCGGAAGTCAATATCTTGAAGAGATAGTCAGCCGATACCTAGAAACGCGAGTTTGTGAGAATCCTATTCCTGTCTCTTGTTTTTGGGAAGCTTTCCCGAGTCCTGTAGGGAGACTCTGGGGCGAGCAAGATCCAAAAGAGGTAGGTCGTCTTACAGTACACTCCTATGATTATCTTTCTATGCTGAGTGGGATATAGTTACGTAATTACCTCGTCTTTGAGTCGTCGGCCTGTCTTGACCCCTCAAAGGGAGTCACTCGCGCTTCACTTCAACGACACCATTACAATCTACAGAAGTTTGAAGGTCCTCAAGATGCAGAGTGGAAAATTGTCGCAGAGCACATTAGCGTCCTGGCTCAGAATGCTAGATCGTTCTTGGAAACACGGGACAGAGGTAAGGAAGACCTATACTAAATGTTTCTTAAAGCGAAGCTCAATACTCTACAAAACAATATCAACTAACTGCTATTGGTAGTAAACTTCAAGCAAAAGGAAGATGTTAGCTTTCAGGAACCCGTTGGCATCTTGTGCGGTGAAGCGCCCTACATCGCCTCCGAACTCTTCGTCGGTCGTGATGACGAACTTGCTGAGATCACACAAATTCTACACCCTGATCACAAAGCTCAAAAGCAACGGCGCCTAGTCCTTGGTGGTATGGGTGGTATTGGCAAGACCCATCTTGCGATTGCCTACGTAGAGTCCGGCCGCGGATCTTATGACTCAGTGTTCTGGCTTAATGCGGTATCTGAGGCCGCATTGAACGGAAGTTTCCGATCGATAGCCTACCAAATATTCGCCGTTGAGGAGGATGGAGTGTTAGGGGATAAAGAGATTGTGAGACGTGTACACCAATGGCTAGGCTCCCCCAGAAATACTAGGTGGTTATTGATCTTTGATAACTACGACGACCCCGACCAGTTTCGGATTGACAAATTTTACCCCTATGCTTCTCATGGAGCTATTTTGGTCACCACCAGACGGCCAGATCTAGTTGCTGGGATTACTCTTGACATAAAGCGGTTGAATAATATTAAGGATAGCCTCGAAATCCTGCAAACCCGATCAAAACGAGACGATATTCAATCAGGTATGCTACTACCAAATATATTTAGCATCTACTAACCATTATCATTAGATCATTATGCAAAGCGCCTCGCAGAGCGACTTGGGGGTCTTCCTCTTGCTTTGGCTACCGCTGGGACGTATCTTCGACATAGTACCCTCACTTTCGAACGCTACCTTAAAGAGTACAACACACGCTGGAATGTTGACCCCCGCCGGCCGGCTAAGCTTCTGGAGTACGAGGGTACACTCTATACGACCTGGGATATACCATACTCTCGCCTAGAGAAGGAAGATCCAGACGCTGCGAAATTACTGAAATTACTGGCCTACTTTGATAACCAGAGACTTTGGTACAAGCTTCTTCATGCCGGACTTACCGATAGTTCTCCCAAGTGGCTGAAGAGAGTGATCACAGATGACGTGGACTTCCATGGAGCGATGAGAATCCTGGCCGGCTACTGTTTCCTAGACGTTCACAAGGAGTCATGGAGTATGCATAACTGCGTGCATGACTGGACATTAGCAACACTCAATAAGGATATCAACGCAAATCTTTATTGGTACGCCTTTGACTGTGTTTCTGCGTCTATAAATGTTGATAGGGCGCATGATTTTGCAAACCTCTCTTACTCTCCCTTAGCTGCTCATGCCACGCGCCTAGTACAACAGCGCTTGTACCAGAACGACGTCATATATGATGTTATACCGCGTCGGCTCGACCAAGCTTTGCTGATCGCCGGGCTACTTCGAGAGCAAGAACTTCTTCTTGCTAGTGAGAACATATACCAGCGGGCACTAGCTGGGAGCGAGAAAGAGCTCGGACCGGGCCATATATCGATCCTTAACACTGTTAGCAATCTCGGAGTTCTATACTGGAAGCAAGGCAAACTAGACCAGGCAGAGACAATGTGCCAGCGGGCGCTAGCTGGGAGCGAGAAAGAGCTCGGACCGGACCATATATTGACCCTCGGCACTGTTCACAATCTCGGAGTTCTATACTGGAAACAAGGCAAACTAGACCAGGCGGAGACAATGTATCAGCGGGCGCTAGCTGGGAAGGAGAAAGCGCTCGGACCGGACCATATATCGATCCTTAACACTGTTAGCAATCTCGGAGTTCTATACTGGAAACAAGGCAAACTAGACCAGGCAGAGACAATGTACCAGCGAACGCTAGCTGGGAAGGAGAAAGCGCTCGGACCGGACCATATATTGACCCTCGGCACTATTCACAGTCTCGGAGTTCTATACTGGAAACAAGGCAAACTAGACCAGGCGGAGACAATGTATCAGCGGGCGCTAGCTGGTATGAAGAAGAAGAATACCGATACTTGCTTCTTGCAACGATGATCCCAATTTAATATCTTTCTCGCCGTCATTCCTGTTGGGGACAGAGCCGCCTTGTGGGGTACTCCGTGCTAATGACATGCTCTAATGTTTTTATCTGTGGACTATTGCCAAATAAGACACAAGGCCCCAGACTATTAACAAGGGATAGACAAGTGATACGCAAGTTTCAAACCCTCTTGGGTTGTTATGTTTGTCTTGTTTGCATTGCGAATATACCGAGCCAGGGGTTGTGGGGATTTGTCGGATGACGCGAAAATCCCGCAGCGTTATATCTATAGACCTGTGGACCTAAATTCATGGTACATTATCAAACCCTGTCTTCCTTTCCTTTCAAACCATTCTTCATATAATACATATTCAACATGTCGTGCGGCGACTGCTCCTCAGACAAACCTAAACCCTCGGGCAAATCTAACCCAGACCACGATGGCTCCCTTTTACAAAGACTCCTTCAATTAGTCTTCAAGTATCTACCAGAAGGATCCGCATTGCTTTCGTCCTCGTGTTGCTGGCTTCCAGTATGTTTTCTTTCCATGCTACTAGACTGTTGAATGCATATCCTAAGTTTATAGACTGTCCTAGATTTTCTCTTTGCGGGTTCGGTGGCCACTGCTGGTATCGAGAAACTGAGAAATACTTTCCTGGCGATTTCTATTCTGACCCTTATCTGGGGTGTGTGGCGCGAGGGATTCAGTCGTCGAATGGTCTGGCGCATTGCGATCTGTGTCGGGTTGTCGACTTGGGAGCAAGTGAATCAGTGGAGAATGGTCGATGGCAAGGGGCACCATAGCTGCCATTAATGGGCGACAGTTGCGTGATGAAAAATTTAATACTTTTTGGGTATTTTTCAATATTGTTAGTTTGAGTGTCAAAACCATAGTGGAATGAATTATCAATATGGCACGAATCTTGCTCAGCGGACGAAGATTTGTACATGCTATCCACTCAATGCTCAACGCCCTAGTTCTAATAATCAGACTGCTGCAAATGATGTCAACACTCCTCAGAGCCATGGCCAAATTTTCCTTGTAAGGTTCCAAACAGACGCATTTTCCATTGTTCTTAATTTCTATGAAGCTTGAACCGATGGGAATGACTTCACGATAGTGAAAACCCTACTATACACTAAATGTGACCAAATGAACCAAGCGCGACTGGCAACCTCTTAGGGTCTTAGACAGACTGAGCAATTCCATCAGCCTCCCCGCTGCGCACATTCTTGCCTTTCACCTTGATGGCCTCCAGCACAGTTTCGTAGGAGAGAGAAGGGTCAGCCACCACGGAGACGGTCTGCTCTTCTAGGGAAATGGAGTGATTCTTCACACCTGCAGCGCACAAAATGACAACATTAGTGCCCTAAACAATATAACCATGATATAAAATAGGGCCAAGTGACTCACCGCTAAGAATTTTCATAGCTTGCTCAATGGTACTTGAGCAGCCGCCACAGCCCATTTGGACGCTGAACTTGTACTGGCGGTCCGACATATTTCGAATGAGGAATGTTCCAGATTAATGGAAGAGAGGGATAATTTTAGTCACAGATATATATCTGAGTGAGGTTGCAGTTGAATCGTTAAAGAAAAAGTTCACGGGGAAATCGGTGCCTATATTTCTTCTCTCTCCCATCTATCCCCTTCCTCCTCCCTGCGGCATTTGTGCGTAAAGTGTTTGGATTCATGCTAGAGGCCTTTGTGCTAGCCCACTGCGCGAATTGTGCGATTCGCGATTTGTAGCTTGCAAACCTCGTCCAATAACTACCATGTATTGCATATGACACCATCCCTTCACCGCAGGATCACGCTGCTGGTCACTTGTTCTACATTCTATCGTGTATCATTCAGCTCGGCGCTGATCCAGTCCTGTTCTTCGGGCTATTGCAAGAAGCACGTTTCCACACAGCTATCTACGCTTGCGCAAGCATGTAAAGACACATCATGGAACCTTTACGATTTCAGGATCAAAATGACAGAGGTGATCAGTACGAAATATAATCGTTTTTTTACTAACGCTAGCATCATGGAATCCATCTGTTGTAGATTGATAACAAGTGACCCACCTTTCACGTGATTGAACTGCAATTTTTCTTCCGCGGTTTCTTTTGGGCCGCAAGATGGGTATCTAGGCTGCTTTGTGTGCTGTGAGATATCATGGAACAGGACCATAAAGCGGCACTCAATTGGGAAAATCGCCGCTTAAAATCCGGTATATAAAGCGACATATCTACGAATGATTTTGTGGACATACTCAGAACCTTGATTGGCCCAGAAAGTCCGAATATGCAAGGTGGCGCATCTCCTGCACGTGGAATGCTACCCAATGAACGCATTGTGTTTGGCCCAATGTATCAAGTGGGTTTGAAACTGCTTCCAAGGTTAGATGTGTCGGATTCTCGAAATATTGGCCTCTTCTGTCTCAACTTCGTATACTAATATGTAGGTTCGCCCGAAGATATCCCGGGGCTAACCGAATGAGCGCTAAGGTAACGGGTCTAGGAATAATTTTTAATTTGCCAGTTCCTTCTGATTTTGCGAGAGGAGATATTCTAAGGTTATTAAGTTGCCTAATTGTACAACATACGGAGCATCTCAATATTATTTAGATGCCTTAAAGGGCATATGGTCAGGATGAAACTACAATACATGTGCAATATATGGTAATATACGGATGCTTCGTATCCCCTATATATGAATCTTACTCAAGATATTGAAACCCGGATTTCTCAATATCGATTTACTATTTAGTATATTCAAGATCTATCCATGCTCAATGAATTATCCTTGCTTATACCCCGTAAAGTGGAGGACACTAATTGGCTCTTCTCCACAACCCCAGATCGATAAACCCTCGTTGCGCTTTGCTCTAGAACGAGATCTTCTGCAAGATATGATTGAATTTATAATCATAACTGCATAGTTATCACGAGTGATCATGAGTCATGTCGACTGGGATTTTACGCTTTAATCCCGTTTAGGAGCCCGTCCGCTTGGTATCTTCAAATCTGGTCACTCCACCGCGGAATATGCCGTCTCTGGAGGCTTGACCCCACATTTGTTTGGGCTTAGGGCCATTTCGCTTGGACGTAATTTTCTTCCGAGGCCTGATATCGAACACCGCTATTTTCATTATGCCTGAAATTTTTTAGTTCCAGGGCTTGGTGGAGCCGAGAGGGGCGTTGAGATACTACCCGACTTAAGCCAAGGATCATTCGGGCTTAGCTTCTTCACAATCTTCTAGCTTCTTTTTTCTTCTTCTCTAAACGATTTATTTCAGGGGTTTCAAACGTTGATAGTATTTCACGTCTTTGCTTTTTAGTGACCTCCCTAGGAAGTAATTCAATACATTCTTGGGGGAGTTCCCGTGCCGCAGAGTTTATACGGGATCGGCCCTCGGCACACCTTAATATCTTCCATACCTTTGAGATCTTCAATGACATCCAACGTCGAGTCAGACCACAAGCTGGCCATGGCGGAAACCAGCAGCAAATCAGATGCGGATACCTTGGATTCAAACAGCTATGGACGCCAGCTGGAAGAAATTCGCATCGCTAACACGCCGGCCGATACCTCGTTCCAGACGGGTGTCGATGTTACAACCGCCGAGAAAGACTTTTCGGAGTTGAGCAAACAATTCTCCAGCATCTCGCACCAAGCCCAGAGATTATCCAGACATGAATCACGAGTATCTAAGATGGGGGTCACCACGCAAGATATCGAGAAAGCTGAGGGTTCTACTTCGTCGGATGATTCATGGGACTTGGAGACAACTCTTCGTGGCGATCATGTCGCTTCTGAAGAGGCTGGAATTAAAGACAAGCACATCGGTTGGTAGACATTCAACACCGAGAGAACAAACAAGTACTGACTATCTTCCTAGGCGTGATTTGGGACAACCTAACGGTTCGTGGGATGGGCGGTGTCAAGACATATATCAAAACATTCCCAGATGCAATCATCGATTTCCTTAATCTACCGGGAACCCTCATTGACCTCTTCGGATGGAGCAAGAAAGGCCAAGAGTACAATATCTTGGAAGGTTTCCGGGGTCTCACACGGCCCGGGGAGATGGTCTTGGTCCTTGGCCGTCCCGGATCAGGCTGTACGACTTTCCTAAAAGTGATTGCGAATCAACGGTTTGGATACACCGGTGTGGATGGTGAAGTCCTCTATGGTCCCTTTGACTCGGATTTGTTCTCCAAAAGATTCCGTGGAGAAGCCGTGTACAATCAAGAGGATGATATTCACCAGCCCACCTTGACTGTAAAACAAACCCTTGGATTCGCCCTCGATACCAAGACCCCTGGAAAGCGCCCATTCGGTGTGTCAAAAGCTGAGTTCAAAGAGAAAGTGACCAATTTGCTTCTGAAAATGTTCAATATTGAACACACTGCGAACACCGTGATCGGCAATCAGTTTATTCGTGGTGTCTCTGGAGGTAAGAAATATGGTTTAGTTGTGCACCTCCAAGGGAATTGAAGCTAATTAGAACAGGTGAGCGTCGTCGTGTGTCGATCGCAGAAATGATGATCACCTCTGCGACTGTATTGGCTTGGGATAACAGCACTCGTGGTCTGGATGCTTCAACTGCCCTCGATTTCGCCAAGTCTCTGCGAATTTTGACCAACATATACAAAACAACAACTTTCGTGTCACTCTACCAAGCGTCTGAGAACATCTATAAACAGTTCGACAAGGTCCTCGTGATTGACAATGGCCGCCAGGTATTCTTCGGTCCTACATCCGAAGCACGATCATATTTTGAAAGCCTTGGCTTCCGCGAAAAGCCTCGTCAAACCACCCCCGACTACTTGACAGGATGCACTGACCCCTTTGAGAGGGAGTTCAAAGACGGAAGAACTGCTGAAGATGTCCCATCCACGCCACAAGCGCTAGTGGAAGCCTTCGACAAATCCGTCTTCAGTGAAACCCTAGACCAGGAAATGAAATCCTATCGCGCCCAGATTCAGAAGGAAAAGAAAATATACGATGACTTCGAGATCGCCAACAAAGAGGCAAAGCGCAAGTTTACTTCTGACTCATCTGTATACTCGATCCCTTTCCACCTGCAAACCTGGGCTTTGATGCAACGGCAATTCCTCCTCAAGTGGCAAGATAAGTTTGCTTTGACTGTCTCTTGGATTACTTCTGTTGGTATTGCTATCATCTTGGGTACTGTATGGCTCCACCAACCAAAGACTAGTGCTGGTGCTTTTACTCGAGGAGGTCTTTTGTTCATCAGTCTGCTGTTCAACGGCTTCCAAGCATTCTCCGAACTTGCAGCCACAATGATGGGCCGCTCAATCGTCAACAAGCACCGTTCATTCACATTCTACCGACCTAGCGCACTTTTCATTGCGCAGATCATCGTTGACACTGCGTTTGCCATCGCAAGAATCCTCGTATTCAGTATCATCGTGTACTTTATGTGCGGACTTGCTCTTGATGCTGGAGCATTCTTTATATTTGTTCTGATTATTCTCGAGGGCTATGTGACCATGACAGTGTTCTTCCGAACCGTCGGATGTCTATGTCCTGATTTTGATTATGCTATCAAGTTCGCATCCGTCATCATCACATTCTTCGTTTTGACGTCTGGATATCTAATTCAGTGGTCTGGCGCTCAGGTGTGGCTGCGATGGATTTATTACATCAACCCCTTCGGTCTTGGATTCTCTGCATTGATGGTCAATGAGTTTAGGCACCTTACCCTGACATGCACGACAGACTCCCTCGTGCCAACTGGAGATGGCTATGGTAACATTGCGCACCAGGCTTGTACTCTAGCAGGAGGAAACCCAGGGTCGGCAATCATCTCGGGCTCTGACTACCTCGCAAAGAGCTTCAGCTACCTTCCTGGTGATCTTTGGCGAAATTTCGGCATCATGCTTGCCCTGATCATTGGTTTCCTCTGCTCCAACTTGTACTTCGGAGAAACACTTCAATTCGGTGCAGGCGGCAAAACCGTCACTTTCTACCAAAAAGAGAACTCTGAGCGGAAAGAGCTAAATGAGGCTTTGATGCAGAAGAAAGCAAACAGACAGGCAAAGGTTATTGAGTCTGATGAAGGCTCGAACCTCGATATTTCCTCAAAGTCCGTGTTCACCTGGGAGGATGTCTGTTACGAAGTGCCTGTCCCCTCCGGTACCAGACGTCTTCTGAACTCTGTTTACGGCTATGTTCAACCCGGAAAGCTGACGGCACTCATGGGAGCATCTGGTGCAGGAAAGACAACTTTACTGGACGTTTTGGCGGCAAGGAAGAACATTGGTGTAGTCACCGGCGATATTCTCGTCGATGGAAAGCCTCCAGGCACCTCGTTCCAAAGAGGTACATCTTACGCTGAACAACTTGATGTTCACGAGGATATGCAGACTGTACGAGAAGCGCTGCGTTTCTCTGCGGATCTGCGCCAGCCATTCGAAACACCCCAATCGGAAAAGTACGCCTACGTGGAGGAGATCCTTACCCTCTTGGAGCTGGAGAATCTGGCAGATGCAATTATCGGTACACCTGAAACTGGTCTCTCAGTCGAAGAAAGAAAACGAGTTACCATCGGCGTGGAACTGGCGGCAAAGCCTGAATTGCTTCTATTCTTGGACGAGCCTACCTCTGGTCTGGACGGCCAATCTGCCTGGAATATTGTTCGTTTCCTTCGGAAGCTAGCAGCAGCAGGCCAGGCTATTCTCTGCACCATCCATCAACCGAACTCCGCCCTCTTCGAAAGCTTTGATCGTCTGCTCCTACTTCAAAGAGGAGGTGAATGCATCTACCACGGTGACATCGGTCACGACTCTCAGATCCTGCTGGATTACTTCCGCCGTAATGGAGCCGACTGCCCTGCGGATGCTAACCCGGCTGAGTGGATGCTTGATGCCATTGGCGCTGGCCAAACACGTCGCATCGGAGACCGTGACTGGGGTGACATTTGGCGCACTTCTCCCGAACTGGATCAAGTTAAACAGGAAATTATCCAGATCAAGGAAAGCCGTGTCCAGGCCGTTCGGGTTAATCATGACGAGAATAAGGTCGATAGAGAATACGCTTCACCTCTCTGGCACCAGATCAAGGTTGTCGGTCGTCGAACACATCTATCATTCTGGCGCTCGAAAAACTATGGTTTCACCAGGCTTTACACTCATGTTGTGATTTCTATCATTACGGGTCTTGTATTTTTGAAGTTGGATGACTCCCGATCCTCTCTGCAATACCGCATCTTCGTCATTTTCAACGTTACCGTCCTCCCAGCAATCATTCTTCAAATGGTTCAACCGCGGTACGATATGGCCCGTCTGATCTTCTACCGCGAATCAGCATCGAAAACCTACAGCCAATTCGCCTTTGCACTGTCACTGGTCCTCGCCGAAATGCCCTACAGTCTCCTGTGCGCCGTCTGCTTCTTCCTCCCTCTATACTACATTCCCGGATTCCAAACCGAGTCCAGCCGAGCGGGCTACCAATTCCTCATAATTCTCATCACGGAGATCTTCTCCGTGACTCTGGGCCAAATGATCTCAGCCCTGACCCCCAACAGCTTCATCGCGTCTCAGCTCAACCCACCGATCGTGATTATCTTCTCTCTATTCTGTGGTGTCACAATCACCAAGCCGCAAATGCCAGGTTTCTGGCGCGCATGGCTATACGACCTCGACCCATTCACTCGTCTGATCGGCGGAATGGTCGTGACAGAGCTACAGGGTCGGGATGTGGTTTGCGCGGAGTCGGAGTTGAATCTTTTTAATGCCCCTGACAACCTCACCTGCGGCGAGTATATGAAGCCGTTCTTTGATCGCGGTGGTAAGGGATATATTGTTGATGATGCGGCTCAGGCGTGCAAGTACTGTGCATACAAGGTTGGAGAGCAGTTCTACGCCACTTTCGGTATGTCCTTCGATAACCGGTGGCGGGATCTGGGTATCTTTGCCGCGTTTATTGTGTCTAACTTGATCATCTTGTTCTTTGCGGTAAGTGGATATATTCTATATCCTTTTTCTATGTTTCTGATTGTGACGCTGATTGATTTTGATACAGTCTCGCTTCTTGAACTTCAACCGGCGATAAACACATGTGTAGCGATACATGGCCCTGGCTAATCCCCGTCAAGAGATTGACTAACCGTAAAGTACCTTTGCGTAGAATATCCTCCCTATCAAAAGCGCAATGTCTGGTTTAATTTTTAATTCAAAAAGCACTGGTTTTTCTTCTTTATAACATCGATTACATACTCTTTGTTCTGACTACTTGTACGGGCGACTAAATAACCAGGACATTACTCTCTCATTGAATAAAATTGCTAGGCAGTATTTTAGATCTACCCTCACTTTACAATTACTATGTATAAGAATAGTCGGCCGCGTTTATGGCCTTGTGGTATCTTTTTGGTTAATATTTCTAAATGTCTTTTTAATCGTCTTTGTTTCGTAGTTTGCTGCTTATTAAATAGGCCAAGTAGCAGTCTGACACCATTGCGACCTAGGTAGAATTCCGAGGCTCCCTCTATACGTTAGTATATCCTGAGCTCGTCGTCTAACTGCTGTCCCAAAAATATGGAGTTGATGAATATTTTTAGAGTAACTTAACAACAGCAGCTGGAATAGAGTGTGATCTATTCAGTATTAGCCCTCTCGTTTGATATCAGCGCCAGGTGAGTCTCACCTTATGTCCCGCGCAAGCCGCGCAGTCGAGATAGCTCCAAATCCCAGCTTTCCTACGACCTGATATCGGTCCTGAAAGACTTCTCCTATTCGAGCGAGATAATACCGTGAAGCAATATAATCTGGGATGGTCTCTTCTTCAATCCAATCCTTTATCTGCCAGCCTAATTACGACGATCACTAGTGGAACTCCAGTACCTATTACATCCAAGACCTAAGACCGAATTATTGAGCACAATTTCAACATAAAATATATCATAGAAATTTATGTTGACCATGCCAAATCCGAGGGAGCGAGTGAGTGGTCGGCCCACGAAGTAGACACAAGCTCCAATCTGGCTAGCTCAGGCATCGATCCTTTGATTTCTTGAAACCAGTCGTGCCAATTGTACGGAACGCAAAGCTGCAGTCGAGTCCACTCCCGACCTTCCAAGAGTCTTTTCCATGGGTTGAGGAACAACTTCCCCTTTTCATGGGTATATAAAAGCTCTTGAGCCTCACATGGCGGCATTTGAAGTAGCACACGTAGCCGGAGCACGCCGCGGAAACTCTCCATAAATAACCCAAAGAACGCGTAATAGGTTGCCATCCAGTCCTCCTCAGCTTGCCCCGGCTCCCAGAAACCAACAATAAACGAGATGTCCATAGATTTCATAAGAGATGTACAACGCGGTGCCAAAATCCTTGATATCAGAAAAGGGGTGTCCATAGCATCGTTCATCACAAAGACACTCGTCCCATAAAGGACTTCCAATGCTTCTTCATATCTGCACGATGATGAGTCAATGTTCTGACAGTGGAAGGATACCGACTTACCCGATTTGACAACATCTCAGCCACTCCACGCTGCCAATTTTGGGCCTCGGAGTGTGCATGTACGCCTCGCGGCCCGACATTGAACAGATATCCTCAACAGGATCATCGATAAATCCATCAGAATGCTCACAAATAACATGCCACCAGTGCCAGCGAGGTTTGCTGTGCGGTTCGGGCGATGGCTGTCTCCAAAAATACCGAATATGCACTCGCCGATCGCCCATAATCTCGAGGTAGATCAGCCTGCTAATCTCAGCTGGGAGACGAAAGAGTGAACTTTCCTGCTGGGAGCTTTTCTGCCGAGCTCTAGGGCTGTGAGGGCATTGCTCTGGTTGGATCGGCAGCTTCCATCGATTGAATATATCGCTGTTGATCTCACAGGTGGAATCCCAGATTCCTATCGCGTTTGGAGACCATTCTCGCAATGTAAACCTGGGCTCTTTCGGCCCTTTCTTTTTGTGCTTGAAAAGTTTGTTGAGAAAACGAGGTGCCATGGCGGTGGAGTCTGGAGTTGTTGTTGTTGTATTGTTAAGTGGAGTCTGGAGTAGTGGGGGGAGCCTCGACTTTATATATTCCTGGATGTGGGTGGATGTCCCCGGTGCGTGGCAGTCGCACTTCCTGGGGATTGACCCAGAAGCCCTGAACTCTGTGGGATTCCCAATGGCCTCCAAAGTTGAGACCCCATAAGACAATACACGGCTTACTAGAGTAAACCTATTCCAAAAAGAGAATAGAAAGCCAGGAGGTATGTATGTTATACAATTGATTAGAGTTTTTCTGGGTCCTCGAATATATGTCCTATTGACGTGCTATTGTGAATCACGAAGAAAACCCCCATTACCACTGGAATATACAATAGATTGTATTCAAGTGTTGCCATTGACGATGAAACCCATTCGAACTCGAGTTTGTCTACTTAATTTGGACTCAAGCTTCTTCTACTTGAACCAGTTTCATCTTCCCAAACATACTCTGCTGCAAGACCATCTTTTATTGTAAGCTCGGTCGAGGTACAAGTCAATGCCCCCTTTCGTCTAACAATATCCGTCTTGTGTAGCTTCAAAATGCGATCAAGACCAACAGACAGGACAACAAAAGTACAGAGATTCCCTGTCCCTCGATCCAACCCCATCTACCCCCCTTTGGCCAAAGATCTAAAATTACTAGCTTTTCTATATAACTTATATATGTTATAAGGGTAGTTATATTTACACTGTTTATAGTGCTATAGTACTCCCACTGTAGCATTATGGTACCGAACCAAGGGCCTAGTGCTGCAGCACCGGTGCTGCGGGACTTGTTAAGGCCTAGATTGCTGACTCGGGTATACTCGCTTCCATACTTGCTATAGAAGTTGAAACTAGTATACAGATTATAACATGTATACTTCGAGGGAGTGAGAATAGCGGCCAGCTAGTATCCAATGAGAGAGTTGTGCCCTGGTAGCATACTTAGTCGCCCTACTACTTGACAGTAATCCACATCGTAGCGATTTTAGGATTTTCACTCGGGGAAAAGGCAGAAAATAGGACATACATACGAATAAGGCCAGTGGCCTTTCTGGACTTAACAAGCTTAAAACGGCTGGAAGTTATGTATTTGGACCGGAAAGAAGACATCGAGAGAAGAGGCTACAAAATAGCCTATACAGAACTGCTCATATTGACATGTATCCACGGGGGAAACACATAAATAGATCCATTTCAAAGCGCCAACACCTCAAAAGTCTTTCTCAAACTCCAAACATAAACCCACCCTGATCAGTGTTTGCTCATGGGAAGCCGTGAGATATCAAATCGCATCTGCAAGTCTCCTTCATACTGCCAAGTAAGAATTTGCACAATGCGACGTGTACCTCTAGGGAAAGCACCCAAGACAAGGGCGCCGACAGCTTTCCCCAACGATGTCCCCATGATTTCTCGATAATCAATAGTATCATGCAGCCATGTCCTCACTTCAGTATCACTAGCAATTTCAAGTCCATATCTCGGATAAAGCACCTTATCCATGAAGATATGAGTCTCCTCATTGACGACCGTCATACGAAAGACATGTTTCAAAGAATTGATATCAAAAAAAGCTTTGTAGTGAGCCTGAGCGATTTCCGACCACTGAGGACCATCAAGTCTGACATTGTTGTCGGCAAAGATAGCAGTATGTGCCACACGTCCGTGGTATTTGTTCCAACCTAGGGAACCATCTTTATCGACTCCGAGCTTGCGAAGAAATAGCTTGTGGTAATCCAGTCCAGTGGGGAGATTGAGAGGACGAGGATCGCCGATTTCCTCGGGTGCACCAACCCACTGGTTGCAATACGCGTCCCATCGGTTCCTGGGGTCAGAAGGTCGTATCAGTTGGTGCATTTTTATTGTGGATGGCGAAACGACACATTTTCTGTGGCAGTTGGTGTCTTCTGGGGAATTGATCCAGGTTTGGTAGTCAGTTCCCTTCTGGCGGAATATATTGATCATCTCCTCAGTGGTTGCGGGGTGTAGATCTAGCATATCGATGGTTTGCGTTTTGATTTCAAGTGGTTGGTTTTGACAAACCACGGGCTTCTTGCTCGAGTCTTCCATTGCTAGATGGTTCTGGTGTTTTTCACAAAGGATCGAGGGAGTTCCATCAAGGTCGAGGCTAGTGCGAAGAGGCACCATGTTGAAAATGCCGACACGGAAATAAAGCGTAGATGTGATGAATGTATGGAGAGAAGAGAGGTGTGGAAACCCGGTCGAGGCTACGGGAGAATTGAAAATGGAAGGTGAGACGGAACGTGACTTCGAAAAATTGTTGGTTGAGGAACTGGATGATATTGAGAGCCTGGATTGTTAGAGGTTTTGGATGTCTTTGCCATTAAAGCTGTGGCTGCGCGCGTATTCTTCGGACCTTTGCTCTTCTGCGCGCATAATGTAATACTCCATACTTGAAGTATTCTAGGATCTAAGTAGTAAAAACCAGATCAAACTCAAGTGCAGTAGATGCAATAATTTCGCATTCCAGGATTCGGCACTTCATGCTAATTTTTCTTACTGACCTTCATCTACACATGTGGGTTCGTATTTCCATGGTTTTATTGCAGATATATGCAAAACAGGTCACAGATAGGGCCTTATACGCGAGCGATTTCCCATCCTGGAGCCACAACATCTGAGCCTTGGAACAGTCAAATCGCGAGATGTCTAGTGCACTACGCCAATAGAGACATTGTGTTGAATTGTGTGGGGTAGGATGAAGTGCACAGCCATTGACTATAGCAGCGAGCGCAATAATTTCCAGCGGCCGGGCCATTGTCTCTTTGATGAGGCTTCAGTCAGCACCGATCTGGTCCCTTCGTGGCGTAGGTGGTTTCGGCAAACTCTGAGTTCAGAACACCATTGCCGAGCTGTATGGATGGCTCGAGGCAAAGCGAGTCACATTGATGGCAGCTCCTTGGTTACAGAGACGTATTTTCCTCGGACTTCCCCAAAAGTGTCATTGACGAAGCACTACCCGACAGACATTCGAAGGGCCTCGGGGGAGAGATGTTGTTCTTGCTCCCGGGAAGGATCAAAATCTGCACTTTTGCTTTCGAAGAACTCCTGAGCTTTCATAATCAATCGCAATGCCTTCTCGACACCAGGAGAAACAGAAGATCCATGGATCGTCATCCATCGTTGTAAAAGCTGCTTCAGGTGAGGCCCTAGCTGTAGCAAGGCAATATGACGAAGCTGCATTGTCAGTTGTGGATGACAGAAGCCGCCCATGAGAGTCAACATCGCCGTCTCGAGTCTAACCAAATAATTGTTTGTATCAGCAATAATGTACAGCCTTCGAGAAGCCTTTGACAATGGTACTTACGAAAGCGAGCATGGCCATGTGTCTACCATGACAGTATATGGCACTTGTTTGAGGTACCTTAATTTGAATAGGCAAGTGTCGAGAGCAACCCGACAACCATCGAGCACACGCAGGTTGTTGTTGAGATCCCACAATGGATTAGCGAGAGCCCATTCTAGATAAGGCCGATAGATGACACTTCGACAGCTCAGATACCACTGCCTCAAATACTCGCTATGCGGGTCGTCTGCGGGTTTTCCATCTTCGGGAAATCGCAGACTTGGAGGCAGAGTTTGATACCAGTCTTGCAGCTGGCGTGCCAGTTCTTGGTTCACAGAAGGAAAATTATTAGAATCGATTTGAAGGCCAATATCGCGGTCATAGAGCATGTAGTGAGCACGATTGAGGAGGCGACGGAGTGCTATCGATGCAAGAAAGTAGAATGTCGACTTTTCTTCCTCTTCAGCAGCTTCATGTGAGTGGAATTTGCCCGGAAGAGAAAATATTGATTCGATTTCAGCATTGCAATTTTGCGGGAGCGATGGTAACTCTGAGATATAGTTGCTACTACGAGTCAGGCGGTGGTGAGTTTATGGTGTCATTGCCTGTACTTACCTTTCTAGTACGAAGCAGGACCAGAATATCCTAGTGATATGTTCTCGATCATCACGCTCAGGGTTGTCAAAAGGGCAAGAAAGCAGGAAACGACAACGAGTTGCCGCGCTATTCACATAAGACCATGTTTGCAGCGGTCTTTGCAAAAATGAAAAGTAGAGACTAGATATTTGTCAGTTTCGTCTTGACTCGCTGTTTCGGCCCGTAACAATTTTGCCATACCCAGTCAGCAAGAGGCATTGGCACGCTTCCACATTCATCTCAATATGGGCTAAGTGAAGCATCTTCATTGCGGCTGTGAACCATGATGCTCCCTGCAGTTTCAGCTGTTGAGACTTCCCTTCTGAGCTGCTCTCTTCGTCTGTCATGGAAGCCCCGACACAACCCAAAGCCATGACCAGTAATGCGAGACACGATTGACAACTAGGCTCCAGATTCTCCTGCCATATCCTCAATTGCAAGGATTTGAGATCGTCCAAGCTAATTGTAGGGAACCAAAAGTTATAGGTCCGTTGGAATACACCCACCATGTTCTTAACATCGGATAATCCCACGCTGGGGAATATGCCATAGAGTTTGCTTTGAAAGGGCGGTCGTCCATATTCGAGTGACAGAAAGGAAGACTCTCCTTCCTCCAATATTGCAGGATGGTCATGAAAAACCGACCACTTCAAAAGAGACTCTGCCGAGGAGAGATGTCCTGATGAGAGTATGGCACTTTCAGTGGGGTCCCTAACCGTGTACCGGTGATGATGATGGCGTGCATCCTGAGATACAGGTGTAATTGTCGAACCAGGAGACGTTGAATTGGCCTGGGTGCTACTCACCACACTTGAACAAGAGCCCGTAGCCTGGATTTTATCATCAGTAAGTCAGAGATGACCTTTGGCCACTCGTTACGTACGACCATGCCCTTAAGTTCTTCAATGGAAGCTTCCATTCGCAAGACTGTATCCAGGATCATTTCACTTTTTCCTCTTCTAATGTGGCATTAATGGTGGATTTTCAAAATGACACCAACTCACTTACGATGTAGCTTCTGTTCCGTATAGACACGTTTGGTTCAGGCTCACACAGGGCCCACAGGGGTCCCGGGCATCACATCTGTCAGATCTGTTAATCATCATGTACCACACAATCGTATATGAAATGACTAGCCTTGTCTTTCGCTGGCGGCATGAGTCGCACTGTTAGTTGTGTTAGTTTCGATATTGAATCCAATTGGCGGGTTCCCGATAAGGGAAAATGGGAGACGGACAGCTCGAGCCGCCCTGAATCTCTTCATTTCGAGCTAGGATGCTGCTATCAGGGACTTTTCGCCTGACAATTGTCTTAATTGGCTTCGCTAATGAGCTTTACTGACAGTAAATGAACGAATTGATGGCGCAGGCGGCGAAAACACGGATGGAAAAGTTGGATTGACGTGAACGAGGCCAACGCGGGCGCGCACGTGATGGGCCCATTTCCCTTAGATTAGTTCGCTTTTATACATCTAATTAATTATAGTGTACAAGACAGGAATATTTCAAATGAAATGAATTCTGTATCTCTGAATGGTACTAATCGTGGGTTGTTCATTCTGAAAACCAGCCCTTAGGGTGTGTGTGCACTGGCTTGGTTCTATTGATGTGGGCTAATAAGGAAATCTGACCAGCTGGTCGGATAGAAGGCTGTCACTGAACGCTTTGAAGAGTATAGATGGGTTTGCATGGTATAGCACAATAATAGTCCCGTTTTTGGCCTTTTGATGTCTTTTTTTATAGATATTTTATCTTCCTTCTCAGTTTCTATGATATATATAGACTACAGAAAAACGCGGTATAGACTTAATTAACGAAATGAAAATTTCCATATATAACCTTTGAAATTAAAACATTTTTAGATTCACAAAGAAACAGGCTCCAATAGCATACCAAAGGTGATATCCTGCACCTTAACCAGATGCTCATCTATAGGCCCCGGGCCACAAGCCGCAGTTCCTACGCCCGCGACTTGGTCATCCAATCTCACAAACACTGCGCCATCTTTAACTAGATCACAAGGGTGTCGTGCCGCTTCGATAGTCTCATCTGAATACTGGCTAGCTGCCCAGCTCAAGCTCGCCGTCCCTCCGTTCACCACTGTAATCTCCTGCGGGCTTGCCCGGAAACCCGTTCCATTGGAAGTGAGAAGCTCCACCCATGCAGTGTCTGTGCGGTTTCCATTCTCCTGCGGAATATCATAAACCGTCTGTAGAGATTCAATGTCTTCGACATTCCACAAACCAAACTTCTGGGCAAACTTCTTGTCGGGATACGATTCTCCAGGACCAAGTCCGAACCAACGTGCCAACTGAAGTTCAGAGTTTGCGCGAAGATTGAGACCAATGCGAGGAACATTTGTCGGTGCAGCTCCAGTAGGTTGCAAGCTCGTCTTTATGGACAACGAGCCGTTTGGTTTGATGGTATAACGTGCGAGACATTTCCATCCCCAGGAGAGGACTGGAGGCGAGAGGAATGTCTCGCTTTCGATGCAAATATCCCCATTCTCCAGTGGTGACACATTGAAGGAACGGAACTGGTTTGTGAGACAATTTACTCCGAAGCGCTTCCAATACGGCATCGCAGAAGGTACGTCGTTGTCTGTCGGGGGACGCCAGAAACCAGGCACCATGGCAAGCCCTGTGTCGGGATGCGGCTCAAGAATAGACGTCGAGTTGTATGTCCACTTCCTGAGATGTCCCCGAATACGGTCAAACTCGAAGGACCAATTGGCTCCGCTGACAGACACAGTTGTCTTGGTGGAGTTGGTTGAGATAGCCTCTTGAGCAGAGCTCAGGTCATTGACTAGGGATTTCTCGGTTGGCTTTGATACCAAATCTTGCGTCCAGGCAACAATATATTTCCCCTGGTCCCATTCAACCTTTCCTCGTTGCTCAACTGTAATGGTCAAGTAGGCGGGATGAGCGTTATGTTTGAAGACCTCTGTTGGGAGAGCAATCTCAGCAGATTGCCCAGCGGGCACAATGGGTAACTCAAGTGATCCAGTCACCAAAGTCTTTGTTCTGGGTAAAGTTAGCTTATCTTCAATTTCTTGAAGCGATAGTCATTGACTCACTGCTTGTCAAATGATTCAAGTTCGTATGAAGCTTGGAGATGGCTTAGGTCCAAGAAGTTGTACCGGTTCTTAAGAACCAACACTTGTCCACGGACTTCCAACTTGACTGGTTCAAAGACTCTCTTCAACTCCAACAGACCTGGCAGAGGCTGATGGGCACTGTTCAAGAGACCATCCATTACGAATGTACCATCATTCGGATAGTCATCGAAGTCACCACCGTAGGCATAAAATCCGTCTTTCTTGCTGCTTCCTTCAACGTACAACCCGTGGTTGGCCCATTCCCAGATAAAACCACCCTGCAAACGCGGAATCTCGTCGAAGCATTTCTCGTACTCTGTAAGCAGACCAGGTCCGTTGCCCATGGCATGGGCATATTCACAAAGAATAATAGGTTTGTCAAACTTGCCATTTTTTGGAACACCTTCAGTAGCTGCCAAGGTTCTAAGTCGGTTGATTTCTGGATACATGTAGCTGAACATGTCTGTAGTCTCGGCATCAACATCACCCTCGTAGTGGATCAAGCGACTGCTATCGAAAGCCCGGGCATACTCTACCATGGAACGGTGACACGTGCCAAAGAAAGCCTCATTCCCCATAGACCAGATAATAACACTGGTATGATTCTTGTCTCGTTGGATCAGTGAATGAACGCGATCAACATAGGCCGCGCGCCAGGCGGGGTTGTCTGATGTATGGGCACCACACTTGGGGAAAGTCATTGCCTTGCGCTCCTCGTAGCCAAGGGTTTCGTCCATATCCATTGGGCGTGAGACAGCATCATAGAAGCCATGGCATTCGAGATCGGCCTCATCGATAACCCAGAAGCCCAGCTCATCAGCCATATCAAGAAGGCGAGGGTCGGGGGGATAATGACTGCAGCGAAGGGCATTAACGTTGTGAGCTTTCATGAGAAGCAGATCCTTCCTCATGAAGTCCAGCGGCACGGCACGGCCCAGAAGCGGGTGGTGATCGTGGCGGTTGACTCCGCGAAGCTGAATAGCCTTTCCGTTAACGGAGATGAGGCCATCCTTGCGCTCAACTTTGCGGAAACCAATGCGCTGTGTAGCCTTAAATGTCTTGTTGGATCCAGGAGTTGTCAGAAGCATCTCTACTTCATATAGATACGGCTGCTCGGCAGTCCATTTCTTGGGATTGGCAACAGGCAAGCTGAGTTCAACTGCGGATGTTCCTGGCTCCACAATGCGCTCTGTGGAAGTAATGACATGACTGGCGCCCTCCACTGACTCAACTAAATTGAGTGCAATAGTACTTTGCTCCGAGACTAGGTAATCAATCGCTGCGAGAAGCGTCGCATTTTTGTATTCTGGATCGAGGTCTGTGCGAATGAACCAGTCATTCAAGCGATCGTTGGCTGGGAGTGCAATTAAAGTGACGTCTCGGAAAATGCCTATTATCATGATAAATATTAGCAGATGATATTTTCCCACTGTCCGTATCACAAATTTATATCCTACCAGATAACCACCACTGATCCTGATCTTCGATATAGGTAGCATCTGACCACTGATACACCCGCACAAAGACTTCATTGTCCCCGTCCTGCAAAAGTGGTGTGACGTCAAATTCAGACGGATTTCTGCTGCCCTGCGCATACCCGACCAAGGACTTGTTCACCCAAACGTGATAGGCGCTATCAACGCCGTCGAATCGCAAACGAATCTCTGTGTTGTTGACTTGCCATTCAGCCGGCACTTGAAACTTTCGACGGTATGTACCAGTGGGATTCTCCGTGGGTACAAAAGGAGGGCACACTGGGATCGGGAATTGTGTATTTGTATAATTCGGCTTTCCCCAACCCTGCAACTGCCAATGGCCGGGAACATTGATACTGGACCAGTCCTCGTCGGGGGTCTTCTCGTTAGGCTCCGGTGCCTCCGGTGGTGAACGGGACATATTGAACTCCCATGCTCCATTGAGAAGTAAAGATGTGGAGGGGATATGATAAGAACGCGCGGGCAGGGTGTTTCTGCGAAAAACTGCAGGGTTCATGAAATCAGGCCGTTCAGGATCGGCCTGCAGGGCCAGCTCTCTGCCCTGGGTAGAGCTCATGGTAGTAGAAAAGAAATTTAAAAGGAATAAATTCGGATTCTCAGGCCGTCTGGGGAGTTGGGGAGGGGGGGCAGCTTTGCTACTCGACGTCCTTTATACCACAATTATGGACCAAATGACGTCGGGGCTTGAGACGCACAGCAGCTAGGATTATCTTACATTTTTATGGACCTGGCAGGGGTAAAATATTCTTCGGCATGTCGCAAAGGACTCAGCAATGTATTTGTCCCCGTTTCTCCAACATTTATCGCGGGTCTATCGGAGCCGATGGCTTATGGGGTTGGTTTTGCGGAGAGAATGGATAGTATCTGACCAATAGACAGCTCCGGGGGTATCGGCACCGGGTCAATCGGTGCCGTTGAAGATTTGGAAGACTTAAGACGATTTCAGTTGCCCACAAAATGTGAAGTTGTCCAATCCCATCAAATCACGTGGATATGTGGATCTAGACGGGGGTATCGGGAAACTCGTTAGTGTCTCTTCTCGTCCAAGTTTGTACTTTCACCCCTTCGGAAAAGCGAGCTCATCAGCTAACTTGAAAGCTTACCTTCCCCAGATTGTTAGCATGACCCGGGGCGAGAATCAGTACCCCGAGGTCGGGCCAGAAGAATGCGGAGATAATAGGAACATGGTAAAAGAAGTCTGGAGTATTAAATCCACGAAAATCCCCACCTAACCACAGAAGGTTTTCCAGTATCTTGATCAATTCTTTTTTCAAATATCCATTGGGCACTTTTGTTCATCTGTTTTTTTTCCTCCTTTTTTCTGGTCTTTTCCCGATCCCCATTAATGGGTCAAGACAACCCCGTTGAAACTGTCCATCTGGAGGCTACTCCGGTGACGATGGATCCCACCGATATAAAGAAGTCTGAGCACCCCGATGAAGTCTCCGGATCTGTTGTGGGTCTGAAAGTGGCTCTTACGAGTTACCGAAATGCTATGCTATATAGTCTGTTCTTCTGTTTCTCTGCTATTCTCTGGGGTTACGACATGCAGGTCAGCGGAGGCCTTCTTGGCGCTCCTGAGTTCCGCGCAGTGTTTGGATACACCCAGGCTGATGGTACGACCATCCTCCCGGCGCAATGGCAAGCTGCTTTCAACATGATCGCCACGGTTGGTGGAATGGGTGGAAGTCTGCTCTGTGGTCCTATCTCGCCTTACGCAGGTCGGAGGATGACTTTGACCATCGCATGTGTCATCTCCAGTGGCTCCATCTTCTTACAATTCTTTGCGTTCACTCGAGGTGTTCTCCTCGCTGGAAAATTGATCAACGGAATCGCACTTGGCATGTTCCTCGTCACTGCGTGTGCCTACTGTTCTGAAGCCTGTCCTGTCGTGCTTCGCGGAATCACAATTGCCATGGTCAATCTCTTTGTTGTCGTCGGTCAGCTCCTCGGAAATTGTCTCATCAAGGCTTTTGGTGGCCGATCAGACACTTTTGCCTACAGAATTCCCTTTGCATTCCAGTGGATTTTCCCGGCGATCCTTCTCACTGGTGTGTGGTTCTGCCCTGAATCACCATATTGGTACGTCCAAAGGGGCAAGCACACCGAGGCCAAGAAGTCCCTCGAACGATTCCAGACTGGCGGAAGCATTGATTCTTGGCTCATTGAGATCCAAGAAACAGTTCGCATAGAAGAAGAATCAGCATCGTCTGCTGGCTATTTGGATTGTTTCCGTGGAACTGATCTGCGTCGTACCCTAATTGTTATGGCCGTTTGGACTATCAACTCTTTCAGTGGTGTCAACTTTGTGCTCAGCTACTCAACCTACTTCTTCCAAAGTAAGTCTTCCCAAGTTGACAACCTTGGAAGTCATTTATGTTTACTAATACACTTTACCAACTATAGTCGCTGGCATACCTACCTCTTCATCATTCAACATGGGCGTTGGTGTGACTGCAGTTGGTGTCCTCGGAAACATCGGCTCGTGGTGGGTCATCAATACTATCGGTCGCAGAGCTCTCTTCCCTGGCATGCTCATTCTCACTGCGATTCTCTTCATCATTGGCATTCTCGATGTTGTACCGGGTTACAACTCCTCCATTGCCATGGGACAGTGCGTATTGATTATCGTCTGGAACTTCTTCTATGATCTCACCCTTGGACCTCTTGGATACGTGATCTGCGGAGAGATGTCTTCTACCCGGTTGAGGTCATACGGCGTCAGCATTGGTTTCTTCACACAAAATTTCTGGACTTTGATAATGACGCTTACTGTGCCTTACATGATTAACCCCGATGAAGGTAACCTCCGGGGCAAGACAGGATTCATCTTTGGTGGATTTTCAATCATTGCCTGTATTTGGACTTACTTCTGCTTGCCTGAGACCAAAGGCAGGACCTTTGAGCAGTTGGATCATATGTTTGAGCAGAGGATCTCGGCACGCAGATTTGCCGAGTATGACCAAAGACCACACGAAGGATAAGTTAGGTAGCGATGCAAAATAGAGAAGCACTGCTAGACAACTTTATGAATTTATACTACCATATTACTAGTTTCAATAATGGTCTACTCTCTCGGCTTCGTGGGTTCGTAATCTACTTATTCCAAGGTTGCTTAGTCCTTATAGTCAAAGCCAGTGATGTCGCCTTGCTGCAAGAGCAGCAACTTATAGTAGTACTGCCCCTCTAGTATAGTAAAGTATACATATCCACGGATATGTCCCACGATCTCTAAGCCTAATTTCAGTACAACAGGACTTCCAGTGTCGTCGTATACTCAAACAAAGTTCACACTACCTCGGCAACCCTAGCTTACCTAGCGGCTTAAGTGGACCTTGGCGCTATAACTGCCGAAGAGGACTTCTTGACATTAGTATAGAAGACCGGCTTAACTTCTTCGAGAATTGTTATTGAATATTTGACTCAGGTGGAACTATTATCATACATACCTGGAACTGCCTTATAACCAGGCTTTCCCCCTCCCTCTCGTCATGTCTTTCTCTACATATTTCGGCATGTTGCTTTTCCCATTCAAGCTTGGCTACAGTAAAACCGAGGCCAGTTTCGGCAAAGGTTACGGCGCTTTGGTATAACCCAGTCGCTGTGTTAGCATGCATTATCGCCCAGAGATGGGTCGGGGTAAATAGTAACTTCAGTAAGTGATCAGTCCAGCGGCATAATCTCCGACCCCTCGGACTTCCACCGACTATAATAGCAGGCTTTGTGTTAGTCAGACTTTGGCTTTTAGTCAGACTCGTTAAGGTGGTTTAGCGCAGCAACCCAAATTTTGAGCTGTACTTTGTATTTGACTCGGCTCTACTCGTCAGCCAAGACCAACCTTCCCCACGTTTTGACCAGATCAGCTCGCAATACCACTTGCCGGCTCCGCGTGGGGGCCCCGTATTGGGGTCTTCCCCGCAGATGATCGTTTAGCTATTCCCTTTGAGGCAGGTAAGCTCTGAAATTCGCGGGGGAGTACGAGATGGCTGCTCTTTGGAGACTTTCTGGGGTTGGCTTGAATCAAGGGGGAGACTCGGGGTCATCCCGACGTTGATAGCATCACCTTGTACATTTTGTATTTCCCAGCATTGATCCTTCGTTTTATATATATCTTCTGTCAAGTCCAATTTCATGGACTTTTCTTGTCCACTTCCTACAATACGAAAAATAACTCCACTATGGCGAACCATGTTCCCCCAGCAGATGTTGACTCGAAGGCCAATATCGCCGAAGCTCCCACTATCAGCCATGCAGAAAGCAACCAGGAACACTCCAAATTCAAGTCTGCCAAAAATGCAGATGGCGACACGGCTATGGCGCTGTTTGATGACCCGGATGAGCTCCACGAAGATGTCGATCCTGTGGAAGCGAGGAAGCTATTGTGGAAGATTGACTTCATGATCCTGCCCTACTTGGCGGTTTGTTATGCGTTCTTCTATATTGATAAGGTCAGTCTCTTTTGATTGAAGTTCATTTGCCTAGTTTCTTTTTCCTTTCTTTTTTGGTCGAAGAGCTGTGCTAATATTAGAAACAGACAACGTTGAGCTATGCTGCTATCTTTGGGATTCGGGAAGATCTCGATCTACATGGAACTCGGTATAGCTGGCTGAGCAGTATCTTCTATTTTGGTTTCTTAGCATGGGCCTTCCCTACAAATTTTCTGATGCAGCGTCTTCCAATCGGTATGATTATCCCATTACACGCCTGACAATTTGACTGGATATTCATCCGATACTTGATTTAGGGAAATATCTAGGTGCGAATATTTTTATGTGGTTCGTTGAACTGATATGAAGAGTATACAACCCAAAACTAACATTCGTCTTTAAGGGGTGTCTTCCTCATGATCCAAGCTGCCTGTAACAGCTTCGAGACCCTCGCTGTTCTTCGAGCCCTTGGCGGTGCTGCCGAGGCCTGCGCTGACCCGGCTTTCATGCTCATCACGAGCATGTGGTATACCCGTCGTGAACAGCCTGTGCGTCTCGGACTATGGTATACAGCGAATGGCCTCGGTATTGCATTGGGTGGGCTGCTAGGATATGGAATTGGTCATCTTAAAGGTGTACTACCATCTTGGAAATACGAGTTTATCGTGATGTATGCTGTCTGCCTTTCACTCCTATTGAAATCCCCCCTTGTTCTAACGATGTTTAGTGGTGCGTTGTGCTCGACCTGGGGTATTGTAATGTTTATCTTCCTTCCAGATTCACCTGTTACAGCGAAGGGTCTTAGCAAGAGAGAGCGCCGCATGGCTGTTGAGCGTATACGGGAAAATCAGACTGGTGTTGAGAACAAACATCTCAAGCCGTATCAAATTTTAGAGGCTTTCATGGACTATAAGCTCTACATGTTCTTTATTCTTGGCATGGTTTGTATGTGGCTTGTACCATCTCCAAATCGGTTGCATTAACTAACATTTATATAGGCAATATTCCTAATGGTGGTATATCAAACTTTGGCACCATCATTATTAAAGGATTCGGGTTCTCAACACTGGTGACTACTCTTATGCAGGTAAGATTGATTTAATAGCCACATCCATTGTCTTCTAATAACACGATATGAACCACAGATTCCATATGGCTTTATCATTGCGATCTCGATTTTGACATGTGTCTACCTCAACGACCGCTTCGAAAATCGACGATGCGTTTTCATCCTAATCTTCCTGATTCCTAACCTTGCTGGTTCCTTTGGTCTTCGCTTTGTACCCATTGAACACAGTGTAGGTCGCTTGATTTGCTACTACCTGACAGGCCCGTACAATGCTGCATTTGTCCTCGTTTTGAGTATGCAAATGGCCAATACCGCTGGTAAGTGACATATCTCTTCGGTTGGTGCTCAATCCAAAACATCACAGAGAATAATGCTATTGTGAATTTAGGCCATACCAAGAAAGTCGTCACCAACGCTGTGCTCTTCCTAGGGTACTGCACTGGAAACATTGCTGGACCGTTCTTCTATAAAACCGATCAATCGTGCGTTTTTCTTGGAGGTTAATTTTATTATTTCACAAAATTACAGAACTAATTCGAAGTATAGACCTACCTATCCGCTCGGGATCTGGTCCATGATTGTCTCGCACTTGATTGAGGCCGTTTTGATCAGCATCCTGGGTCTACTGCTGCGCTGGGAAAATCAAAAGCGTGACCGCATCCAGTCCCAGATGGAGGGTGGCCTCGAGGGGAGAGATCTAGATGCGACTGCGTTTTTGGATTTGACGGACCGAGAAAACCTGAAGTATGTCTCTTTATGCTGTCCTCCTTGAAATCTGGCAAGAAAATGACTAACGGATTCTAATAGCTTCCGATATATTTATTGAGTATTAGATTCCCCTCTTCGCAATCATGCACTTACGAATATATTACGTTGGGGTGAATATTGTTCAAGTGTTTAAGATGTGTATTTGACATCAATCGTATAAATAACCCTTAAATGGGTGTCTTGAGATTATATTAAGAAACAGTAGCTACGAAGGTTAGAGAAAAGACAGATATTAAAAGATGTATATTTCTTGCTTCCTTGGGTTGTTTTCGTCATATTCCATATGGCTTCATCCATTTTGAATATTTCAATGGCAAAAGACTTTATGCTAGGAGAGTCCCAATGGAATAATTGGAATGGTGGTAGGACTAATGCACGATTTAGTACAACATCAAGTCTATTGTATGTGGGATATTATTGGACTGTCACATATCGGGGAATGACTATGGCTGAGATGGTATTACTCGTATCCTTGTGGGACAAGAAGATATAATCCGTGTTTGTGACATGGCTGAGCGTCACGGGTCGATGTTACTGGTTGTACGAAACATGAAAAAACACACAAGACTAGATGTGATATGCAGTGCAGAGCAACCTTTGATCAAACCACCTTCCCTCACTTGACTGCTGAAAGAAAACAGCAATACCTCGTAGATGCAACGGTTCCCCCTCCCTTATTATATCACCAGCATCCAACTAGGCAATATCTCCCCGGTAGACTCGAGCGTTGTGTTCTAAAATGCCGGTTGACGGATTCACAGAATCAATGAACAACACGCCGAACGGAGCTGTATTTCACCGGGCCTATGCACAGGATGACAGGGGCCTCGTAAATGAAGCCATGACCATACTCCTTGCAAGTACTATGCGCTTCAATTCCTATTACCGCAAGGACCTCGAAGACGAAGCCATGGCCATCCTCGTTGCAAGTGCTGTGTACCCTCAATCCCTAGTACCGCGCTAACTGATTCGCAGCATGGAAAACAATTTTTTCTCGAGAAAGATCACTTCTTCAGTAATCATATGGACTCCAAGACTGCATCGGCAGTCTTGATATATGCAAACGAGGGAAATGGGTTTGTTGACTCGCGAGATGCCAATGGGAAAATCGACACACTGGAAGTAGGGCCAGATACTGGGAATGGTATGAGAATCCTCGTTTTAGATGAAGGGCGTGATACATTCGTTCACCAAGATGTGCAGATGAGGCGTTTCTTGGAATGGAAGGAGTGAATTGAATTGCTTTCATCAAATTGCCGAGGACCCGTTAAGAGAAAATAAGAACGCATTGCAAGGACAACAACAAAAGCTTCGTGGCGTCTAATATGAGCTCCTGGTGTATTGGGAGACATTTTCTGGATTGAAGTTACTTTATTCAACTTAGAAATAAACGTTCATGCCTTGTTAAAGGCAGAAATCCAGTCATCACCCAGCACATCCACGAGTGGTTGAGAGCAAAGACAAGATTGCCGGGGAGTTGAAGAGTCGGAAAACGCCGAGTTTCGAAATAAAATATGTTGTGGAACGGCGTGGGCGCTAGAATTGAAGAGCTCAAAGGTGTATTTGATATCGCAATTTATAAACACAGATGAAGTACAAAATGATAGGTAGTAATACAGCCACACGTATGCAAATGAGGGTCACGCCGGACGCCCTCTAACTCAATTACCGCCGACGATTGCCGCCACCCAAGAAAGCCTTCTTCTGGCGAACATAGCTGGCCACAACGTTCTCCACGCTGCGACGGTCATGCTTGCGGTCTCTGAGGAAGTACAATCTCGCTCTCCTGCGCTTCTTCTCCGATCGCTGGACAATCTCCACGCTGTTCACGTTGGGACTGAAGACCTTGACCGACATCTCAACAGCGACACGAGTAAGCTCATTTCGCATGAGGAAGGACGTCTCAATTCCGCGCAACTTGATGCTCAGCACAATTCCGTTGAATGGGTCTCCGTTCTTGAATGTCACTCGTACAATATCGCCGGTCTTCACACTGCGGGGGTTTCGTCGGTAGTCGAACATTGCCTTGCGCTCACCCGTGGGGTCGAGGACTGCCAATTGCGATTCGGTAACCGCTCCGATGGGGTCCTTGCATGCTTTGCGAGCAGATGGCGGAGCAGGGTAGATCTTAAGGGGCTCGCGCGCTATATGAGATAGCAACAATTAGTAAATCTCGCGTCATTTTGACTTAGTTGAAAAGAACATACCGGGATCCGGACGGAAGCGAAGAGGTATTTGGGAAAGGAATTGCTCAGGCATGTTCGGGGGAAGAGGCACCCGTTCGGGCCTCTTCGAATAGGCCGTCGAAATGAATCGACGGTTGATGAAGGGTTGGATGGGCTCTGAGGCCCGCATTAAGGACCTTAAGCAGCCCAGCGGGCGCATTGCTGGTAGAGCCGCCATGTTTGTGATGAGGATGTCAAGTCGAGAAAGTCGGAGTCGAGTTTTGGCCGGATCGGCAGAATTTCCGCCAAGCCTCCAATTGCCCGTTCGGGTTGCAGATAACAGCGATTCTTTTTTCTCCTCCAACTCCAGGATACCAATCAACCTCGTTTTCTTGTTCTTGCTCTAGGGAAAAGTCATCATTTTATCGGTCACTACTCCCATATCCTGCATCGCGTTATACATAGCATTTGATCACACATGATGGCGCAAATCGCCATGAGCAGGCTCTTCCGCCAGAGCACTACCAGCTCGGTGCGCCAGTCCATTCTGAGACCGATGCAGGCTCGCAGCTACGGTTCGAACTCAGGTATGCATTAATTCATCCATCATGGTATCAAATTCTCATCGGAGACGACCGGAACAGCAATCCCAACCTTCACCTCAACATCCTCCCCCGAGTTAGACGAAGCTCTTGACCGGTTCCGCAATGAGCTGTTCATTCCCCTTGCTCTCCCTAAGCGACAGAGAAAGAGCGTGTTCCGAGAGAAATACGCCAAACAATTGCAAAACGAGCCTATTACCGTGAAGATCGGCGAGACCGAAGAGTTCACCCTAACGCCCAAGAAGCACCACGATCTGCCGTCGAAGAAGGACGCTCTCGAGGTTCTCAAGCTGATGGTCGCGACCAAGAACTTCAGCAACCTTTTCCCGTACCTCAGTGGCCTCCGGATGTCAAACTATGCCATCAACAGCGATCGGTGGGAGTTCATCATTCGCAAAACCAGCGAAGCCGGAAAGCTTTCAACCATTATCGAGTGCGCCAGACAGTCCCAGCGCACCGGATTGACTCTCAGCAACAGGAACATCGCTCGCCGTCTGTTCTTCGAGCTTCACAAGACAGCCGCGAAAGCGGATTTCAAGGGAATCCAGACCGTCAAAGCTCTGAAACTGGCGAGGGAGGCCGCTAGCCTGATGGATTCTCACGAACACTCCGTTAGGAACATCGAGGATGACCCCAAACACCAGCCTTTCGTTATCGGCACGCTTTTGGAACTCAGCGCCGCCTGTGCGAAAATCAAGGAGGCTGAGACAGCCTTGGTTCGTGGCTACGCTCAGAAACTTGATGCAGCCTGGTCCCTAGGAAACTTCAAGGACGATGCGGCCACTGGCTTTGAAAACATTGAGAGAGTGGAGGAGAACCTTGCCCTTTACAACGGCATGCGTTTGGCCCTTGGACTGCCCAAGGCATCACAAGACACTGAGAATTTCAAGGCTCGCTGTGATGAGCTTAAGCCTGTCCTGATTTCGCAGTTGCAAAAAGTCAAGAACGCCGACGTCCGTGCAGACAAGGTGGTTCAGCAATTGCTTGCAGAAAAGCCCAAAGAAAAAGTTGAGGAGACCGCTTGAGTTTCGTTATAATTCCTTTTGGTGTTGATTGAGCCCCATCGGCATGTATATTACTGTACTTCCCAGATATTTTTGAGCTGGCCGTGTATTTCAGAGAATAAATATTTTATTTCCTGCCATATCTGACCCCGCTAGGTGCTATTTTAGACATACGCAATAGTTTGGTCAATTTTATTACCAGACGTTGCAGCAGTTCAAATCTCAAAAACGCTCTAAGGAAATGCCATTTCAGACGGCCATCTTGGGATCGGGATTCTTAGGAGGACAATTCCAAGGTATTTTCCTTGCTGATGCGGGCTCGGCCGGGAAGAGCAGTGGTACCGCCGACAACAGCAGGGCCAGAGACGGTGAGCTAAATATGTAAAGGTTAGTTCTATATGATAGCGGTGGGATTGAGCGTGGCGTACCTTTCCCTCTTCCGTGCCGTCAGGAGAGCCTTCGGGGACATTGGTCAGAGTAATTTCAGTGCTACTTAGTGGAGCGCCAAAGTGGCTAGGACCGGTGAGGCATCTGTAGTCAAACGCATTTGTTTGGGCAATAGCTCCAGCAACACCAGGACCGGTCAAGGCATACACAACCCGGGCCCCAGTGAAGATTCTAAGCTCAGTCAATTGCTCGGAGGTAAGATGGGCGGCAGGGTTGCCATCAATGCGGTGGGAGATACAAAGCAAGCGCAATTCATCTAGCGAGAGCTCGGACGTCGGACTGACACGAGCGAGTTGGCTGAAAAAGTTGCGCGTCGGCATGTTTCCTGCATCTAGGGTCCGTGCCTGAAGCCAGCGTCCTAGAGAGGAAAGGATGCCAGTGTGCGGGCGCATGATATTCTCGTGGTACTCAGCCATGGTTTGCGATGAAGCAACAATGACTGTGGGGGACACGCCAGCTGTAGCCAAAGCAAAATCGACATTCTCTCCGGCGACAGAATTAAGTGCGATGGATGAGTTGGCAAACAGTGCAGCTAACGTTGTGCAGAGCGGGTAGGACCGAGAAAGAGAATCGATAGAAAGAACAACATCGGTTGAGGTGAAACGCTGAGTACGAGGGAGAGTGGAGGTTATGGCTCCAATGGCAGACACCAGGTTCTAGTTGTATGTTAGTAAAAGTGATATGACACGAGTTGAGTCGGTGTTACCTCTGGCTGGAAATCGATGAATTGGCTGGATTGCGAGGAAGACGGCCAGACAGTACTGACGGCAGGGGTTTCTGTCTTTGGGTCGTACTCGGGCACATCATAGCTGGCAAGTTCTTTAAACTCCTCGACCAGTTCATGCCAAACTGCAACCTTCAGACTGTCCTTGACGTTCTCGGGAAGTGCGTTCCAATCCATGTGTCGATTGCCATACTTGGCGACCCAAAGGACGAGTGACAATTGATCGTTACCCTTAGCGACAAGAGAAACATCGAGAGATCCGGCTTCGGCAATAAGGACATCCGCTTTTGCCTGCTGTAGATGCGCTGATAATGTCTCTGCTGGAAGGTTGTGTGGCACAATGACCGTCTTGAATCCATAGAAAGCGCCAGCTAGATTGCGCAAGGTTAGACATCAATTCTCACACACGGAGTGATAATAATCGTACCGAAGATTGTAGCTAAAAGCTCGGTGGAGTCTGTAAGGCAAACAGCCACCGTCTTGACGCCGGAGTTTTGGAGGTGATGACCGATGACATTGATTTCTTGTGTCACCTGGTCCAAAGAATGCTCGATGGCCTTTCGACCTAGAACGGTGTAGATCTTGCCTTGCTTTCCCGAAAGAGTACCGTCATCATTCAGAGCTCCACGGACAGCAGTCTTCCAAATATCACGCAGGTCTCCTCTACGACCACCGGTCCATTTCGGGGCACCCGGGTCCTTGACATTCAGTCCGAATCGGAGAGGCAAGCCATGCGGGGTTTCCAGGCATCTGTAAGTAGCAGATTCACCCTCCTGGCGGATTGGGGCTGGTGTCGATTGGCGAGCAAGTAGGAACGGGTGTACATCTGGATCCTTAGATGAGATGACAGAGTAAACCCCAAAGGCGAGGACAACCCCGGCGACAAGGGTAGTGTAGATATTCCAGTCGGCGAGGATATCAGCCACTAGGGCATCCAGCTTCTCCACGAGTGAAGTATCAGCGGGCATTTTAGTTGGTCAATCTGGGGAGGAAGAAGTGTCAACAATCAGCACCTATGACGTTGAGGGGCACGACGATAAGGGGTGTGTCAGCTTGGCCGGGTCAACTTATGCCCGTGCAACCCCTTCCTCGAGCGCCGAGCGCAGCCACTTTGGGATCGTCAACTCAATAGCCAACAACAATAATGACTTTTTGAAAGAACAATTGTTCATAGCTATGTGCACTACTAACTAACAGCTCCTTGTATCTGTTTCCTCCCAGGTAAGTACTAAACAAGGTCATAATATCAGTGAGTCCAATCCCTATTGTCAAAAAGACCTCGAAAAAAACAGTCTAAACATCTACGGATCGGTGACTGACTTCATGATTCCAGCCTCGAGTCAATTTCACCTCGTTCTTCACACTTGAAATTATCTTCACCACAATCAAAATGGCGACTCAATCTCTCCCTTCCACCCCGAAAGCGACATCTCCGGTGGCTCCTCCCATCCCAGAGGGTACCCTGACCCCTGGAAAATGGCGACACCCCCAGCTGGATGAGATTGTCCGACGCCAACATGCAGCTACGTTTGATCAGAAAAATGTAAAGAAGCTGGTTTGGAACGGCGCAGCTCTGATAATGAGCTGGACGTTTGGGTCTACCTTTAAAACCTAGTGAGTGCGATAAGAACTTCGGTGCGTCGCGTCGCGTGCTAACAGTCTCTTAAGCTCGCGCCAAATTTTTGATACCAACCATATGTATCAGGAAGTTCCGTTACTCGTACTCCAGCTCTTCTTCATTTTCAATGTTCTAGTGGCGCTTTATCCCCTCTTCCGGCCGAAGGATGACCTCTCAGACATTTCCCTTACCCCCACCCAACGCTCACTTCTTGGTTTGGATCCTGCTGTCACACCACCAGCAACTCCTGGGACAACATTTGTTACCCCGCCCAGATACCGGCTTTCCACTTCACGCAAAGCCAGTCCTGCAAGCAGACAATCCTCCCCCATGTCCGCGAATGCAAGCTTTTCTGAGCGACGCTCTTCGATCAGCACACCTTTCTCCCCTGCCTCCAGCCCTCTGCTTTACAAGGCGATGTCAAATGGAGGCAGGGAATCTGTTCAACGCCAGAGCTTTGGATCCGCATCCCCTCTGGCTCTGAGTAACTCCTTTGGAGAGTCGACTATGAGCATGGGCCCAAGTACACCCTCTCCGCTCATGGGAAAACGGGGTAGTTTGGGAGTCAAGAACAAGTGGCTGTATGAGAGGAGCCGGCGGCTTTCAGCCAGCGGAGGAGCTCTCTGATTCTTTCCAGTTTTCTAAACCATATCGCAAACGGGCGCTTGGGTCATTCATGGTTTTGGTGTTTAATGTCATAGCGGTTGTTTTGTTCACAATGTATTACAAGGATACCAATTCGAGGTCTATTATTACAAGCTATTTTCAATGTTCCTGTGACGTATTCGTGTTGTTTATAAAAATCCGGGGGCTCCTGGATATCTTTCCCGTCCTAGTATGTATTGAGGCTAAAAGGGCCTTTGAACACATGCCAACAAATGAATAAGAATGTAGATAACGGAGATGTAAGACAAGTTATCATTCTGTTATAATCTTCCATACGTTCCTTCATTCAGCATATAGTGCACTGTAAATTGTACTGACATTCGGCCAATCTGGCTACCCCGTGTTCAGGCCAAGATCCCGCGCCCGGACGATTAGAACCGCCAACCACTTTTAGCACTTGGCAAATAAACAGCCAGAAAGCGCCCTCGCCTCACCTACACATTGACATTTGCTGTGAAAATCTGCATGAAGCCCACAACGGCGTGATTACCAGCTTCCTTCCGCTATGGGAGCTTCGGAGTCCAAGCTTGTCTTCAAACAGGGCATCTTCCGCCTCTCGGAGGACCAGGAGATCCCCGCAGACGACCCCTACTGGACCAGAGTACGATTCAATACAAAATATCTATCTATCTAGGAGAATTAGAGGCTAACCACGCTGGCAGTTCTGGGAACTTCCTGAATCAACCGAAGATGTCTTTAGCCTTTTCACACCAGCTGACATACGACGCACGCGCGATCACGCCTTGCCCAACTTCCAAACACTCCTGCTCGCAGTCACCTCGCGACTAACTGTACTGAAAAATCATCCCTCGTTTCCGGACCCCGATCTTGCTCCCGAACGTGATGTCCTCAACTGCATTCGTATCCTCACTCGCCTCCTCCCCTATGTTTACGAGGCGGAGCATCTGGAGGAATGGGAGGATAATTTCTTTTGGGCACGGAGAAAGAGAAGGACTAGACAATCACAGATTGCTGGGGAGGTCCTCTTTGACGAAGCACAACCGGAGGATACCCAAGAAGCGGCATCACCGCGCGCAGAGGATTACGAAGATGTAAAGCCTCTTGCTGAGGAGTTGATAGACACATTGGTGGACTTGCTCTTCTTTGCCGACTTCACAATTCCTCGACTTCCAACTGCGAAGAGCAAGGTCTCTTTTTCGATTTGGCAGAGTGGTGTTGGCTGCAACACGGCTATGGGGTCCAACAAAACATTGGAGAGCAACCGATGCGAGATTCTACGGCTTATGCTTACTCTGACTGGAAAGGCCATGTATTTGCCATCTAGTGAGTTCGGATTCTGATTCAACCAACATATTCAAACATTTACTGACTAGTATAGATACATTGCCTGTCGTTGGCGTCAAGGCGATCACTTACATCACAACTTGCCAAGATAAGCAGGCTGTGTTGACCCTCCTTTGCTCTCTTCTGAACACGGTATGTTATGCCATGCTCAATTGGTGCTAGGAGTCATTCTAATTAAAAACAGGCAATGAAGTATAACCCCGCATCGTGGAGGGTTCCATACGACCACGTTGTTTGGAAAGATCCCAGGCAGATATTGGTGATCTATTGCGTGCAGCTTCTCCTTGTCCTGTTGTTGTATCCTATTCCAGAAGACGGCCGTGGAACTCCACCGAAGAATTATTATCGTCATTACTTTGGCAGGCTACATAGACCTCAAGACTTCCAATTCCTGGTGGATGGCATGACGAGAATTCTGAACCAGCCGGTATGTATTCTCTGCTACGCCACGTATCAAGACATTAAACTGATTGACCAAACCAGATGCAAGCTACTGCTTCTTATCTTCCTGGGAGTCAAAGATCGGTGAAATGGGCCACTGAGATGTTGGTCCTTTTCTGGGAGACATTGCAATGCAACAAAAGGTTCCGGTCATTTATCATCGACTCCAATCGCTCCCATGACTTCCTTGTTTTATGTATCTTCTATGCGATGGAATATAGAATGGATACTTCCAAACAAGGAGTGGTTCGGATGTGCGTTTTCATCCTCCAGACAATGAGCGCGGAGCCAACGTTCGGGAAGAGCCTCAACAACAGTTTCGAAGGCCAAGAGACTTTACCGCAATCGATCCGGCTACTCAAGTTCCGGGGATCTTATGCGGACTATTTGATCATGGTTTGTCCTTTGCCCCATCTAAAAGCATAGAACCACACTAACCGCCGCAGTCAATCCACACGTTGATGACAACCAGCAAGGGGAATCTAGACACTGTGTATCCTACACTTTTGATCATCCTCAACAATATCGCTCCCTATATCGAGCGCATTTCTCCGAGCGCCTGCTCAAAGGTCATTCAACTTTTCTCTTCTATGTCTGCGCCCAGCTTCTTGTTGGCGAACGAAACCAACCACACTCTTCTTGCATCGTTGCTTGACTTCATCAACATTGTTCTCGAGCACAAGTTCACCGGTAAATCTTCCACTGAGATCTTCCCTTTCGGCCAACCCGTTTCTGACTTTATCTAGACAACCCATATCTCGTCTACTCGATACTGAAATATAAGCAACGCTTTGAAGCCGTACGGGCTTTCACTCTCGAGAGTGGCCAGCAAGAGATCGAGCGGCAGAATGAGAAGAGAAAAGCTGGCAGTTCTTCAGATGTCGCCGTCAGCCCTACACTTTCACAGTCCGAGGATGATCTACACACTCCTACGGATGCCCGATCCCCGTTAACTAGAATCCCCGAAGAGAACAGCCCATTCGCAATCGGCGATGATGACTCCGATGATGAGCGTGAAGAAGAGGGAGCACAGACTCCATCTCAATCATCATTCTCGGCTCAGACCTCACGGAGACCCTCCACGACATCCACCACGGACGAGAACGGAGCGCAGCAGGTGCGAGCAATGTCCGAAAAGGCACGAGGAAAGAAACCTGCTGGGCATCCTCCTTTCTCCCGTCAGAACAGCATGACCAGTCAGACAAGCATGTCTGCTTTGTTCACCCCCTCTGCTAGTGGCTTCACACCAACCGTGCCATGGGTAAGTTTATACAGACTAAACCACCTTTCCACTAAATGTTCCCCTACTAATAATACTTCCCAGCTCGAGTCCTGGTTGCCCGAGCTTCCTTTGCACACGACCCTCACCATCATCTCAGCCATTGCACCTCATATTCCCGATGCAGCGCTTGTAAGCGCGGTTAGCCCGGAGGCCCGCACACTAATCCACAACCTCCCATCATTTGCTGAAGAACCCGAGGTTACAAGCATAATCTCCGAACCAACCCCCGTTCGCGTGCAATCATTTGAGTGGTCCGCACTTTCCATGGGCTGGTACGAATCGCTGCTGTGGGGATTCATCTTCTCCAGCGAGATGGTGGTCGGTTCCGCTTCTGGTGCAACCCCAGGAACTGTTGGTGTTTGGAACGGTACAGCTATCAAACTCTTTAGAGTCCAAGAAGCTGCCGCTCAAGGTCCGACCTTGCTTGCGCCCAAGGGCGCAGTTGATGCTGTGGGCAGCAACCTCGTCCAACGCATCGGAAACCTCAGCCTTCGGGGTCGCAACTCACAAGACTCCGGGACAGCCCCTGCGCCAAGCGTACGGGAGGTTTAAGGTCATTTTTCCGTGACGTACATAGATTTCATTTCACAGCCTACCCTTTTCGACAATTTCGCTATCTTCCATCCTCGGGCTCCCTGGATGACGGTGCTGGTCTTGCGATTTTTATGTCTTTTTTAGCACATTCTGGCATTCATGCCAAATACCATACATTACTATTCCTAGTTTCTTGTAGTCTCTCCAGTAAACAATACGTACGATCAATTCTTGATTGGGCTCGCATCTTGAGTTCCCCTAAAGTTGTTCTTTTTCTATGGCCAAGAAATCGGCTATATGGTACATAATAATGGGATAAATTATCAACTGGGGTTTCTTATATGTCCCAGGTTATACATAGAAAAGTCGCGTGCACAAAGTATGCTTTTTTTTCCTGCCTAGATGTACATTTCAAAACACCAGCTCAAAACTTATCAAACATTCCTCCTCGGCGTTACGGTCATAGATACAGACAGGCCACTGGGGAAACACGTGAGTCCGAATTCCGATCGCCATTGGCCAATTTGTCTCTTCGATTCAATCAAATCAATTCCTCCTTCTTTTAACTCCAACTCGATACGTCAAGGAGAATCAATTATTTGGGTAATTTCGTCAACTGATACTCTCTACCTTCATGTTATTCCTCGGCGTTGTTGTGGCTCTCCTAGCGGGACCGGATCCCGCCATTGGGGCCATCACCTCTAGCCTACAGAGCATTTTAAAAAACACCCACGGCAGCACAGACTATGGATATCCCACTGATCTGACAAGAGATCTCTTACCTGTAAGTCTATCAGTGATATCATACATCGATAAACTCTCTATGGGGCTCTCCGCCGTCTGGGCCATATTGTTAACCCTGAGAGCCACGAATGTCTAGATTCCTGTTCATTCTCATAAGTAAGACACTTCTCATGGTGCTCACTCCTGACTTGATCATGCACTGACTATACCAAAGCGATTATTGGCGAGACGAGCCTTTCTATACCGGTATGTAGGAGCTCTGGTGCCTAATGCCTACTTACTCCTAACATTACCATGCATAGGTCTCTCACATGGCTGCACGTCTACCGAAGCTGATGTCTGGCTATACAATGGCACCCTCTATGTGAGCTTGCTTAACCCATGGTCTCTGCCCCGTTCCTCTGGGTAGCTTGCTAACCAAACAAGGTTGGCCATGATCAATCTGCCCTGACGGCGTCGCGAACCCTTGAATCCTTGTATATCAATCCAATTCTAGATGTCCTAGAGCGCCAAAATCCCGAGAGTCCATTTGTATCATCGCCTACTAAAAAGTGAGTATCTGGCCAGGGCTCAATATGGCCTCAGTGCTAATGCTTTGTTGGACCAGCGGTGTGTGGGATACTGTTCCCGACCAAACGCTTTACTTCTTCATTGATGTGAAGACATCTGGCCCCGAAACTTTCAAGGCTGTGATTGCCGCTCTAGAGCCTCTGCGAGAGAAGGGCTACCTTACCACCGTCAAGGATGGCAAGACCGTTACCAACGGACCCGTCACTATCATTGGCACAGGAGAGACACCGTTCGACATGGTTGCGCCCATCAAAGACCGAGACTACTTTTTTGATGCGCCTCTCGCGGATCTTAATGATCCCAAGTACGCCGGTGTAACTGGAGTTATCTCGCCTGTTGCTTCAACAGATTTCCAGAAAGCTGTCGGCAAGATAACTGTCGACACGGACCCAATTCTCTCGGACGACCAACTCAAAGCTCTCCGAGACCAAATTGCCACCGCAAATGATCGCGGGATTGGTGCTAGATATTGGAACACGCCGTACTTCCCGATTCGTGCACGAAACCTTGTCTGGAGGACTCTTTTGAGGGAAGGGGTCATTCTGCTCAATGCCGATGATCTAGATGCTGTGGCTTCTTACTTTTAAATGGCACAGGGCCCCCAAAATTACATCGAGGTCATACAGTCACTTATGCGCTCAATTACATTATGCCCCTCACGTGGCTTTTTACTAGGATTTGCGTCAATAACCCTTGTCAGATTCCTTCTGAGATTCTCCTTGATTCAAAGATAGACAGTATCATGCCAATGTGATGTTCATATGTGCCTTAACCCTCCGTGCTAGCCGTTCCCAAGACTCCCAAGATAAAGCCATCCATCAACTCCTGTCAAATGGCTACCATACCATGTCTCATTCACTTCGCAGGCATAAGCGACACTTGTGTGGCGAATCCTTGACATCCATGTGTTTAATCTGACGGCCAATGCAGCGTTCATCCTCTTTCTTCATGTGTCGTGGACATTTGATGAACTCGCCGCCTGTCGAATGACCACAGGCGTAACGGATCTGCAACTGGACACAGACTTCCTGTTTATTGATGTCGTGGACTGAGGTGCATGGTCAGTATCAGTGACTTGTCTGAGCACAGCGAGGTAACACCTGGGCACAAATGTAGGCTTACCTACGAGGTCTCCGGGGGGTCTGTGGGACATCTTGATAGGTACTTTCGACGTGACCAAGTTGCGGCTATTACACTTGAAGCCGACCTTTTCATGTTTGATGAACTATTAATTAACAACATGTTGATCTGATTTGTCTTGCTTACCTTCAGAGGTATTTTTGGTTCTGCTTGTGTTCACGAGCAGCAGTTTGGTTTGAGAGATTGACCAAGTGTGAGAAAAGACTGGGCAAGGTGAAAGAGCTGGTTATAGAATAAAGACCAAACACTATCAAACATCACATATTAGCTCATCTTTGTATAGAACAAACATCCATGCTCGTAGGCACAAAGCTTGTGGTCTCTATGCAATAAGCCTTCCTCATCTTCTTTCACACAGGCTGTCTACATAAGTACCAGGTCTCAATCCCATTACTAAAACATTCACTGTCTCACTACCATCTATAGAATTCAACGACTTGATTAAACACCTCTGGATGTCTACATATCGACCTTCCTAAAGCGGTAGACAATATATGTTCCTGGCACGTGATCTCCAAGGGCGCGAAATCAAGCTCCCCGATCTCCAGCTCCTCTCTTCACCTTTTCCACGACTCTCATTGGACGAACGAGAATGGTGGCAGATCTGGGAGATCTCTTGGCCAAGGTGCTCCCCACCGGGGTTGAGCTCACCGTTCGCCATGTCTCTTCAACACCCACTCCATGCGAAGCTCTGTTTGCAGCTGCGCCGGGCCAGCTCTCCGAACCGACACTCTGCGAAAATCATTTCCTCTCGGTGTCAATTGACTCTAATGATGATGGTGAGACAATTATCTTCGGGATGGAGGTGATGGTCTACAACACGGCCCACTTGACCACTATCTTCATCTCTAAAGCCGACTCAACTGGTTTCCTGCATCTCCTAAAATTGCCAAGCAAGGTTTCTGTCCTGAGACTGGTCTCCAATACCTTTCTCTCGTTTCTGGCTCAAACCCGTCAACGGCCTGGCGTACGTCTGGTCGTGTCGTTGTTCGCCCGCGCCCAGAATCAGTACCTGTTCCCGGGCAGCATTGAGAACGCCGAAAAGCACGTTCTGGACGACCGAGGCCTAATTAAGTGGTGGTGTCGTGTGCTAGATCCGATTTTACGCGAGCACGAGCCAGAATCGGCTCTTCAAGAGACGAAAACGCTGGATCAAACAGTCGAAGCTGCCAAGGCCTCTGCCACTGCATACTTGATCGTTCCAAGCTGTGACCGCTTTGAAACACGAAATTTCTTCCCACCTACGGCCAAAACCGATCCGCAAGATCGCCCACGCTGGCTCAATAGCTACCCACTCAAGCAATTGTACCACGACCCCTCGGCTCCTCCTCGCTGCTTGGTACCTCGTTTCCCCGATGATCCCAAGACTCGTTTCCTCATCGACCTGGACGGCGAACTGCCCGATGAGAATGAAGGCCAGCCTGTCGGCCCTAATGCCGGACGTTGGCGCAGTGTACGGTCCTTGGACCAATTCTGGGAGATGATGTCCTTCCGACAAGAATGCTCTGCTGGTCGATTAGTCGGCTTTCTGTGGTTGGTCATCAACCCTCCTGGTCTGATGAACTCGACATCAATGGAAAGCCAAACACGTGGTATCTCTGACAGCGGCCTGGTCTCCAATGAAACAGAGATTTCTGGGGCCATTCCAAACGAGGAGAAAGTGGAGAATGGCTCTAGCCAGTCCGAAGAAAATGCCACCTTGACGAAGGCAACAACAAATTTCACCACCGCCGATACCTCCCCCAAGCTTCCCCGGGATGATGCATCTACGTCTGTCAACCCCTTCGACTGGCCAGAGGCCGGACGCGGACAAGTCGTTCTCAGCGAAGCAGACTACAAAAAGATGATGGATTCGGTTCTAGACCATTTCTATGACGAAAAAGAAGTCGTCACCAGTACCAGACTCTACGTTGACCAAGTTTCTTCCCTCGCGGACGAGCTTACATGGGGCAAAAGGGTTGTGAGCAGCAATACCACGAGTAGCACTGCTTCCCAGCCTGCCAATGCCGATCCCAACAATGTCCTAGATCTCGGGCTAATCCGCAAGCGAAAGAAGTCGCTGGGTGAGGGCAACACGCCCGTTGTGAATGAAGCACAACCGAGTGAATCGGGAGTCACGCAACCAGCTCCGTCAGTGCCAGCTGGTGTTAATGTGCTCAATGCGAGCTTGGTCCGGAAGAAGAAGAAAACATGATTAATGGGAATTTGCATTTACTTTCGGTATCACGGGATAGGTCTAGGAGTTTGGGGAAATATTGATTTTTTTCCTCCATATTGACATTCGAGAATAAATGAATAAGCTATAATTACCGCAATTTGACAATTGAACTGCCTACAACATAAGTACTTACACTTACCTTTACATCCGGAGCTTCCGAACAGGCAGCTAGATAGGTATGTCCAATATTTATAGTGTGGGAAAGAGATGCCCTCTGGTTGGTCCACGAGTCAAATACGCGTATTTGTACAGTAGCATTGTGAGGGCGGAGACAGCCAACTGCCGGAATGAAACCCACCTCCAATTGCTTCTTTTTCTTCTTCTCCAGAATGTCCTTCTTGTTTGCTTCTATGTTGCTTTTCCTTCGTGTCCCATGCTGAAGCCTACCTTTTCGTTCCTCCTTCGCAGATCTGACGATGGAGCGCTGTACGCGTCCGTCGCAATCAGTTGGATTGCCTTGATCTGGTATGCATTCATACTGGGAGTTTGCGGTCTAGGATATTTTCAGATGTATGATTCAGTTTGCTTTTTAAAAAATAACGTATCACTAATGCAATTACTTTTTACCCAGATGGAAATACTTCCTCAGCCAGCCGTATCGGTCACGACTATCGAACGCCTCCACCTCCGATGTACCGCACGTCACCGCCATCCGGCCTGTCAAGGGCCTCGAGCCGCACCTCTATGACTGCCTCGCTGCCACCTTTCGACAGGACTACCCGACTGACAAGCTCAGCATTCGTCTCTGCGTAGCGACACGTGACGACCCCGCCTACCCTACCCTCTGTAAACTAATCACCGACTTCCCGCATGTCGACGCGCGGATTTTCGTCGAAGACGAAGATCCACTCTTGCAACAGGATGGCGTCAATAAATACACGCTTGGACCGAATCCCAAAATCCGGAATATGAGTCGCGCATACCGTGAAGCGAAAGGAGATATCGTCTGGATCATTGACTGCAATGTCTGGGTCGGGAAGGGAGTCTGTGCCCGGATGGTGGACAGGCTGTGCGGGTCTGGACCGTCATCGACCAAGAAATACAAGTTTGTGCACCACCTACCCGTGGCTGTTGATGTGACGGGAGAGAGCAACCTGCGTGAAGAGCGACAGGCGCTCGTAGACGCGAACCCAGAATCCACGGATGCCGATGCAGCGGCCGCAGCGATGCCGTCCGTCCGTCCGGAGGATGGGCCTGCAGCCATGATCGCAACTGGAGGTGGTCGCTTGGAAGAGCTGTTCCTGTCCTCTGCGCATGCGAAAATGTACACCGCGATCAACACGGTTCTCGTTGCGCCGTGCATCGTGGGAAAATCCAATATGTTCCGCCGCTCTCATCTCGACTATCTCACCGGTCCGTCCGCCTCGGATCCCCAGGCTCGCCATCCCGGTATCGATTTCTTCTCCGACAATATTTGTGAGGATCATCTGATCGGTGATCTGCTGTGGAAGAAGCAGGTGCGGGAAGAGAAAGAGCTCCGCGAGCGTTGGGGCAAGCATGCCATGGTCTTTGGTGACATGGCTATTCAGCCTGTTGCCAACATGAGCGTGCCAGCATACATTGCTCGTCGTGTGCGGTGGCTGCGAGTGCGTAAATTTACTGTTCTCCTCGCTACGCTTGTCGAACCAGGCACCGAATCATTCCTGTGCACAATATATGGTGCATGGGGTGTCACTTCTGCCTTGGCGCCATATCTGGAGCGGAATGGCGTGCAATTTGCTGCCCATCTCGGAACGTGGGATGCGTTTTTCGTTTTGTTCGCCTTTGGCATCCTCTTCTGGATCCTGATCGACTGGACACTGTACGTCAAACTACATTCCGCAAAATGCATCGAGTTGGATGAGGATACCCCGGCTTTTGCTCGGCCTCAACGCTTCCGATCATCCCAAACTACTCGACGCCCGTTCAGGCAATGGTTTGGCGCTTGGCTCGGCCGCGAACTGCTAGCCCTGCCTATCTGGATCATGGCCGTGTATGGCGGTGTGACAGTCGTCTGGCGAGACCGGCGCTTTAAGGTCGGCTTCGATGCGAAAGTCCGGGAGATCGATCCCCCTACTCCGCTACCAGCAGAGGTTTCGTCAGCAGCGGGCAAGGTCCGCAGTGATTGAATTGATGTGTAGATGAGACCAGATGAACGTTATGTATACTAGAACATCATTCCAAAAGCCCTGTGGCATCTTTCAATGTACTGTTATGATGAAAAAAAAGAAACGAAATGCATTAATATAAACACTAACAAACAACATATGCAAAGAATATAAAGTACCCATATCTCCAATTCTATACGTAAAATCTTAAACTTTTCTTCAATCATTTCCGATCTGCCCAAGAAAGCAATGTCATCCAAACTCCTTAATATAAATCAAGCAGATCCACTAGCCTCGCCCTCAGTAGCCCCCTTCTCCAAACTAGCGCCAACATCCGAAGCCAGGAGCCACTCAACAACCTGTCTGCCTGCAGACATCTCACCAGCACCCTCGGACTTCTCCTCGCCCTCATTCTCACCAATGGTCATCTCAATCTCCTGAGTCTGAGCATCATCACCCTCAGCACCCTCAACATCCTCGTCACCCTCAACAGCAGCCCACGCCGTCCGCTCAGCGAGGAACACAGCGTCGTGGCCAGCATCGTTCTTAACATCAAGATCAGCGCCAGCTTCGACAAGAGCCTTAACACATTCCAGGTGCGCGTTCAGCGCAGCCCAGTGCAGAGGCGTGTTGCCGGAGTTGTTGCGGTGGTTCACGAACGCGGCGCGCTGGGCTGCGTCTGCGGATGAGAGCTTTTGGAGGAGAGTTTTGAGGATTTCTGAGTTATGTTAGTAACAGACATAAGAAAGAGATGGTGTTAAAAAGAAATAGAATATTTGACATGACATGTAAAAGAAATAATCATTTCAAGTACAATTCGTTCAATTGACTTACCAGCGTTTCCATTCGCAGCGGGGAAGTGCAGAACACAGGATCCAGAACCACCCTCGCTCTCATCTGCCATATCGATGGCAGATGCCACAATCTGGGACTCGTTGCAGCTGTGTTGAGTAGCGAGGTTGGCGATATCCTCATTTAGGGCCTCGAGGTCGCCTGCTCGGGCGTCATAGATCAAATCATCGACTGCCTCGGCAGAAAGTGCAATTGGCACTGAAGGCTTTGCCTGTGATGTCGTGGAAGCGGACATGATGTGTGATGAACCAGGTATTGGTATTATTTTTGTTCTTTTTTCTTGGTGGGGTTGTTTTTGATATCCCACTTTATTTGATGTAGCTGGAGTGGGGTGTCAGTAATAAGTCGGTGTTCACGATTGGAAGATGGCAAGATAAGTGATGAGGAGAGCGAAGGATATGATGTGTGTAAAATCACAAACGGCTTTGGGGAAATTCGGATTTTTGCATAGTACAACAGCAATCCCCCCGCGATATATCCAGGCGTGCAATTCAAGTCCACGATAAGGATTTCAATATTAAGGACAAGTTCCAGCCACAGAATGGGAATCGGTGTTTGAGGTGTTTTTCCACAAATTTCGAGTCGACTAACAGGGAGTATATTCAATCTCACCTTTGCTTTTTTCAGTTCTTTGCTTTCTAGCGTGGAGTATCCCGGCAACAAATGAAGCGATCGCCGCAAAAAATAATTTGATATCGCGGGTCATGTGACTGATAGTGGGCTATCAGTTCAACGGTACAATAGAAATTGTCGAAGAGTGGATGTCAATCACTACGTGCGTATGATATATATTTAGAATTATTGGGAGAGTATCATGTCGAGAGACAACGTTTGTGTTGATACATGGTACATGGTACATTGTACAAATAACTCTACTCAATCGGGGATAGAAACAACAGGAAGTCTGTCTGCCTCTATCCACATGCAAGGCAGAACGCCGAGAGAAAAACAAATCAAAAAAGCTCAAACGCCGAGTCCCACGTCCGGTGGGATGGTATCAAAAAGCTCCGAAATGGCAATGCGACCGGTGGCAACGAGAGAATACACCAAACAACCCTCCCTCCCTCCCAGAACTCAAACAAAAGCTAGGCACACGGCCCTAATCCCTGAGCCAAGCCCGTCTCTTCTCCTCCTTCTTTTCACGACGCTTCTCCTTGAACTGCTTCAACTCTTGCTTCGTCAATTTCTTAGCACTGCGCTCAGCGCGCAAGCTGCGGCCGTCATGGCTATTTGCCGCGGCATCAACGTCGAAGAAAGCGTTCATCTGCCGCCGAGACTTGTTCTCATCATTGTGGTTTTCTGGATTGATTGACTCCGCTTGCCATCGTCCAGTGAAGCGATTAAATGTGCCGGTAGCTGCATATGCTGCGGAGGGGTCGAAGCCGACTGCGGTCGTGGGCTGTGCTGGCTCTTCGTGGTATTGCGCATAAGATGCGGTGGGGTCGTAGTTGCCGTGGATCGCGGGATTATAGCCACCGAGGACTGGTTCCTTTTTCGGAGCTGCGCTCTGATGGCTGTCTTCTGTGCCGGGCGCTGCTGGGATTGCTGGGACCTCTGGCACGCGGGGGTTTTCCCATTGTGAAACTCCAGTGAAGCGGTTGTAAAAGTAATATGCCGCTGCGGTGGCATCCCATGCAGGTTCCCATCCGTCGTCCTCGGGCTTTGCGGGCGGAGCCTCGGTGGGAAGTGGTGGTGGCGCTTCATCGGGGAGTGGTGGTGCAGATGTCAATTCATCGTGCTCAGGTTCATCGGGTTGCGACTTGGATGCGTGGGTTTCTGGTTCTTCGGTTTGTTGGGTTTCTTCATTCTTTTCCGCCTTGTCTTTCTGGCTGTCGGTGTCATGCTTGGCTTCCGTCTCAAGGCCCGACGGAGCAGGGCTGGGTGAGCTACTAGTGCGCTCTTGTAGTGCGGATGTCGATGCTTCTGGTGAGGCAGACATGCTGGGCAATGTAAGGAATGATGCTTGCAGGCAGATTACCAATTGACAGAAGAGAAAGGAATAGGATGCGATCTACCCAGTCGAAACAGAGGTCCGTGCGGGGCATTTTAACGCCACCGCCTACCCAAATGGCTCAGTCTGTACGCTAACCCTAAGTTGGATTAGCGCGGGTATACACATGCATGTTCACTGTGCACCTCGGCTTCGTTTTCACCAACACCCAACACCCAAGGATTGACCAATGTTGTATCAATATCTCTGGGGCCATCATAGTATTTAAATTTGATGAAACATATCTTGCTTCTACTTCAGATCAAACTTAGATTAATACCTTGCTGAACTCTCCTACAGTTCACTTTCTGTGTGTTCTTCAACTCCCAGGCAATAGCACTATGGCTTCCAGATATGGCATGGCACCATGCGAGTATTTGCCATCAAGATTTCCACAGTCTAGCTCAACACACTTCTAGCCAAGTGTCTTCCCCGAATGGGAGAATTCATCCTGATTGTCCATATTGTTAGCCTGTTTGCCATCATCATCCCGTTGCGCAATCTACACAGGTTGAGCACCGTGATCGTAACTAATTTTTGAAATCTGATGTGGTTTAATTAACAAGAGAAATCAGAACGGTGGTCACCTGTTAGGCAACTGTTTGGTGGAATGCGCGAGCAAGAATGAATGTAGTTGAGTCTTGGGGTTCTAGAATTCTTCCACTTGTTTTGATGCCTCGTGAATTGCAGACACAAGCCAAACGATAGGACCCAGACCTTCATACTGTTAAATTAACGATCGGGAATCTGGGAATACAGTGAGTGATAGGAACTCTGAAGGCAAGTTGGAAATGTTCAGCCAAAACCCTAATTTCCGATCTACAAACCTTCAATACGGATACTAGTTATACGTAAAAAGGTCTCTTGCACAAACTATGCTTTTTTTACTGCCTTTACAAACATTTCAAAAGACATTTCAAAGGACTAATTAGAGGGACCAACTAAAAATACAACTAAAAATACATCATAAGACCGCATAAGCAGCCGACTATTCTTGTTATACATAGTTATAGACTTAGTATAACTAGATATTACTACTATATAAACTCTTTCATCTTGCCATCTATGTTGTAGGTAGCTCATTTCAAGACTTTGGAAAGTCTCTCAACAATATTTTCAACCTGCTTAGATGTAGCGTAGCTCCTTGCTTGATTTTTCAACCCTTTTTTTAAACTTTCCGGTGATTTTGAGCGAGCCCTATAGCTCGGGTACAGTTACCGACTGTGCTAATTGGTCTTTCGGAGTTTCTAGCACTGGAATGTTCCCCCTGCATTGGTTCCTTGAACTACAGCGATGTGAAATCCTGATTCCAGTAAAACCTGCTGCTTCACGGAGAGTTTGAGGTCTCACTATTGGACTGATCCTGAATTCCTGTATCAGAGTGGCTCACATTCCTCTTTATTTGTTAACTTGTTGATACTCAAGATTGCCTAGGGGGTTGTTTTTCCGTATATCTTGTTTGAGGTTAAAAAGGACCATGTCCTGGCATCTCTTTGATGCTCGCCATCCAACAACCAGTCGACAAACTTCGCCAACATCGTCTCTCATTTTTTTGTTTTTCTGACCCACGCTCAACTTCAGCGTCATTCGTTCATTTTAGTATCATATTTAATTACTGGCTTTAATTAATACAGTTCTGCCCATTATGAAGGGAATTACTCTTCTTTCGCTTTTTGGTGCTGCACTCGCTCATCCGGCGGGCTTGGTGAGTACTTCCATCTCTACAACTTAGGGCACACATCTGACTTGGGGATATCTTAGTGGTGGGGCACTGATGTCTGCTACACCAGTCCAGACAATACCGAGAATCAGTGCTCGGATGCTCAGCAGAAAGGCTTCGACTTGTCTGAGCTGGGGAACGGGGACAATTGGAGCCTGGAAGGCTTCCACTTCCACGGCCTCGAGCCTAAGAATGGCTGTCAAGGATCTAGTTACGGAGTAGGTGACTGTTACACATATCGAATGCTCTCGGTTCTAACCTTTTGAAGGGCACTTGTCTTGGAGGAAAGCTTTCTAGTGATGATGACTGGACAATCAAAATTTCCGCCACTGACGCTCCATTCTCAATCCGCAACTTCCATCTTTCAACTTCTCGGAGCACCGATGTCTTCATCATCTACGAGATGCCTGATGGCTCTTCCTGTCATCATGTTGCTTCCAGCTCGTACCGGGGAACTGACGTTGGCAACGACCAGTGTGGTGGTGCTGTCTCAGTCGAGTTCACGCTTCCCGAAGAGAGCAAGTTCGGCGATTGTGATCTAGAGATCCATTCGATTGACTTTGACTGCTCTTCTGGAACCAAGCCGCCAGCTCCCCCCGTCCTAGACCCCTCGTACTCTGACCCTGAGCCTACCCCGAGCTCAACTGTTTCCCTGCCTCCGTTCTATTTGCCTTCTACTACGTTGGAGGTAACCCCGATTAGCTACCCTTCCCAGAAGCTGACGACTTCCACAATCTGGACCACCGAGGAGTTCACTGTCACTAAATGCCCACCAACCGTCACTAACTGCCCTGGCCATTCAACTGTTTTGATTACTTCTACATATCCCGTGTCAACCACAGTCTGCCCGTCTACCCCTGTGGACCCTGAAACTAGCACGACATCGCCCTGGGTTGTGCACTCGGATCCCCCAAGCTGGACAACTTCCGTACCCCACTTCCGTTCGGATCCTCCGAGCTCGACTACTTCCGTACCTCACTTCCACTGGACCTCGTCTGCTACCCAGGAGGTTCCTTCAATTAGCCACTCTTCCCAGAAGTTGACGACTTCCACAATCTGGACTACCGAGGAGATCACCGTCACCAAATGTGCACCAACCGTCACTAACTGCCCTGCTCATTCGACTGTTTTGGTTACCTCTACATACCCGTGGTCAACCACAGTCTGCCCTTCCAAGCCCGCGGAAACGGATCCTAGCACAACATCTCCTCATGTTCACACGCATCCCACGCTCACGAGCTCCATCAGCACCACGACTACTACCGACCCTAGCCCGCCCGCCGTTACCGCCCCTTGCCCGAATGTGGTACCCAAGTGTCTCAACACATGGCTCTCCATTCCTAAGTGCGACTCCAACAGCGACGCTGCATGCTTCTGCCCATCTACCGAATTCACAGACAAAGTTAGCGGGTGCATTCGGGCCTGGAGCAGCTCCAAGAAGGAGGAAGATTCCGCCCTTGCTTTCTTCGCTGGCATTTGCGCCCCCTTCGTTCCGGAGAACCCTGCTATTGTAGACATCGCTACAACCTGCACTTCCTCGGACCCTGTTACTTCGACCACTCATGTCCCCCATATCACTAGCAACACACGTGTCTTCGTTTCGACAGTTAGTGTAGCCACATCTGTCCCCACGGCTCCTTGTACCACTATCAGCTGGGCCTCGCACACGGCAACTGTTCCCCTGGTTGAGTTCAGCACAGTCACTTGCTCCACTACCACCTCCGTGAATCTGGTGGTTGTTACTCCAACCAGCCCTCCTTCTAAGACCAGCCACCATTCGCACGTGTCTTCCTCGACACTGACCACCAGCTGCAAAACTCACACCACCTCTGTTCCTACTCCAACTGTCCCTAAGCCCACAGTATCCAAGCCAACTGAAACTGTTGTTCATGCCAATGTTGGGTCGAAGCTCCCCTTGTGCAGCTTCTGGGCTTTTGGAATTGCCCTTTTGGCGCTTCTCTTTTAATAATCTCCCTGTTCAATTTCTGAGAAAATAAACTTTGCTTCATTATGGTCGATAGTTATTTGTTCCACTGCATGTATTGAATGCAAGGCAGTGTGAACTAAAGCTCGATCTGATTAAATTTACTTTTTGGGGATAATTAATTATATACGATTTGTTTATTCTTGAACATGATTGATTTGGACGTAACGTCAGAAGTGAATCGGTACTTCTGTAATCTCAGTGATCTAATCACAGTCGGCCTTGATCTTTTACCATCGCTCAAAGTCTACAGAGGAACTTCCGCACTGGTATAGTGCACATTCTGATATTTAAGAAACTTGTTAACATGGTCGAAAAAGTCGAGCTCTAAGGAATATTATAGAAGCTTGTCGGGTTAATCCCACGCCAAAATATTGCTAAGACCGGGTGCATTGCCAAGTTCCCACTGAGCCAGGGCAAGAGTCCACGGCCGAAGCAGCAGGCTTACGCTGCACCGAGCCGATTGCAATTGTAACGGTAGGTGTATTGTATGAGCCGTCTCCGTCATCACTATGCCAATTATAATCGTCATCTCCAGCAATACCTATCCAAAATTTCAAAGTAGGCCGGTCTCCCCGGGGACGGTTCGGTTGAGCAAGAACATCAAGTACTTTCAATGATGAGTTGGGCTAATCAACAGCTTTTGCAAGCTCTTACATTGCGGTATGGACTGACTTGGTCACAGTGCGTTTTAGGTATCTAATATTTAGGCTGCAGTTGCGGAGCTTGAAGCCGTGAGGAAATTTGTTCCGGGTTTTATTTTGATCGAACAGGAAACGCCGAATGTAAATCCATATGCATAAGAAAAATTTGCAGGTATGAATTAGCACTAGTCGCCACCTGGGCAGCAATATTCAAATCAGTTGGTTAATGCAGGGGTTTGAATGGAGTGACGATCGATATCAATATCTCGGGTCTGTGGCTGTGCAGGAATAATCTTGCATACATTAGACAGAAAGGAAGTAACATTAAAGATCTATAAGTCCCGAAGTCCACGGAGTGAATTAGGCAAGAAGCATTCATTGGATAAGGATAGTAAGAATAACTTGTCTACAACATGCATCCTATCCAGGACACAATCCACTCTCAGCTAGCCTTCATGAGAACAAACTCTCGGAAATTATCAAAGGCCCGAGAAATAATTGAATATGAATCTGCTTATACCAGCACACATATAGTGGGTCCTCCCAAATATTGGGCCAACGAAAATATATGGGTACAATATTGGCTAATATTTGGGACGATCCACTTTGTATGTGATCGTGCATACCTATACGGAGTATAACTCCGTATATTCACCTGTGTCAGGCGAATGTGGCTTTTGATTTAAGATCTGTTCCGCATACGGAGTACTCACAAAGTACATGCTCCTCTTTCAGATCTTCGTCCGGTTCAAATCTCATAGTGGATCAAAGTGGAGATGTTGTTCTAGCCACAAGCGTCACCGAAGGTTCCTTTGTCGTAGAAGATCAAAAATGCTATCAAGCAGCATGTTATCGTCGACGAGTGATCATGTATGTTATCGAACCTGGCCTGTTAGAGGACCAATAGAAAGATGAAGGATTGGTCCTACAAAAATCTATGTGAAAAGAAATACAAATCGAATAGGGCACATAGTGACCATGTGATGGCTGTGAATCACATGTTTATATTCAGGTGTGGCTGAGACACGTCAGACACATCTATCCACCAACTTCCTTGGCAAACCATCAGCGAGATAAGAAACTACCAAGACATTTTGTGGGTCAATCTCGTCAGGACTGCTAGAACGAACATCATAACCGTCTTATTTAGTTCCATATGCATAGCAGTCAACAGATCCACTGATTGTCAGTTCTGCACGAGGACTGTACCTTTGATCGACCCTATCGGTCAATAAAGAATGGAGACCCAGCTAGCCATGAATTTCCGAAACCTCACCACGGAGCTGAATTTCATAATCTTCTCCATACTATCGTGTTGACCCGAATACGGATTACTTCGGCCAGATCTAAAGAAGGATCTTTGATCAAATGAATATGATAGGGAAGGGGGAGACGACGAAAGCAACATCCAATGACAAGTAGATCTATTGCTGGCTCCTATCTCCGCTAAGGCTTTTTATACCGATGGATCAATTCTTCTAACTAGAAACAGCAAGGATTGTCTTTTGTATCGATTCGATCCACAACATACTAGTACGGAGTACTCCGTATATGTGCCACAGTTCAGCCCCGATCAGCTTTATGAGGGAAAAAGGTGGACGTGGCTGGCTAGCCTTACTTGAAAAGCATACAGTAGTTTCTCTCTGGTGGTATATTTACCCCCAAATGTTCGGTTCTCGATCGTAAATCTATCCATACTCTTCGTACAGAATATTTGCCCACCATGGAGAACGGATTACAGCAGCAGCTACAACAGCTACAAAATCTACAACAATTGAATCCCGCCATGGAGGAACTAGCACGTTCAGAGCTCTTCAAACCAGCTCCGCGCTCTTTCAGCCTGGAGGAATCTACCAAACTGAGTTACCAGAGGGCAAAGGCTTTTGCTAATGCATATGGTATTTCCTACCTATATGCTCTGCCGCCTGATGCAACTACTGACTATCATAGGTCTGACGCTTAAGGATGTCTTATACATCACCCCTAAATTCTGGAAGCTGCACCGAGAGCCTCTATTGACACTTGATGGTGGTGCCTTCACCCTTCTTAGTATTCAGTGCAATCTCTTTGTGGGCACACTTGCTCCGTTTGCCCTGAAGCGTCCAGAGCTCCAGCCGATTCTCCAATCTGCTTTGGATTTCGATATCTCGTGAGTCACTCTCTAAACAAAAGTCTTCCAACATAGACTATATCAGGAATCATAGCTAACAGGTAGTCGATACCTAGGGCACAATTCATGTTGACGGAAGTGAATCATGGATTAGATGCACGTAATATACAGACAACTGCAACGATTCTACCTGATGGTGATATCGACCTTCACACTCCTTCTCCAAACGATGCAAAGTAAGTTGAGGGATATCGGAGTTCAATTATCTTGAAATTGGCTAACAGATAGTCTCAGGGTTATGCCACCAACTACCCCAAGGGGTGGTATTCCGGTGGTTGCAATTGTAATGGCTCGTCTTGTGAGTGAAGATAAAGACTGTGGAATTCGACCATTCCTAGTCCAGCTTGGAAACGGAAAGGAGATGTGTAAGGGTGTTATATCAAAGTCAGTCTCCAAGTACCCTTCAGACCTAGACCATGAGAGCTAACTCATAAAAAGGGCCTTGCCCCAACGAACTGGCGCCCATCCAGTCGACCATGCTCTCACATACTTCGACCACGTCCGTCTACCAAGATCCGCCTTGCTTGGTAGCTCGGAAGAAACAGAGAACAAGCGCGAGGAGTTCTTATCCTCGATCCATCGGGTTGCAGTGGGTACTCTCTTCCTCTCAGGGTGTGTCATCCCATCACTCAAGCTTGCCGCCTTTAATGCGGCATGTTTCAGCCAGAACAGGCTTGTCAGTGGCCAGGATGGAAGTCCAATGGCAGTGATTGATTTCCGGACTCAACATATGCCCATCCTCCATACTATCGCCCAGTATAGTGTGCTAGAAGCATTCTTCGTTTCTGCAGCGATGGCGTTCCGAGAACAGAGCGTGGACCCCCGGGTGCGTCATGGTATAGCCACAGCCTTCAAGGCGATATCACTTGGTCATTTCAACAAAAGCATCATCGCTATGAATGAGCGGTGTGGGTGGCATGGACATTATGAGCATAATCAGCTTCTTCAGATCGAGGTAAGATTTCAGTATTACTTACTCGTCGTGCACTTGACTAATTCACCATTCTAGCTGGAAATGCGCGGCGCATCGACTGCAGAGGGGGATATCCGCGTCCTTGCTATCCGTACGTGCCTAATCTTTGAAAATGCTCTAGAGAAGACTAACCGTAAATACAGGACTCGCGTCGGAACTATTGATCGGTCGATACCAAATGCCACCACCAAACGATCCTAGCAGTCCCATTGCTCGACATGAAGCCTCCCTGTTCTCCGAAGCGAGGGACCTTCTTCAACAAGGTTCGAAGGGAGCTCACCGAAGCGAGCAATTTAATCGAAATATCCTTCCACTCGCTCTTCCATTAGTTGAAGCAATTGGCCATAGAATGGCATATGAAGCTGCTATAGATGCTAATATTGACTCAAGCTTGCTTAACCTCTACGAGAGTGGGGTTATGAAACAAGACTCTGCGTGGTACGTTGAACAAGGGGGACTCAGCAGAGGAGTTCAACGCGAAATGGAAGCTCAGGCGGTGGATGTCTTACTTCCCCAGATGAAGGATCTCTTGTTGGCTTCTGGTGTTCAGCCATATAGCAATGCGCCCATGACTTCGAAGACATTATGGAATGATTTCGTTTCGGGGTTGGAGGTCTTCTCGGGAGATGCGCCTTCAGATCTGTTCCCTTGATTTCGGAGGGTGGATTGTTTATAGTAGTTTGATCATCGACATAGCACATATTTTCGTTAGATAGATAGATGTTTTATGAAACTATATCATACGGCGGGCACGCTAGCTCTAGTGTCTAATACTCCGTACATCCCTAGAATAACGGAAACCCACAGCCGCGTTCAAAGGCGTGTTTTTGTGATACCCTGTAGATATAGAGGCTGGAATTTCTCAATTTTGTGAAGTTGGACAATAGAAATATATGCAAGATAATGCTCCTATTTGCACGGAAATTATTAAGAAATGGTTGACTGGGAACAGTTTTCCGAACAGTATTTGCAGGTTGGCATAGCCGACGTATTCGCTGGATTTGAATATTTCTTGTCGAAACATGAATGAATGATCAATTGGACAAATCCCGAGTTTTGAAAACTTTAGTTGTGTCAATATATCCCAAATTTGATTGAATAGGCGTGGGAGGTGTTGGGATGAATACTTTGACTGGTTGGTTGGCACCATGGACCACCGGGCGTAAGTGTAGTATACTACGTACTCGAGAGCTGTAATTAATATTGTTGGACTCATTTAAAAATTGCGCATTTAAAAGGACTATTATTGTTGTTATGTTATTATTGAATTAAATGCATGTGTTGTAGATATATATGTTGGGTGCTGTTCACTAAGACTCTAGTACTCTACCATCCACATTGGTTCCAGATATATATATATAGCCTGTACATCTAAATAAATATAACTCTCACCCTCACTGTTTTAGTGGGACGTATAATTGAAAACGGTTTGAATCAAGCGTTTTGTAGGAAGATAGAGATAATTATTTAATAGCTAAACATGAGATTTCGGTATATCTATTGCGTCAAAACTACTCGAACAGCCCGTTTACCATCAATTCGCGTTGTGGTATACAGCTCACGACTTTTTGGAATCATCCTCAAGTACCTAACAACTGCTGGGCTATTGACTAACAGCTACTCTACTAAAATGACGTACCATCTAATTCAGTTTAGGCGACGCAAAGGATGTTAGGCGTCATTTCCTACTACATTCTCCATATCGCCCTCATTCAAGTGTGACTATGAATATAGTTCATCGATGAAATGACTATCAATAAGATTGTGATATACCTTGAATAAATCTAGCTAGATCCCGGCCATTCTCAAGATCATCGAAAACTTGATTCGAAAATGCGATATGAGAGCACATTGAGAACTAGGGTGCACTAGTAATGCGGACTATGTATAGACCAAGGGGAATGAGTGAAGGGGATGATATGTAGGGCATCAAACCATGCAAACAGGACCGATTCAGGTCTTCTGAGAAGCCGCTAGGGGGAAGCTTGGCTGCAATCGCTATTTTTCTCGGAAAGCGAGACCACCAATCGGAGAGTTCACGGGAATGGCTTGTGATTAGCATTACGGTGCTTAATTCCTCGCAGCTTAAGAGAAATTAAACAATGAAGGGAGTGTTTTAAATCTCCCTACGTAGTGTTAGTGCCCGAGGTGCAGTGGGCGCCCTTGCAGGTGACCCTCATACGGAGAACTCGACCATTCAGAGGAATCCTAGTCACCTCCCAGCAGAGTCAGGTGCCTGACATGATTAGTGTATGTGTGACATGCCTTAGCTCCCGAAGTGCAGAGCAAAAGTCAAATTAAAGGGAGAAAAGCCCCTGTGCTGGGAAATTGAAGTCTCCAGGTACACCCTTAGAAGGCCCACTTGAGGAGCTTAAGCTTATTTCGATTGAGTTTATGGGCTGTGAATGTTCGCTCTGTAGTAATAGAAAGAGGTATTAGCGTAGTAGCATAGTATATCTGAATTAGATGGATTGTACCTGTTTTCATCCAACGTTACAGACAAATTGTGGGCACGAGTCTCGACCAGACGAGAGCGAGGTCAAGGGAATGCCAGGGCAGTCCCTAGTCGCGTGAAAATGAGTACCTCGCAGTAGATCCATACCAGGGAGCCTCCACAGGAGCACCCTGGTTGGTCTGCAGACCTTACAGAGTGGAGTGATCATCCTCTCCCTTCCCTTCCCAGTTACATTCCGGGGACATGCTGGAGAGATGGTCTAGGAAGCAAAACAATTTGGCCCTGGAATATGGAGTCAGAGCAACTCACAGACCGCCAGTAAAAATCTATAAAGATGAGGTGATTCATCGCCGTTTCCTTTCTTCTTCATCCACATCAAACACTCTCTTTCAATCTTTCCTTCTCTATTCTTCAATCTTCTAAACTCTCCGAGTCCTCTCGTTCAAATCCAAACCATCACAATGCAGTTCTCTCTCTCCGCTATTGTCCTCGGCCTCGCTGCCACCGTCTACGCTCTTCCCCCTTCAGCCCCCGTCGCTGGTGGAGCTGGTGCCGGTAACGGTGTCGGTAACAAGGGCAACACCGACGTTCGCTTCTCTGTCCCCGACAACCTGACCGTCAAGCAGGCTCAGGCCAAGTGCGGTGACCAGGCTCAGCTCTCTTGCTGCAACAAGGCCGTCTACGCCGGTGACACCACCGACATCAACTCCGGCATCCTCGGCGGTACCCTCAGCAACCTGATCGGTTCCGGCTCCGGTGCTTCTGGCCTCGGTCTCTTCGACCAGTGCTCCAAGCTGGATCTCCAGGTCCCCATTCTCGCTCTTCTCCCCATCCAGGATCTCGTCAACCAGAAGTGCAAGCAGAACATTGCCTGCTGCCAGAACTCTCCTTCCAGCGCCGTGAGTACTCCACCAATCATTGACCAAAAAGCTCAACTAACACATCACAGAACTCCGACCTCATTGGTCTTGGCCTCCCCTGTGTTGCCCTTGGCTCCATCCTCTAAGCGTCTCGCTATGTTTTCTCGCATCATGCAAGCAGCTCTGGTCATCACGCCGGCTCTTTGGACTTTGGTGCAGAGTTCGACATACGCGGAGATGTGGATTGTTATCGATTCCGAGGATGGGAAGCAGGCTTTTGATTAGTTAGATGTCCTGTTCATTTCATATCTCGTGTATCATAATCTGTATCGTGTGACACCTCGGAGAAAGAAGACCGTTTTTGATTTCTGATTACAACCTGTTGTGCTCCGTTTGCTTCTTGTCTTATGCATTGGAACCACCCAGCTGCTGTCTAGGGTAGGGCTTCTTTAGCATATATTACTTTAATTCATTAGATCCTCTTACATTGTCTCCATTGCTCCGAAAACGTATGATCCATAATCGTAACTCCACCTGAATATCACCGACCCTGTCTATCTCGTAGCGTAACATCCCTTGCAGAGAATCCCCCCACCAATCAACGAGTGCTCCCAAGCTATGCATTTTCCTTAGTACTATCTCCTAACTTATTCCCTCTCCATTAATTTTAATCCACTTATCACCCGTGGACCTAAACTTCTAACAGTCAACGTCTATTTCCATCTCAAGAAAAATATGACCGTCCAAATTTGACTTCATTCAAACTGCCACCCCAACTATGTGCACACGAAACAGACACTCCAATTAACAAACATCTACCACAGTCTCCCAAACCCAACACCACCCAATACACTATTCCGCTTCTTCTCATCCTGTGCCTCTATCCACTTCTCATTCTTCTTATCCACCAACCCCTCCTCATCCGTCACCCCAGTAGAATCCAACCATTTCGGCGACTGTAGACTACGCGACGAAGTCTTAATCGAAATCGACGAGCGCGGGATATTCAACCCACAATGCCTCTTCAGCAAAGCCACCATGGACTTCTTATCCTTCTTCTCAGACACACATTTCTCAGTAGGTGAAAAGCCCTTCTCGGCCATTGTTGTAGACGGAACACCCGAAGCACCCTTTCCCGGATGACCAGCCGCATTTTCCGAAGTTCTGCTCATATCTTTCTCCCTTCCGATCTCCACTGGCGCCTGCAACACCCTCCTTGGCGCCTCGACGGGGGACCGACAATCCAATTTCAAAATCGGATACGCGGGTCTGGTTAGGGCCCTGGTTGCACGGTCTGTCGGCTGGTTGGAGGGTATATTGGCATCGAACAACGTCCGCAAATTTCCATTGTCTGGCCTCATCTGCATACGGTTTGCCGGGGACTCGCATGGAAGCACTGGGTCGTGGAAGGAGTGGTGGACCATCGTTGAGGTGGATTCCATGCTTGCGCGGGTTGAGCCTGTTTCGGAGGCCGTTTTGATTAAATCGTTTGAGTCTTCGTCGTGGAGTTTGCTGCTTGTTGTTGAGAGTCTTCTGGAAAGGCGGTTTTTGCGCATGCAGCGTGACAGGGTGGATATGAAGCCCATCTTGTATTTTAGGTTTGGGTTTGGGTTTTTGTGAGGATTTGTGTTTGTGATGGTGATATAGGTATGGGATTGAAAAGAGTTCAGTGAATTGGATGTGATTTGTACGTTTTGAGTTTGTGGTAGAATGATGGGGTTGGGATATATGAATTGAATAACTTATGACTTATTCCGGAGAGGAGGGGTAGATATAGAAACTAATTTCAACTGCATTCAATTCTGGGCTGGAGATAAATTGGACGAGGTATGTCACTATCTATATCTTCATGGGATAATGCTGGTTTGTATCGGCTGCAGTGCAACGAAACGGGATTTGATCTATTTGCTCATGCAGTTGGATTGCGTATGCCTCGAACAGCTACATTTAAATCGACATCTTCACATCGTCATGATCTAAACTCTAAAATGTACAATTGGAGCATAACAAGCATCACAGTACAAGTGAGTGGTAGGGGTTGCCTGGGAGAGACCAATCATGATGAATGATATGATGCACAAAAGGCCGCGACAACGGGAAGCACAATTGAGAGAACGAAGCCGCAACTGAAACACAGCCAATCGTCTGGACCGGAAACGTAGCTTGTTTTCAAGAATTCCCCAGATGATGAACTGCATGCAAGGATGCCTCCACTCTCTTTTCAACCTCGCATGAAAAGGACTCGGGCTTTGAAGAGAGAATATCATTCTTTCTTTCTCTCGATTCAAGTTGTGGATGAGGTGAGCTTGGAAAAGAACTCCGTCATTGCGTTGGAATCATTGCTCATTACTGTTGGAGGTTGGGGTTGAAGGAATGTCCGGGTATCCGAGGATCTACGTGCAGATCCTTGATGCAATATCACGGACCCTCGCTCGGGAATGCTTATTATTGACCGTTGACCAACCAGCCCCCCCCCC